GTGATGGACTGGCCAAGCATGTCTCCAGACCTAAACCCTATTGAGCATCTGTGGGGCATCCTGAAACAGAAGGTGGAGGAGCGCAAGTTCTCTAACATCCACCAGCTCCGTGATGTTGTCATGGAGGAGTGGAAGAGGACTCCAGTGGCAACCTGTGAAGCTCTGGTGAACTCCATGCCCAAGAGGGTTAAGGCAGTGCTGGAAAGTAATGGTGGCCACACAAAATATTGACACTTTGGGCCCAATTTGGACAGTTTCACTTAGGGGTGTACTCACTTTTGTTGCCAGCGGTTTAGACATTAATGGCTGTGTGTTGAGTTATTTTGAGGGGACAGCAAATTTACACAGTTACACAAGCTGTATACTCACTACTTTACATTGAAGCAAAGTGTCATTTCTTCAGTGTTGTCACATGAAAAGATATATTTACAAAATGTGAGGGCTGTACTCACTTCTGTGATATACTGTATATACCTTAGATGATTTTGACGACAATGACTCATTGAATTTGGGTGAGGATATATAAACAAAAAGGACACATTTTCTTGCACATGGTATGTATTCTCTGGGCACCTGGATTTAGGAGCCAAAAAGAAGGTAATTTCCACAACTGCTGAACTGTATTAGGAAGGTAGGAAGAAAGGGAAATCAGTGCTTTGTAAACATAGACAGTGGATCTTAAACCTGCTGTCTCAGTTGCTGAGTCTCAAGTCCTAAGGATTGAACCATGTAGAGATTTGGTTAGAGAAATAAGTAGGAACCTCCAGCAGGGCAGCAGTATCTTGTGTGCTGACAAGAGCAGACAGCACCACTGAGGAGCAGGGGGCAGAATCTGAATAATCTTCCACCCTCAGTGGTGGTGATTCTGGGAGATGGAGCCTTAAATAGCTGTAAATTGCATAGATTCAGGTGGTGTGTCATGGTGCAATGCAGGGAGAATGATGTCCTGCATTGTGTGCAGCCTCTAACAATGGCAGTGAATGATGCAAAGGTGACCTTGCCAGCATTCTAGGCAGTGTGTGTGTGTGTTGAGGGGGGATACATCCTCTATCTTGAGCATGAAACTAGAGCTGATGGCAGTGGTATTGGGGTGAAACCAGAGTGTATCCTGGATAGCTGCAGAAAGTGCATTTCTCAAGGGTATTACCACTCATTCTAACGGTAGTGAGGATGATGAGGAGACCAGTAAGGAATTTCATCCCAGTCTCAATGTGATGAGGAAGTACAGTATCTATGAGCAAAGTTTTCACATGGATTTCCTTTGTGATCCAACAGCCCAGAGACCAACACCACCAGCAGGGAATGTTCGCAATACCGTTCTGTATACGATGGCGCATACTGACAAGGCAGTGAAGCACAGTTCTGAGGTACAAGAGGAACAAGCCATAGGTATAGGAGAGTCCAAGAGAGGAAGTGGGAGTGGCAATGGTATTGTCAGTGCAACAGTTGGCAATGACTCAGTCTGCCTCTCTCTCTTTTTCTTAATGGGGCTCAGAGCCCTTAGTCTTCTGTATCTTTTTTGCCAGCATCTTGGCCATTAAAATGGTAAGTGAATGACCCAGCATGAATGAAAATGTATTAACAGTATTTTGCTACTGGTACTGATGATGAATCGCTTGCAGCCATAATAGACTTTGAGACTTCAGTCTTTAAGGCATGCTTCCAGAGAACTGCAAGTCTGCTGCAGCACACTTGTTTGTGAAGGTCTGGCATACTGCACATTCCAAACTGTTTTTAAACTTGGCAGAGGTTCTCCAGCCAAGGAGAAAGGGTGAAGGGCACCCTTTTAAATAATGTACATTAAAATTACATAAACATCATTCATTTATGTGTTTAAAAGGTGGCAGGTGTCATGAGCTGGTCTCTTCCTTTTTTCCTTCCAGTGATCAAGTTCAAGACGATCCTTTGAAGTGCAATTCTTTTACTGAAATTTAACAGATTACAGAACATGACCTCTAATTAGCCTTCTACCAATGCTGAGGGGAAAGCATCTGCCCATGTAACAAGTTGCATCCAATCTGGAAACTGCCCCTCTCTTTCAGTGAAGCTTCTAACTCCACCCTCAAAATAGCTTTTGCTGCTTGAGTGCAAGAAACCCTAGCAGAAACCCTCTAACTAAGCCATTAGTTTTTCCTGTCACCTCAAGGACTGGGCCTTGCATCTTCTCCCCACCGCTCCATCCCCCAAACCCTTCCACCTTTTCCAAAGCAGACCAATTCTCATACTCTGCCTGAGAAACGTCACTAGGTAACATCAACTGTTCAAGTCCTTGTCCCCACCCCACTCTTCTGCTGCCTCCTCAAAATTAGATTACTCATCTGAACAGTCTGTAAAGAGCAATGGATGGGTTCTGGTCTACAGCACAGAGGATGGCCAAGCACTGCCCCAGTCATATCCTGGCAGACCATGAAAAGAGGACTCCAGATCCATATAATAGCACTTATATTATACAAATACAAATATTTTAACTTCAGAAAGGATTTAATTTTATCACATGCTTAAGTTGAAATGCACAATTGTTTTACTGTTTCTAGAACAGTAAGGGAAGAACAGGAAAAGCTTGTAATGATAGGTATTCATTTCTTGTCTCGTCTCTACGAAGACATTATCTACCCTGATCAATAGGATAAGCTATAGGGTAAGCTACAAATTCAAATTCTGTACAGCAATATTCCAATTCAATACACACACACACCCACACACACACTTTTGGGCACAAAGGTCTGTTCAAACATAATTTTCAAATGTGAGTCAAAGCCATGTATCTGTAGGTTTCTACACTACTGTGTGTTACAACTTTTAAAAAGTAAATATAGATCCATCTCATATACTTAAAGTGTTTTATTCATAATTACAGGCTATTTTAGAATTTTTAAACATAGGTCTATAAATAGAGGCTAATACCACCTGAACAAGTTTGTAAAAGCTTTTTTAAACTTTTAACAGTAATGCCTTTGAAGCTGACACAGCAGTGGTTGATTTAGAAGCCTTTGAGTAGAGGCTCTGTAATCAGTCAGTAACATAAAATGTAACATCAAGTGACTCAGAACTTTTCAATCCTATACAAGAAAGCTTGAGAGAGAGAGAATGTGTGTGTGCATGTGTGTAACATGCATACACATTGTGTTGGTCCACCAAGTATATATGTAAAAAAAGTAAATGTATGCAGTCCAGTTAAAAATACAATATGCATGTTAATGCTATTACAAAGGTCATGTAGATAAATTATGGACATTGATATTGAAAGAGGGTTTGCTAGATAACTTTTCTGATTAGGTGTTTTCAAATGTTCCTAGTGCAAGAAAAAGTTTCTTAAAACAAGTCTCAACATTTTCAGGATAACTGAGGAAAACTACCTTCTTCAAAAGATTGACTGAAGCATCCACAGGTAACTGGAGTCACTTCAGCTTGACAGTGCTGACTATGTAACCCCCTGCAGCAGAAGAACCTTTCAAAAACTTGTTATTTCATATACAAATACCACAGGTTTGGGAGGGAAAAGCCACTAATTTTCTAAGTCTGTAACTTAACTGTGCATGTATTGAGGGTGGAAAAGTAGTCATTCAGAATGAGGTTATCACTCTGCAGAACAGAACACATTACACAGAACAGGTAATAAGTTACTTTCATTAATACTTAATCTTATTTTGTCTCAGTGACCATAAAACAGTATTTCAGTTTAAGGTGCAACTATCAATTGGCTTTCAATAAATTATACCTAACAGTAAGTGTTATAAACTATTATTTTATGCATTCTATTTCTTTCTCTATTTCAAATTCAGCTGTCAACTTACCAGTTTACTTGCATATTTCACAGAAAAAATATGACCTAAAACAGAGTATGTCTTAGTAAACTTAGCCAAACAGTCCAATTTTACAAATTTTCCTTGAATACTAGACTAAGTTGTAAAAGTGTAATGCAACAGAAAAAATGAGAGTTAACAGTTTCAGGAAACACTTACAGTGTCTGGAACACTGGCAGTTCTATTAGATACCCAATCTAGCTGTGGAGTTTTTATTTAAAAAGAAAGAAGAAAAGCAATTGGCATGAAAGCACTGTATGTGCCTAGCAATAAATTGTCATTATCTCTGTGAAATATACAATAATTTTCTAATACCTGTGATAACTAGACATGAACATTTCAGCAAAAGGCAAGATTATCAGAATTTTAGTTACCTGAATTATTTGCAAGCCAGATATTTTATAACTTTAATTTATAACTGCATGACCAGCTTTGCTTACAAGTAACAATGTGTTTTGCTCTATAGGTTATCTGAGAGAACAAAAGCAATTCACTCTTATAGTAATTGGCAAAAATGAACCTTCTAAAGAGACAGCTAATCAAGACATATAAATAGCCATCTACTCAATTTTAAGACAAATTAGTAACATAGTAGCCAGCTGTATAGGACCAAAGGCTAATCAATCCATTTCATGTAGTTACATACGCCTGCACATTTTAGATCTTCAACCCTACAAAAAAAAAAAATCAGTGCAAGAAAGAAAGGGTATGAGATATAACTGCCTTTTGAGACCTTTCAAAAGTAGACTGGTGTGCCTCAATATTCTAATTTTAAAATAATAAAGAGCTGTCTTTTTGCCTGAAAAGAATCTACTTTGGTGTAATGTTTTATAGTACAGAAGAAATCAGAGATAAATACAAATGGAAGTTTACTATGTTAAAGAGTTGTCAGATGACATTAGTGAATATGGAAAATATGAAAAAATACACATAAGATTCAGTTGCTCAAAAATCACATTTGTAGGAATTTAAAGCCTTTTGTATTTCCCTGTTCATATGTATTTATGATTAGCTTTACAAATAGCATAATTATCCAGGGAAAGGGAGAAATGGTTGAGGCAATTCTTCATGCTTCTGATATTTCAGATTTACTGAGTGCAATAGCAAGTTCTAGATCTTCTTGTTCTTGTTGTTTTAACCTTGCAAGTCGCTCTTTCTCTTCCCTCTCACTTTCTCTTTTTGCCCATTCAATCATGTCTTCTTCAGTAGGATACTAAAATAGAGAAGGCATGGACTTGTTAACTGGAACAGCAAGTAAAAAGCACAATGGTTGGATCAAATGCTATCATTCTACTGACAGGATGAGTTCTGTCAATCAAAGCAGAAGGGAAGTGATTCCTACTCAGTCACTAGCACTTTCAAAATCTGCTTTGCTAAGAAACTCCCTGGAGTAGATTTAGGGAGTTGCACAGCTCTGCAAGTGGAGGAGTGAGGGAGGAAGTCCCGTCTTGCTACTTCTGTTAGTATAGTGTACTACTTCTGTTAGACTTCTGTAAGCATTGTATAGGATTTAATGGCTACTGTTTAAACAGGATTCTATTTTGATATTGTAGAAGTTTTTGTGGCATCAGTTAGATTTGAGATGGGTATTTTGATCTGTATCTAGGTTTATCTGATTCATTATTTGATTTTTATGAAGAAAAAGAATAATTTACTTTGCTTAAACTATTCAAGTAAATTGAAAGTGTGCATCTAATTGAGCTTGCAAAAAAAAAAAACACTGAATAGCTTGGCTGCTGAATATCTGGAACAATCACTTTAACATATTCACATTAATTGCAAAAAAAGTGCAATTAACAACATTATCTGGGTGTCTTAAACCACCCAAGCATCAGGATCATGCATTTTGTTAAAAACCTCACAAAATAGTTATCAGCATAATTATGAACGGAAAGCAAAATATTACTGAGTCTTCCCCTAAAGCTTATGTGCTACAAAACAATTTAAAATTACTGCCATGCAATACAGCAACCAAAAAAAAATCTCAAATCCACCACTATTGCAAAGTGCCAATTAACAGAGTTGTAGTACTCCATAGGAACCTGGAATGTAAGATCCATGAATCAAGGCAAGCTGGATGTGGTCAAACAAGAGATGACAAGACTGAACATCGACATCTTAGGAATCAGTGAACTAAAATGGACAGGAATGGGTGAATTTAATTCAGATAACCATCAGGTATACTACTGTGGTCAAGAATCCCTCTGAAGAAATGGAGTAGCCTTCATAGTCAATTAAAGAGTAGGAAAAGCAGTACTGGGATACAATCTCCAAAAAGACAGAATGATCTCAGTTCGAATCCAAGGCAATCCATTCAACATCACAATAGTCCAAGTCTGTGCCCCAACCACTGGTGCTGAAGAGGCTGGACCAGTTCTATGAAGGCCTACAACACCTTCTAGAATTAACTCCAAAAAATGATGTCCTTATCATCATGGAGGATTGGAATGCTAAAGTAGGAAGCCAAAAGATTACCGGAATAACAGGCAAGTTTGGCCTTGGAGTACAAAATGAAGCAGGGCACAGGCTGGTAGAATTTTGTCAAGAGAATACGATGGTCATAGCAAACACTCTTTTCCAACAACCCAAGAGACGACTACACATGGACATCACCAGACGGTCAACAAAGAAATCAGATTGATTATGTGCGCTGCAGCCAAAGATGGAGAAGCTCTATACAGTCAGTAAAAACTAGACCAGGAGCTGACTGTGGCACAGATCATGAGCTCCTGGTTGCAAAATTTAGGCTTAAGTTGAAGAAAGTAGGGAAAAGCACTAGGCCACTCAAGTATGACCTAAATCATATCCCTGATGAATATACAGTAGAGGTGACAAATAGATTTAAGGAATTAGATCGATAGACAGAGTGCCTGAAGAACTATGGACGGAGATTTGCAACATTGTACAAGAGAGGCAGCAACTAAAACCATCCCAAAGAAAAAGAAATGCAAGAAAGCAAAATGGCTGTCTGGGGAAGCATTTCAAATAGCTGAGGAAAGAAGGGAAGCAAAAGGCAAGGGAGAAAGAGAAAGATACACCCAACTGAATGCAGAATTCCAGAAAATAGCTAGAAGAGATAAGAATGCCTTCTTCAATGAACAGTGCAAAAAAATAGAAGAAAACAATAGAATAGGGAGGACCAGAGATCTCTTCAAGAAAATTGGAGATATGAAAGGAACATTCATGCAAAGATGGGCATGATAAGGGACCAAAATGGCAGGGACCTAATAGAGGCAAAAGAGATTAAGAAGGGATGGCAAGATTACACAGAACTATACAAGAAAGAGCTTAACGTCCCCGATAACCACGATGGGGTGGTCACTGAGCTTGAGCCAGACATCCTGGAATGTGAAGTCAAATGGGCCTTAGAAAGTCTGAGCAACAACAAAGCTAGTGGAGGCGACAGTATTCCAGCTGAGCTATTCAAAATCCTAAAAGATGATGCAGTAAGAGTGCTTCACTCAATATGCCAGCAAATTTGGAAAACTCAACAGTGGCCACAGGATTGGAAAAGGTCAGTTTACATTCTGATCCAAAAAAAAGGCAATGCCAAAGAATGTTCAAACTACCGCACCATTGCACTCATTTCACATGCTAGCAAAGTGATGCTCAAAATCCTACCAGCTAGGCTCCAGCAGTATGTGGACCGAGAACTACCAGAAGTACAGGCAGAGGGAGAGGAACTAGAGATCAAATTGCCAACATACACTGGATCATGGAGAAAGCTAGGGAGTTCCAGAAAAACATCTACTTCTGCTTCATTGACTATGCTAAAGCCTTTGATTGTGTGGATCACAACTAATTGTGGCAAGTTCTTAAAGAGATGGGAGTACCAGACCATCTTATTTGTCTCTTGAGAAACCTATATGCGGGTCAAGAAGCAACAGTGAGAACTGGACACGGAACCACTGATTGGTTCAAAATTGAGAAAGGAGTTCGGCAAGGCTGTACACTGTCGCCCTGTCTATTTAACTTATATGCAGAGAACATCATGAGAAAGGCGGAGCTAGATGAATCACCAGTTGGAATTAAGATTGCTGGGAGAAATATCAACAACCTCAGATATGAAGATGATACCACTCTCATGGCAGAAAGTGAAGAGCAACTAAACAGCCTCTTGATGCAGGTAAAAGAGGAGAGCGCACAAGTTGGCTTGAAACTCAACATTAAGAAAAGTAAGATCATGGCATCCGAGACTATCACTTCCTGGCAAATAGATGGGGAAGAAATGGAGGTAGTGACAAATTTTATTTTCCTGGGGTCCAAGGTCACTGCAGACAGGGACTGCAGCCAAGAAATTAAAAGACGCTTGCTCCTGGGGAGGAAAGTGATGGCAAATCTAGACAGCATACTAAAAAGCAGAGATATCACCCTGCCAACAAAAGTGCATATAGTCAAGGCTATGGTTTTCCCAGTTGCAATGTATGACTGTGAAAGCTGGACCATATGGAAGGCTGAGCGCAAAAGGATTGTGGCCTTTGAATTGTGGTGCTGGAGGAGATCCTGTGAGTCCCTTGGACTGCAAGGCGATCAAACCGGTCAGTCCTAGAGGAGATCAACCCTGACTGCTCTTTAGAAGGCCAGATACTGAAGATGAAATTCAAATACTTTGGCCACCTAATGAGAAGGAAGGACTCCCTGGAGAAGAGTCTAATGCTGGGAGCAATAGATGGCAAAAGAAGAAGGGGACTGCAGAGGATGAGGTGGCTAGATGGAGTCACTGAGGCAGTTGGTGTGAGCTTAGGTGGACTCCGGGAGATGGTGGAGGACAAGAAAGACCAGTAGGAGTGTTGTCCATGGGGTTGCGATGGGTCGTGACTAACAACAACAACAACAAGGATTTAAATATGAATCACTTTATTAACGCAAAATATACTGAACTATGTGTAGCACACAGTACATTTCATAATTATAGTTTAATCTTCTCAGTTATTAAGCAGTGACTAGGAATGCTTTCCCACAGCTAAGGAAAGTGAAGCAACTGTGTCTGTTCTTTAAATCATCAGGTCTGGTCACAGTAGCACATACATCAGTTTCATTTCTGTAGCATGTGTTACATGGGGCTGCCTGGAATAAATGCTTGGAAACTTCAGAGGGTCCAGGAAGCCAGACTACTAACAAGGGCTGGCCATAGGGGGCATGCAACTCCTTTGCTGCAACAGTCTGACTGGCTGCCCATTTGTTTCCAGGCATAATTACAAGTGCTGGTGATAATTTTAAAATCCCTGCATGGCTTAGGAATAGGGATATATGGGAATTCCATTTTCAGATTTTAAATTGTTTTATCTTTGATTTCAGATTTTCCATTTTCACCCTTTAAATTGTTTTATCTTTGCTGGCATTTACTGATTTGTATGAAGCTAAGTCAATACTCATATAACATCCTCTTTCAAATGGTGGCAATTTGCTCAAATTCTGAGGTGGGGGAGATCTAGAAATGTGCATAGATATTTTTGTAACTTTTTAAAATTCTCAGTGAGCAAGTATGCTACTCTGATTTCCTGGAATGTAAGACATCACCTGGTCAGTGTGCTGGTAAGTGCCTGCTGTCAAAGCAGGCAACATCTACAGACATTCATGAAGTCAGAATTCAAATACATCACTCTGTCTTCTCATGACAGTTGTCAAATGACAGGATGTCAATTGAAAAGCAAAGCCACAAATAGCACTTTTGCTCATGAAATAATTATGAAAGTGAATATATCAGCATCCTTCACAGCAAGATCCTCTAGTTTTTAAATGTGGACTTGGTTGTTCTCAGTGTCTTTATGCTTTCCCAAGTATATAGGTACTCAGGAAAGAACAGTCTAACCCATCTACAGGGAAACAGTGTTTTCACAGCTATTAAAAGGAAGAGTAGCTTTTAAAACAGGGTTTTTAACAGGGCTATCCCTGTTGACAATACCAGCAAGAACAAAAACATGTGTGAAGATTTCAAGATTACAACTTGTACAAATTGCAGAACCTTAAAAAGGCATTTTTTTTCTTCAGGATCAGGACAAGAAATACTACAGTTTGCCACTGTTTACTGAAATGGAAACACTGAGGAATGTGAACAGAACTAAATCAAACAGAATTCTCAGCATCACATATCCCTTACTTGGAACCAAGCTATCTGAAGGCTAACTTCTTCAATATGAATCTAGCTGAGTATTAGGATTGTCAAGAATGGCCCTCTTTTGCATCTGGCCAACATCAAACATTTATTTAAAATGCTATCTTATGTGGGAGATAGCCTTTCCAGTGGTTGGGGATAACTCTGGGGGAGGCTTGGAGGGCAACAACAAGAAGCGCTTTCTCTGTGGTGGCTCCCCATCTGTGGGATGAACTTCCCATTGAGGTCCAACTAGTGCCAGCTTTGTCATCTTTTTGGTGCTAAGTTAAGATAATCTTTTAGAAAGATGGCATTTAAAATAATCTTATTTATCCAGACGCTTGTGGGAATTACCCATCCCAGGTGTTTTTCTTTTACCCCTTCTCCTAATAGGCCTATTTGGCCCCAAATCTGTTAGCAGAAGGATATATGATTAGACAGGTATTTGACTGGTTAGGTGGATTATGTCCTTTTGCTGTGTGACAGCAGATAGTTTTTAGCTGCTTGCTCTATATGATATTGTAGTAGTTTTATTGTATTTTATTTTTCTATAATTGTTACTTTATATTGTGAAGACACCTTAGAAGCATAGCTATTGTAGAAAGGCAGGATAAAACTCACAATCGTGTTTAAATATTTGAGCATCATGTCATAGCTTGACCCAAATAACCTTTACAAAAATCTTTTTTTATTTGAAAGGGGGAACTGGTTGCATATTCCTCAGACTATAAATTTTGAAATTCAGTTCCAAACTTGAAATTCAGTTTTCTGTCCTCTGTGGGTTTGTATTTATGTCATCCATCTGTAAATCATTCAGTACTAACACAAAACTGGTGCTATGTTGAGCTGAGACATAAAATGGCCTATGCCATTAAGTTTTTAGGCCTTTGCAGCAATCTGTGGCTTTTCTTTGGCTGGAGTTGTTCACACCCTTGAATCAGTCTGCAAGGCAAATCAGAGTCCCTGCCAGCATGCCCTCATGTCCGAGGCCTCTCTACCCTCTTCCACTGTTCTTGGTCTTAGTGATGTCCTGACTGTAGAGCCTTCTGCTGCATTAGGTTTATGCCCCTCCCCAGACTACCCCTGCTGAGGTAACAACCAAGGTCTTACTGAGTGATTGTGAGGACATTTAGGGTCAAGATGTCCTTGTATATGATCACTTTATATTTATATTACTCCTGTATGGGATTAACTATTTCCAACAGTACTTACAAATATAAAAAGGGTTCTGCAGTTTATTTTCTAACTGCCTAACTGTCACTTGGATTGGGTATAACTTCTGTTCTCTACCTTAATATGAAAACACTAAAACTCTGAGGCACAATGTGCAACCATAGTTAGTAAAAAAAAGATCAGTAAATTAGAGCAACTATTCAAGTGAAGCTAGATAATACGTTAATATGCAACAATCAATAAGTTATAACAGGCTGCATTTGTCCCAAATAAATGGAATAATGTATTCTTTAAGAGAGCGAGTACAAGTATTAGTACATTCCACACTGTTGCACTACTGTATGGAACCCATTGTACTCATTTCAAGGTTACAGTAATATTCACTGTTCTTTACAAAACAGTCTTCAAGTGAACCTGATGCCTCCCCATCCTGTTTACTTACAGCACTGAAATTAGCAAAATTGCTGGTGTCCATCTCTTTGCACACACCAGTAGGAGCAAATGGGTCAGCTTCCTGTTCTTTGGGACCATCACAACCCGAGAATGGCTGGGAAGGATCATTCGGTTTAAAGGAATCTGAAGACTCCAATTTGTTGATAGGTCTTTTTCCTACATTAAAATAACCACTTTAGCAAGATTATGAATGTGGCAGAAATATATACCCAGTGTACAACAATATACACTATCCTACTAAGACCAAAAAAGACTTAGTACTAGTCATTATGAGTTAATGTGGCTTCTAAAATCTTTTCAACTTTTTCAGAGTTTTGGGTGTTTTTGTGTGTTCATGTATATTCATTTGCAAGTATTTCTGTACTGTTACTAGTTCAGTGTGGGCAGGAACACTTATTTAAATTTATACATTTAAACTTAAATCACAGTGCTTCCTTTAACTCGTTCTACACCTTGCTGGCTTGCTTTATTAAATTTAAATTGCTATCCAGGAGCCAGCTTTTACAACTGTTGTCACAGTTTAAAATCATAGCCCTTTCTCCAAAGTATGCCTTCTGACATAAATATTTTTAAAAAATATGACCTAAATTACAAAGAGCTACTTACATTCTCTGGTAGAAGTAATATGACTCAGAATTAGTTTGTTAAGTGAATTAGAAGTCCTTTTAACAAAACAAGGAAGAGCTACAGAACATCATTTTACAGACATAATTACATCATCATTATCATCAAGAGATTTAATTCTGCATCTTACCAGGTGGGGGAGGACAAGGTCTGGTAGGTGTTCCAATTTTAGGAGGCAAAGCAGGAGGAACGTCTTCATTTTTGGATGGAGGTTCCTCAAATACATTTTTGGTTATGACCATATTATTGAGAGAGCTTGTTGTACCTGAACTAAAAGGATCTTCATTGTTTGCCTTAAAATCAAGCATACAAACAGACTCTTATATTTTGTTTTATTGTTTGGTTAACTGTAATAAACATAGTCTTACTATCACTATTCATTTAACTCCTTTTAACACAGTTGTGGCCTCCATATTATTTTCTTTTCGTCTACAATGCAATAAACACATTCACATGTGATTCAAAATACTACCATGGACCTTTAGGACATTACAGCTACACTCCTATACATACATACTTACCTATTTAACTTATAGGTGCTTACCTATGCAAGACACACGTAGGACTGTACTGGAAATGGGTTTGATCTGGCATATCTAAAATACTGCCTAATGAACATACACGTTTTTAAACTTTCTCTTTGAGGGTTCTACGGTTCTACTGTATTCCCACATGATTATGGTGTGGTCTGCTTGATGGTCAAAAATACAAACAGCCATTTCAGTTGCATCAAATTTTTGGGATTCTTTCCAGATGAAGTTTATTCCACCCTTTCCCTGCTGTCCTTGCTTTTCAATACTTGCATTTGGGATCCACCAAGTTTAAAGGTAATTCCTTTCTTAGCTACCCTACTGAGCTCCATCTGTTGGGTTATTAAATCCTTCTGTACTTCTGCTACTATTTGAGGATTAAACTTTTAATATATATTTAAAAGAATTAAAATAAGTCGGGCACCTTTTGCTTCAAGAAGTCAGATAAAATATTTCAAAATGAAATACTTCTGAGAAAACAGAAGTTATTTCTATGCATCACTCCTTGTAAAATCACTGTGTATAGCTGAGCAGGTAAGCAGCAGTCTGGATTCCTTGTTCTGCAGTAGCATGATTGCTACAAACAGAATTCTGTGGGATTCAATACTGCATAGAAAAGTACTCTGTTCAAAGTGGCTTGCAGTGATTTTGGCCACCAATGCAATCACGGATTCTTCATCCAAAGTTGCAGTTTTGAATAGCAATTCCATTGCTACAGATTGTATGAATCTCCAGCATGCTAGGCTGAATGCTTTGCTACTATAAAAACATGTATCAGCTTCAGAAATGAACTGAACAGTATCTGTCCTAAAGAATATATCAATCTTTGAACAGAAGCAGAAGACAAACAGTTAATGAAGCTATGCAAGTGCCTACAGCTGCAGTTGTGGAGTTTTCCATTAATTGTATTGCTTATGCAGCAATTCACAGAGCAAGTAATTCTATAGCTAATAAAACTTAAAGCAGCTCAAAATGGGAAATCAATCTGACAAATCATTGACCTGTTGATTTATGTTCAACCCTTGCTGAAATTTTGTTTTGTACTCCAGTAGGTTGACACTACTAGTGTTTCAGTTACTGCAGCATTTTATACTTTTTCCACAAGCATTAATCATTTCACATTACCTTTGACAATGTGCTAAAGTCAGCAAAACCACTTCCAAATGATTCATTTCCAAACAGAGAAGCAAAGGGATCTGTAGCTAAAGCATGGAGGAAATAAAAGGGAAGGTTAATTCTCTTATTTATTGAACCTTCTGTATCTTACACATACATACGCAACACTTAAGTAGGACTACAAGTTACCAACCTCAAGCTCAGTTAATATCATGGATTTAAGCTAAAAGATATCCCATAGATGCTGTAAAGCTCACTTCAAAAGGTGGTAGAAATTACTGTATTCTTAGTGTATTCAGTCAACAACTCAAAATTCACAATACTGAATCATGAAATAAGCTTCACAAAAAATGTGCCCAGAGTTTATCAAAATGAGATGCATGGCATCTTAATATAGCAGTGATAGGAAGACAAGCAAGAGTATTTGAAATAAATAATTATTTTGTTGCTTTAAACCAAGGGTCCAGGCACACTATGGCCTGTGTAGGAAGTTCTCAGGCAGGCTATGATGTTCTGCTTTGCCCCTGGAGTGCACCCTAATAAAAGCAGGTTGCTTACCTGTAACTGATGTTCTTTGAGTGGCCATCTGTGCATTCACACATATGGGTGCTGCGCCTGCGCAGTGCCTAGGCCAGAAGATTAGAAAGCTAACGGTTTCTGGCAGGAAAACGCCGCTCCCCTGCCCCTCCATAGTATACATAGAGCGGAGTGTCCATCATTTTCCTCAGTCTTGAAGACCGAACGTTCGCCCCCTTGTGGATGAAAATTATATCCCAGCAAGTGCCATCAGTACCTTGAATATTAAGTAACGGTACCGATGGAGAAAGAAGTCCACTCACTGACACCAAGCGGGGCCAGCGGGTGGGTTGTGTGAATGCACAGACGGCCACTTGAAGAATATCAGTTACAGGTAAGCAACCTGCTTTTCTTTGTCGTGGCCTCTGTGCATCACACATATGGGTGATTAGCAAGCTTACCAGACTCGGAGGAGGGAGGTGTCGTTAACGAAGAATAGGCTAGAGAACTGCTCTGCCAAAGGAGCAATCTTGTCCGGTGCGTACATTAAGCTGATAATGCTTGGCAAAAGTGCACGGAGCAGCCCAGGTTGCAGCTCTGCAGATATCTTGAATCAGAACTCCCGCAGTGAGGGCAGATGAAGCTGCTACTGCTCACGTAGAGTGACCCCTTGGAGACACAGGTAAGTCTATCTTTGCTAACTGATATGCCAATACGATAGTCTGAACGATCCATTTGGATAGTCTTTGAGATGTAACTGGAGAGCCTTTGTCATGCTCAGAATATTTAATGAAGAGTCTATTAGAACGCCTGAAGGATGCTGTACGAGATCTGTAAAAAGCCAAACACCACCGAACATCGAGAGTGTGAAGAGATTTTTCAATCGGATTTGATGGCGATGGAAAGAATGCAGGCAAAACAATCTCCTGATTCATATGAAACGATGTAGCCACTTTAGGTAGAAACATTGAATCCATTCGAAGAACAACATTTTCCTTATGAAAATTCAAATATGGTGGATCTATCCGGAGAGCACAAAGTTCACTAGCTCTTCGAGCTGATGTGACAGCTACAAGGAAAGCAGTCTTCCAGGATACTAGGCGTAAATCAACAGTCGCCAAAGGTTCAAACGGGGGCCGAGTAAGCACTTGGGGTACTACAGAAAGACTCCATGTTGGCATAACAGGACGAATAGAAGGGTGAAGGTTCTGCAGTCCCTTGATGAAACGCCTAACCAGAGGTTGGGAGAAAACAGATGACCCTTGTATAGTGCCACGGTAATGTGATATGGCAGCTGTGTAGACTTTTATAGATGACGGTTTAAGTCCTGAATGATGCAATTCGAAGAGAAATTGTAAAATATTCTAAACAGAAGCCAGTCCATTTCGCTGCATAAGACCGACGCGTTGATGGTCTTAGAGCAGATTCAAGAATCGCTTGAATGTCTGGATCCAAGACTGTCGGTCCCGAAGCAATTCCTGTTGGGTCCGAGGAAGGGCTCGGGTGTACAGTTCGCTGAACTGTGTTTACCGGTGCTCAGGATGTCATCGGTTCTGAGTCAGTAGTAAAACTTATCGGATGCACCAGGCCGTCAGCTTCAAAGAAGCCAAGTCTGGGTGTCGGAGCACCCCATTCTATTGTGTTAACAGATGAGGAATTGTTGGGAGACGATGAAATACGCCTTTGGACAGTCGAAGGAGAGCGGTGAACCACGATTGCCTCGGCCACCACGGAGTTATTAATATCCCTGTAATATCTTGAACTATCTTCGAGACAACTCTCATCAAAAGTGGAATTGGAGGGAAAGCATAGAAAGTCATGTTGTTCCATGGGATCACGAGGGCATCCCCGGCCGCCCCTGGTCTGATACCCGCTCAGTTCACAAACCCTGTTCTCTTGGGTAGTGAACAAGTCCATGTTCGGGTATCCCCATAGATGGAAGAGCTGCTCGCAAAGCCGTCGGTCTAACTCCTACTCGTGGGTTGTCGACATCTGTCTGCTCAGCATATCGGCTTTTACATTGTCGGTCCCTGCCAGGTGAACCGCCAACAGCATTATGTCCCTTGGGATACACCAGTCCCAATTTTCCATCGATAGACGAGTCAGAGCAGGTGACCTTGTCCCACCCTGCTTGTTGATGTAAAAAACAGCAGCGATGTTGTCGGATGCAATTTGGACAACTTGACGCTGAAGGACATTCCCGAAAGATTTGAGAGTGTTGAAAATCGCTGAAAGTTCGAGGAAATCGATATGTTTCTTCGCTTCCTCCCAGTTCCAAGTCCCTTGGACACGAAGTCCCGCACATGCCATACTCCATCCGATGAGGGATGCATCAGTGTACAAGGTTACTGTTGGTTGAGGCGGTTGGAACGAAACGCCGACAGTGAAATTGTCTAGAGTAGTCCACCATGTCATGGTACGTAGGATCGACTTGTTGGATGGGTCCCGCTGCGGATGAAATGACTTGTTGAAAAACAACTGTAGGGGCCGAAGTCGGAGTCTGGCGTATGGGACGATGGCAATTGCGGCAGCCATGTGTCCTAGAAGCCTCTGGATGGTGACAGCCTGTACTATCCTGTCTTGTCGAATCCAATGGATGTGGCCAGGGTGACTTATGGCCAGGGCGACTTATTTTATATAGTTACGTGTATTTTATACCGTTATTTATGTATTTTAATTTATTTATTTGTAAGCCGCCCCGAGGCTTCGGTGAATGGGACAGCCTAGAAATTTTCTAAATAAATAAATAAATAAAATAATTAATGTGCGTCAGAGATTGTCTCGACGGTTCGGAGGAAGAAATGCCCTCTCTAGGGTAGAGCTGAGGCGTGCTCCAATGAAATTGATGACCTGTGTAGGAATAAGGGATGATTTCTCGTGGTTAATGCAAAGTCCAAGATTGTCAAGTAAAGCACAAGTTTTCTGTACGGGTGACAGGAGACTATCTCTAGTCTGGGACACAATCAGCCAATCGTCCAAGCATGGGTATACTTGGATACCTTGAAGCTGCAGGTACACACACACCGGAGCCATGCACTTTGTGAAGACTCTCAGAGCGGTGGCAAGGCAGAATGGCAGGACATTGAACTCGAATATATCGGATCTGACAGTGAAACGTAGGAAGTGTCTGTGAGAAGAATGAATTGAAATGTGGAAATAAGCATCCTTCAAGTCCAGTGAGGCGAACCAATTCTCTCTCCTCAGCAATGGAAGGATATTTTGTAAAGTGGTCATCTGAAACTTTTTAGGTTTAATGTACCTGTTAACATCTCGCAAGTCCAGGATAGGACGAAGACCACCATCCCATTTAGGGACTGTAAAATATTTAAAATAGAATCCGTGTAGCCCTTCAGAATGAGAGAGCTATCGAATCACTTCTTTACAAAGTAGCTGGTAGACTTCATCACATAGTACTGAAGAGCAGTGTGTAAATCGAATTGGGCTCGACGGAGGAACGATGTCAAATTCTATTCTATATCCAAGCTGAATGATGGGTAACACCCACCTATCAGATGTGATGGACTCCCAAATGGGGAGTCGGCTTTGGAGCTGGCCCCCAAAAGGGAGGGGGAAAGGTGGGAAGTGGAGAGACGGAATGGTCCACTGGGACAGTCAATGTTGATGTTTCTCAGTATTGAAATGCCAACGGCCCTGAGAAAAGTGTTGTTGCGGCTGTTGCCTTCTACGTTGCTGTCTCTGTTGATACTGCTGCCAAGGTTGGAACTGTTGATGGCAGGAAGGGCGGGACCATGGCCACTTACATTTTTGTTGTGGAAGCTCCATACAACGCACTGTCATACACGATTCATGAATCGACTTGAGCTTATGATTGGTCTTTGCATGAAACAGCCTGGTACCGTCAAATGGCATCTCCTCTATTCTTTTCATTTCCTCCGGGAAATTGCAGTTCCTCAGCCACACATGCTGCCGGAGAGAAATGGCACTGACTAGAGCCCTAGAATCAGTGTCCACATGATGCCTTGCAGTGGAAAATTGTTGAATGGCCATTTGCATTACCTCCTTTATAAACACTCTGGCCAAGTCCACTTGGTGGTCCAGAAAGAAGGAAGTGACGTTCTCCAATTATGCATTATGAAGTACTGGTAACGCGCCAGCGTCGCTTCATAATTCGATATGCGGAGGCCGAGTCCAGAGGCCGCATAGACCCGGCGCGCAAGCATATCGCTCTTCCTCCCTTCTTTATCACAGGGGGCCATGTGACCCCTCAACTCCCTGCCCTGGGAGGACTCAAGGCAAGGCGAAGGCTGCGGACTGTTCACCCGACAATGTCATAAAATCTGTCAGTGCTGGGACTGGGGCGATGGTGGGCCTCGATCTCCAGCAACTGAACCAGGTGAGAAATGAGCTCTGCAAAGCAAATGTGGGGCCCGTCCAGAGATCCAGGGCCTTGGGAGGTAATGGCCACATTGGGAAATGTAGAGTCCACCTCCGACTCATCCGAGTCTTCCTGGTAGCGATAGTGGTCGCTAGATGAAGAGGTCTCCTGAGAGGTTGGTTGTCTTCTCTCCACGCGACCCAACGTGAATGGTGCCTCCCTCGGGACCAGTGGTGACAGACAGTCCCGCGGATAGTAGCCGAACGAGTGGTATTCACCCCAGCCTGTGAAACCATCATAGCCGGGCATTTGCCAGTCGTCAGCTTGACTTTCAGCGGAACGGCTTCAACGTCTAGGCAGTGAAGGAGATTCCGCAGGTGGTCCGGCTGGAGGCATCAGAGTTGGAGAGTGTTCCCTTGGTGGGGAGTCTCGGATCTCTCCATCTGAAATGGACTCCCGAAGTGGCGCCTCTGGTTGTCGAGGTGACGCACTCTCAGGCCGAACAATTTGCCTGGGGACCCTGGTGGAGTCACCAGCATTGCCGATTGCAGAGCTGGACCCGATGGAGTCGGTACCGTAGCGGTGGTCGGTACCGAGAACCCCAATGAACCCGAACCACAGTGTTTGGAGTGGTTGGGTTTTTTTCCTTTACGGGTTGGCTTGTCCGCTTTGTTCTTCCTCGCCTTTTTGTGACCGGATGACTTATCGGATCCGGTATGCTTACACTTCTCCCATTGTTTGGTTGGTGGAGAAGGTAGCTGTTGGGCCTCCCTTGAAGTAGCGCCTTCATTTGAAAGACGCTGGAGAGATGTTGCAGAGGTCAAGGCAGGGCTCTTCAAAGGCGCGGCCGAGGCAGAGGCAGAGCGGTGAGGAGGTGCGGCCGAAGAGGAGCCAGGCTTTAAGACCAGCTGGTCTGATTGCATCAGGACCTGGTCCCAGAGCAACTTACAGAGATGATTCTCCCCATTTTTTCTGGCCTGCTTGGACACTCCGCTCTATATATACTATGGAGAGGGAGGGAAGTGGAGTTTTCCTGCCAAAAACCGTTAGCTTTCTAATCTTCCAGCCTAGGCACTGCGCAGGTGCAGCACCCATGTGTGTGATGCACAGAGGCCACGACGAAGAATTAAAGCTCTATATATCCTGCCATTCTACTCACTTTTATCTTTCATTAAATAGAATTGTATTAAAATCCATCCACACCAATGACAAAGCCCCATTTTATAGTAACAAACTTTGCAACCTTAGATGTTGGGTGAAAGTATCCTTCTTGTTGCCTGGGACTTAGGTGGCTTGGGTTCTAGTCCTTGCTTAGCCCTGGAGCCAAGTGGGTGACTTTGGGCCAGCCACAGACTCTCAGCCCAACCTACCTCACAGGGTTGTTGTGATGGGAAGAAGATTGAGAGTGGAAGGAGGAGAATTATACAAGTTGCTTTAAGTTTGTTATAAGGAAAAAGGATATTCAATGAATGAATGAATGAATGAATGAGGGAGGAAGGAAGGAAGGAAGGTAGGTTTGGTTTGAAAGTTAATCCTTGTCACTTTTCAGGGTATCAAGCTACCTCAACGGGTACTGTTGCAGGTCAATTATTCCATGGTTATAATCGGCAAATCACATACAAAACCTTTCCTGCTCCTCTTAAGCAGAAATGGTGGGGGCCAAGAAATTGCTTCCAGCATGTGCTGCCCACTTATCTTTAGATTCCTTTCCATGTGTCCCAAGGGTATTTTTCCCCTACAGAAAAAGTGCAATTCACTGGAGTGGAGAAACACTTTCAGCCCAATGGTCCAATTTAAATTCTAAAAAGCTCTTGGGGACCTTATTCCAGTGGTGTGCAGGGCTGAAGTTAAAGAAGCAGACCTGAAGGGGAAATTGTGAGGGAAACTGGCCTTCTGGGGGTGGGCAGTGGAAAAGGGTGGCAGAGAAGAAAATTAACAATGCAAAAGCTGGGGCCCTGCAGAAGCTAACAGTAACCCCAGGAGTGTGTGTCAGAGTGTTGAAGAAGATGCCACTTCCTGTCCTGGCCAGGACACTCAGGACACCCTGCAGTTAAGGAGACAGCTCACATTTCAGATCAGTCTGTGTGAGAGTTGGCCCAGTGGCACTGGGATACTTATAATTTGGGATCTTTATAAGTCCTTACCTGGATCACTTGTTGCAGTAACAGCAGTTCCACCAGGAGCAAAAGGATCATTATGCTTCAGCGTTTCTGTCTAAAAGTTAAATCAGTTAGCTTTTGCAGGCCATCAAGGTTCTTAGCATTAAGCATGCTAACCTTTGCTTTAGAGATAATATTTTCAGGCCCATACTTCATCTGACTTTCTCAAATCTGAGAATGTTCCTACGCCCAGCTAATCATTAATCAACATTTCTCAAAGAACAAAGAAGAGATTGGCTTTGGTCCTAATAACTGCAACAATCTCTTTAACAGTCTAATTTCCTTCAGTTCATAGGAAGATTTTTCAAAAGAAAATGAACAGTCATTGACAGTAAACATTTATGCAGTAAACATATCACTGCATTTGCTCATTTCAATTTCTATTCCTTCTGGCTGCTGGTGCTTAATTTTTTCCTAAATTTTTCATATTAAGCACATTATATTCACAGAACCAGACATAGGGCACATTCACTTCTCCCAAACTTACTGTAGAATTGCTGCTGTGGTTGGTTGTGCTGAAGGGGTCAATATTTTGTTCACAGCAGCCAGGATACAAAACTACCTATCTAAGTCTCCTGATCAGCAAACAAACCTTCAGAGATCTGCTGGGTAGGCCAAGCCAAAGTGATGAACAAGTTTAGGGTTATTAAAACCTAAAGGCTATTAAAGCAACAACATGATGAAGAAATAATCAACTGGACACATAGCTACCACATAAGCCCATCCTTTAAAAATGGAAGCAACTGTGCCATCAGCCCTGTATTTAGTTTTCAAAATGCTACACGATCTAATAACTCCAGACTCTAATTTCAGACCAAAGGAGTCAGATTGTCTAGACACAGCACTCCAAATGACTTCAAAATCTCTTATCAGAATGACAATACAGATGCAGAGATCACCTGTTGCCTTTAAAATAAACATAAAGACATAAGGGAACTAGCAAAGATTTCTGTGTAATTCTTATGGATGCATTTCACATTAAGTACAATATATTTATAGAACCAGATGTAGGACATGGTCACTTTTTCCAAACTTACTGTAGAATTGCTGCTGTGGTTGTTTGTGCTGAAGGGGTCAATATTTCCAAAAGGATCTGTGGATGACTGCTTGAAAAAACAGTCAGCAGCAAAAGGATCCGAACCTTTGAAAGGATCACTACCAAAAGGATCTTAAAGAAAACCAAGCAAAAGTGAGACTATTTAAGGCATATTTAGCATTCTCATATTGGAAATACATTGTACAAAAATTATAAAATTGTTGTTGTTTACCACCCAAACAGCTTCACCTATTGGCCAGTATAGAAATTAATAAATTATGCGGTTTTACTATACTCTAGCTCATTTAAGTAATCCATATCAATTAAAATGTGTATAGAGTTAGTTTGTTATATGATTTCATCCAGTCTAAAGCACTCATTGTTCATTTGCACTGACAGCTACCTTACACAATACATGGATCCTACCTATGTGAGCAGTCCTTTCCTTCCCTGGGTATGTAGTCATGTGAACTAATGATCTGGCTATTCATTTTCCTACAGAGGCTTTCTTTGCTTTCATGCTGATATTGCAGCCACTGGAACTGCAACCACAAAAACATATGAAAGCTTTCATAGCCTGAATTACACACATCATATTTGTTAAGAGTGAGCGTGGGCCAACCCAAGCTCCAGCCCTGCATGCATGTATAAGAAACACATTGCAAAGGTCAGTCTTGAAATTAAACTTCTAATTCTGAGGTATGTTTTGAGTGCTGGAGGGCAAAAAGAAGAGGTTTTTTTTTTAATGGCTGGAGAAATCAGAGACAATGGTGAAGAAGAGATACCTTTCTCAAATTTGCTCTTAGGTTGCCTAAATATTAAGGAATTTTAAACTCTGGAGAATGAAAATGACACAGGTCACCCCACAATTAGCTCAGAAGAGACTGAACATTATGCAAAATCCTGAAAAGTAAAACCTACCATATAGTGGAAGAAGGGAAGGGAAATGCATCTTACTCCAGCAGTGTTTAGAATTCTCTGAAAAGCCTTGAGATCCACTGGATCATTTTTTCCAAAACTTTTTTTCATAGCCCTTTTAGGATGTCCTATTTTCCTTCCCCCAAATAGGAAGATTTGGCAGGTAATGACATCTTATTATCCTCTGCCGTAGGTTATCTTCCAGCAGAGGCTGTTGGGTATGAAGACTTTACAACAGAAAATACTTGCAGCTATAAAGACTTTTCTATGCCTAAACTGACCATTTCTTTTTCTAAATAAAAAGCTGCTATTTACCATAGCCCTCCTTGTTAAATTTTCAGCAAGCATCTTCTTATGGTCTCATTTAATAAAATTACATGTAGGTTACTAATAGTTCATTAATTACTAGCCTGAGTCCTGCTAACTATCTCCGCAAAGTCCACAAAGAATATTATGCTTCTGAACTATTGAACGAAAAAAAATTAACACTTACCAATCTTTCCAAAAGGATCATCCTTGAAAGGATCACCTATTTTAAAGAGTGAAATATTCCCCATCACTTCTACAGAATCCTAGAGGCAACAACAAAGTTATACTTACCTGAAATAGAGTGTTGTTTGTGCTGGTATGCCAGGGGGTACACATAGGCCAGCCACATAATTTCAAAGGGCTAACAGAACAACCGCTTGCCTACTAATTTTACTTGCTTTTGCATCCACTAAGGGGAGCAAGGAATATATTAACATTCCTCACTTCTCCTACTTAGCTGTTGAATATGTATTTGTTTTGAGTGTCTACTCTTGAACTGGCTTTATAAAGATGATGAACCACTGGTTGCTTTTTAGGCATGTGTATCTATTTTACTTCATCCATTACGGGACATAACTTTGGGTCCACACATCTACCTTCCAGATCTGGAAGTCTCTTCACTCTCCAGGACAGAGGAGGAAGTTAGCTGTGCAATGACAGCTGCATCTTATTTGGCTATGTGCTCCTTACTCCCTTTAATAATTAAGAAAGGGGGAAGTCCCTGAGTATCCCTGTGTAAAAAATACTGTAATGAATCTGACAGCATTAAGCTAACAAGAAGCCTGAAGAAAATGATAATCCTTTCTCCAGTGGCAAAGTGAAGTTAGGAATGCTTGCCTTTCATCCAAGTGAGAGAAAAGACTGATAAAGTCATTAGTTACTTGACATGAAGCATGCCTTCAAATATGGATGATTCTATGGCTATTATGCAACCCCATGATGCAGAAGAACTGCACATTGCATGAGAACGTTCTTAAAAAGCAAAGCCACTTCAGGAGGAGTAGTTACAATTGTGAAGCAATAAGGTAGAAGAGGGATTTAAAAGGTATTTAACAGTTTCATTCTCCACACCATACGTCACAACTACTTCCTAATGTAGTTTCAAGTGCGCGCACACACACACACACAGAGTAAAACTCCTATGAGGTGAAAGGCACTGGGAAGTGAACAATCCTCCCTTGCTACTTTACTGTTTCCCTCTGTGCAGAAAAGAGTCTTGGGTTTGTTTTTAAAATGCAGCTTTTGGAGAATCCTTATGTGCATTAGTATGCTAGCCCCCCACTAATGTGTTAAGACTACATGTATCAAGATTAACATATCAAGGTGGTCAACTGAACTCTTAAAGAGCATCAATGCTTAATAAATGCTGGTGCTGTTATTTTCCCACATTAGCTGTATTAGGAAATACCCAGACACCGCACTGCATAACTACTGGCAAGCTTCTTTCTACTAGTTATCTGCCTTTCTGGTAAGAATATTCTACTGATAACTTAGGTGCCATTTCTGACAAGTGAAATACTGAATTCTTACTGTCTCTTAACAGTAAACAAAGTTCAGTTTGCTTCATCTCCAGCAATGACCATTCAATGCTACATACACAAAACCTGTACATTCATCAGCTACAGATAGAAATAAATGCATCAGGAGGTGAAATGGAAAGAGAAGGTGCCACTGAGAAAGAACATGGGAGCAAAGAGATGCTCGGGAGACTACAAGGGGCATTCAATGTATTCTCAGTATCAGCATGAAGAATAATAAATTGGAATAATTTTTATTTTTCAATGTAACCTCCCATAACCTCAATATACTTATTACATCTAGAAATTAACTTTTCAATTCCCTGTAAAAAATACTGTTCCTCCTTGTCTAAAAAATGTGCATTAATTGCCGCCTTGAGCTCTTCATCGTCAAAAAATCGCTTTCCATGAAGATCTTTTTTTAAATTCAGGAATAGGAAGTAGTCACTGGGGACCAAGTCTGGGCTATAGGGTGGGTGGTTTAATTCTTCAAAACCACAGTCTCGCACAGCAGCCTTTGGAACACGTGCCGTGTGAACGGACGCATTGTCGTGAAAAAGCGACATACCTGCGATCAGTTTTCTCCGCCTTTTTTAATTCCTTCTCTTAAATTACACAGAGCGGTTGCATAAGATGCTGCATTTATGGTTTCACCTTTTTTCATGTACTCAATCAATAAAATTCCCTTTGAGTCCCAAAACACTGTGGCCATGATTTTTCCGGCCGATGGAAATTTCTTCGGAGGGTCAGCACCTTTTTTATGCCACTGCATGGACTCCTGCTTACTTTCAGGGTCATAGTGATGAACCCAAGTTTCATCTCCAGTAACAATCCGGTCGAAAATACTCTGTGGATCTTCACCACAGAGCTCGAAAAACTCCCTACAGCACTCGACTTGCACTTGTTTCTGAGGTGCCATGAGCATTCACGGCACCCATCTTGCACAGACCTTTGAAAGGTTAAGATGGTTATGAAAAATAGTAAATATGGTACCAACGGATAGGTTTGTCATCTCTGCTAACATTTTGATTTTTATTCAGGCATCTTCCAATACAAGTTTCTCAATTTTTTTTCACATTTTCTTTCGTAGTGGCAGTAACCGGCCAGTCCGAGCAAGGGTCGTCTTCAATGCTTTCTCTGACCCTTTTAAATTCACTTGACCACTTTTGAACAGTAGATAATGAAGGTACAGAGTCCTGGTAAACAGCCGCCATCTCTTCATGAATGATTTTTTGGCTTTTTCCTTGTTTTGAAAGGAACTTAATCACAGCGCGGTGCTCTATTTTCTTCAACATTGTCGCATCAGTCATTATGGTCGTCTTTCACTGAGGATTACTAGGGAACTAACGGTCACACTTATTTGAAATTTTGCATGTATACCCTCAGATAGTGTCATTAGCTAATGAAATAATTAAATTACCCACATCAATAGCAAATCAACCTGATACCGAGAATACATTGAACACCCCTCATAGCTTAAATACCTCCCAATCCATTGGCAGAGGAGAAAACTCTTTCGCTCCCAAAAGAGATTTTTGGCTAATGTTTTAGCCTTCATAATGTCTCCTGTTTTAATATGGTATCTGGCTCAGACTTTTCCATTTCTATTTTGATTGCACTTTATTATAAACCAATCAATTTTTCTCTTATTGTGGAACAGTGCAAAAGTTGGGCAAACTTTTAGAATGAAAACTATAGATAGGGTCTGACTGTATCCCAGTGCTAGTGCAAATACCACTGCACTGCACAAGTACCTCTACAATGTAACCAGCGCTTGCTAGGGCAACTGTAAAACTTGCTTAGCTGACAAATTTTGGTGCAATCATTACAATTTGACTGGAAGTTGATTTTTCTCTCTGCCATAGCTCATATGTTGCACAAATTTTGGCTTACTCTAGCACAATGTCATTGTGTTAATCCCATAGACTAGCTGGATCCCCAAAGCCTTTAGACCAATTCCAAAGTGTATGGGAATTCCAAACATCTTAGCTCTTGTATCTAATGGCAATCCAATACTATGCAAGCTTAGATAGAAAATCAGTGGCTGAGGCATGCTGGGAGTTATAAGCCTTTTTTCTGTCTAAGCTTTTGTAGGACTGCACTTTTATTGTCATTACTGGTTTTCTCAGCATATTTCTACAAAGAGAAAAAGAGTTTACTTACTACCAACAAATGGATCAGACTCAAAGAAGTCTAAATTGGATCCTGTAATCTGATCAGAGAGCTGTTGGGTTTCTTCATTAAATGGTTCTTCCTAGGAGGAAAATTTTATTTTAAAATTGCACAACAGTATATATACTTATTTACTCTCTAAAGTCAATCATTACTCATGTTTACAAATATAGAACTAAGGATGACTAGTACATGATTTCTCGATAGCAATCAAGCCACGAGAAACAACAAGGGATTCAGACATCCAATAACTGAATTTCCAGGTATGGACTCTCCCATAAAATCCGGGGATTGGCAGAAAAGAAATGCCCTCTCCTTGCCTATCTACTCTGGAATGTTTCAGGAATAGGACAGAAAAGAATAGGAAGTGACACCTGAATCTGCTAGAGCAGTGATGGCAAACCATTTAGAGACCGAGTACCCAAACTGCAAAGTGCCAACACTACAATAAAACCTGAAAACTGAAGTTTTAGTTTAGAAAAAACAACTCACAGCCAGTCCAAGCAAATAAATATATATCCATGGCAGGGCATTGACCAGCCATGTGAAAGCTCAGACAAGTGATGGCTTATGAGTCGCGGCTCGTGACATCATCGCCTGGCGCCACTACTCCTTTCCAGGACACCTCATTTTTTGAACCCTAACCCTACCCTGGTGCACACCCCTAACCCTAATACAGGGCAAAAGTTCCATTGAAAAGACGGCAATTTTGAAAAAGCCTTCCTTGAGTAGCTTTCTCTGCACAGCTCATCACTTCTGCCCATTCTGAACACATTCCAACCATCAAAATCATGCCAGGACACCTCGTTTTTCTAACCCTAACCCAGTGATGGTGAACCTTTTAGAGACTGAGTGCCCAAACTGCAACCCAAAACCCACTTATTTATTGCAAGTGCCAACACTGCAGTAAAACCTGAAAACTGAGGTTTTAATTCAGAAAAAACAACTCACAGCCAGTCCAAGAAAATACACACACACACACACACACTTGGCAGCACACTGACCAGCCATTCGAAAGCTCAGGCAAGTCGCGTCATCGCCTGGCACTGCTACTCCTTTCAGAGCATACGCATGGCCCATATGTGTGCTGTTATCCGATGCTCGGCTGCTGGGGCGATGCTGGGGTGACTTGGCTCATGCCAACAGAGAGGGCTCTGTGTTCCCGCTGTGGCACATGTGCCACAGATTCACCATCACTGTGCTAGAGGAAGAGAAAGAGTGGCAAAAATTGCCTCCTCTCTAGTATCTAGCCTCTTCTGGATCACTAGACTACTTATAGGCAGAACCCCTTCTGTTCAAAAGAGAACAAGTCTGTAGTGAAGCAATAATTTAACAGTTCCTATCCCACTCCTATGGAATAAAGAAATATTCCACTCAAGCAAAAGTATTTAGATAGTTAATAGAGCCATATGTGAAAATGTTGTTGAAACTCACTTTTTTGGTAACATCTGGGGATGAAATCTCTTTCTCTTCTTCAACTGTTTCTACATATGCTGTTTCTGGACTATTCCTGCCCTTTTGGGAGAAAATTAAATTCAGACATGTATAGTTTCTCTTTATGCTATGGAATACATTAATTTAGAGTCTGAAGAGGGATGTGTTCACACAACAGCTTTTCACAATACATATGGTGGTGGTAGGGGGGGGACCCAAAAAAACCCAGGAATTATCTTCTCAATAGCGGGTCCCTTGTAGTACAGGCTTCCTCCACTTAGGTGAGTGTTCTAGGAACCCATCTGCATCAGTGTACCCAAGCTGCGTTCCAATTCAGTGAGGATGTTTTGGAGACCTTCAATGCATTTGCCTATTTTGTGATGGCTGACTTACACAAACAATGTGAAGTAGTGAAATTTTGTTCTGCTGAGTGTTCAGCAGTTTTTGACCAAAACAGCATGACCCTTGTGCCCCACCCTCCCTATTCACCTGATCTCGCCCTGTGCAAATTTTTTTTTTGCTTCCCCAGAAGAAAAAAGTCCTCAAAGGGAAATGTTTGCCAATGTGGAAGAGATGAAACCAAAAAAAGGCAGAAGCACTAAAAGGCATCAAAATCGATGAGTTCAAAACTTGTTTTGAGCAGTGGAAAAGACATCTCAATGGGTGTACTGCATCAGAGAGTACTTTGAAGGTGACTGAAGTGTGAAAATATAACAATAAATACACTTTCTTTTATAAATAAATGCCTGGGTTTTTTGGGTCCTCCCCTCATATATCTGTGGCACATGTTCAATTACAGGATCACTTGCATTTACACACACTCATTTAATGAACAGTGAAGCTTATGAACCACATACAAGTAGCTGGAAGGAGAAACACATTGCATTAATGGACTGTTTTGTATTATTTCTAGCATTTAAGAATTACTCCAGATAGGAACAATAAACACAATACCTAACCAACGATAGTCTGTGAAGTAACAAAACACTATCAGAAGAACTGTACAATTTGTTCACCACTAATACCAGGAGAAAGAGCTAAAGAAATCTGCATATATTAATTGGATTGTAACATTTTCACAAATATAGCAGATGTTCCCATTGTTGGATACATTGTACTTAGATGTAAACTAATATTGTCCCTCCAAAGTGTGAAAAACCTGAAACTGTCCTTGAAAAACAATCTTTGTATATGGATTAGGTATTCTGTCAGTTTTGTTATTTCTAGGGCTTATGCTTCAGTACCTGAATATAAACCGCGCTGCCCTTTGCAAGCCTGATGGCTAAAACATGAAACATATTTTAAGAGATTCTCAGCACTTTGTGGGAGGAATCTTTGAATAGTATGAAGGAAATTAAGGCAGCACATTAAAACTTCCCCCAAATCTCTATTAATTGTGATTAACTGAATAAAGCATACTGGGAAAGGCCTTAATGAATTAATACATCCATGCATTCAAATAAAATTACATTTACTTTCCGGGTGAATCTGTTCTATTTGTGAAAACTCAATGCATCAAATCAGTTTTATAATCAAACAGACACCCCAACTACTCACAGGAGATTTACGATTTATTTGTTCAGTGTCAGCTGAATTCTCTCTTTCAGCATTCTCATTAGCAGTTTCACTGCTGCTGTTGCTGAGGCTAGAATGATCTGAATTTCCATTAAGTATTGTGCTCTGTGATTGAGGTTCCCAGTTAAACTGGCTGTTTTCCAGTTCTTTGAACTCGTACAGTTTTGTTTCTACCTGTAAAGACAAAAGTATAAACATAGTTTAACAACAAGGAAGAGAATATTACATGCAACAATTTACTCTCCTAGTATGTCATTACATACTAGGAGAGCATTCAGTTTTTATTTAGTTTGCAGACTTTCAAAACCAGTCTTTGGCATATATCTCCCAAATCTATTATAACACCCCTCCCCCATTTGCTGCCTTGCTTATTTCCCTCAAAAACTTAACAAAATTAGAATGACCCTTTTATACATACAACTTACTAGTAGCTGTAGATGCTTGGTACTAGTATTTATTTAGTTTCAATAAAATGAGCGCTCAGTTATTTGCTCTATAATGCCAGTTTTGACAAAGTTCAATGAATTCCTGGTAACACGCATCTCCCCACTAATGCAAAAAGCTAATTTCAGTAACACAGAAGATTAACACTTTGAAGATCAGGTTAAGGTCAGGGCACCCCACTCCTTCTCCTGGGCTTGCCTTGAGAAGATAGAAATTTCTACTTCCTGTTTTAAACTAATTACAGTTTGGTCTTTGGTCTAATCTGGACCAAATGTGATTCAATTAAATTATGATTTATTTAAAGAAGGCAAGATCAAACTATAGCAGTGACTGGTGGCAGAAGAGAGGAAAGGGGGCAAAAGACTAGGGAACACTATATGGCAAGTGTTTCCAGGGAGATAAGGACTGGTTCTCCTGGTAAGAAACAGAGGAATAGATATTAGGGCAATCTAACTATCCCACCAGACCTTCCTCTTTAGTAGGGAACAGCTATATTGATTTACACATTTATTCCCACCTTCATACAGAAAATTCAAGGTTTATACATGCTTCCCTCCTTTTAACAGTGGGGAGCCTGCAGCATGCTTTTGTGTGAAACACACAAGTGAAAGATGGATCAACTTTATAGGCTACCAGTTGGTGAATTCTAAATTTCTAAAACAGACCACAGAATTCTGAGAAGCAAAGAAAGAACTACAGTCCAGATCTCTGAAATTCTGAAGTCTGGCAAGTCTGCAGTAGTTTAACTTTTTGTTAGAATAACAAGATATTTTACTAATATTTTACTTGAATAACATTTTAATTACTCTTTTGCTGTTGCAAAAGTAAAGCTGATGCAATAGTAATGGTCTCTTATACATATTCCTCACTTACTACTTGTTAAACAACATTACCATTTTAAAGATCAGGGTTATGCCTAAAAGTACAATGACAAGTTACCAATTGTAACTGAAGAAATAGGCAGTGTAAGAAGAAAAAATGGAAAAGGCAACAAGAACATTTATTCTCTTTGAGAGTGGTCCTTACTGAGGTAATTTCTTGTCGTGTGTCTTGGAGATCCCACTGAAGAGGTGCCAACTGCAGCTTTCCTGTTTCTACATGCTTTTCTAGCTCTGATGTTTCCTGCTGTAATCTGCTGAGCTCTTCTTGGGCATTGTTCAAATCATTCTTATATGTTGAGAGTTTGGACTCCTGATCTGTTATTTCTTCCTTTAGTGATGCAATCTGCAGAGGAAGCAAATTACATGGAATATGCGAAACACATTCTATTGTAATACTTCAACAAGTACAGCAAATGCATACCTGACTTTTATTGCAGGGTATTTGTTTTCACTCTTTATTTATTTATTTATTTATTTATTTATTTATTTATTTATTTATTTATTTAAAACTTTAATAGGCCGTCCCTTATGCTTGGCATCTCAGGACAGCTTACGATCGTTAAAACAAGACCACAATAAAACAACCATCTTTGTATAATACATAACAATTCCTAAACTATGTTTAGGAAAAGTAAGCCACATTGCAATAATATTATCACCACTGTCATCTCAGTGGCCTGGTCCAAATGCTGTTCCTGATAACAAAATCATGATTGGAAAACTGGAAATGTACTGTAGCCCCCTCTTCCTTCCTTGGAGCACTGTGATGCTTTCCCCCACCTTTCCTTGTTTGAACAAGCTTGTCTCTTTTAGTAAGTGCAAGCTCATGGTTTCAAGGACCATTAACTTGTCCAGTGACTTTGCAATTCAGCTGATTATCATATTCTATTCATCTTGAACTAAACAAGCATATGCAACTTTAATATGAACAAGGAACAAAATAAAATCATATATTTTTCACTTTTCTAAAAAAAATCATGTTTTAGCAAGAAAGAGCTATTTTCATAAATTCAGGAGTCAAAGCCATAAGTAGACATCTGGATGGTCTTAACCCAGCAGCACAAGCTACCTTTAAAAAAAATTTAACTGTTCCCACAAACAATCTACATTGCATGTATCAGTACATTTCAGTAACATGGATTTTGGAAAGGCCCATGAAAGCATACTAACAAGAACGGTATCACAATTGCAACAAGATTTCTCCCTCTTCCACCTATTCTCCAGTGAAGAGATACAAAAGGTGTATCCTTTTTGACAAATGAGCCAATAAGGCATACCAAATCAGCTTCCTCAGCACATTTTTGTCGAATGATGTTAAGCTCCTCTTCCAACTTGGCTTTCTCCTCATCAAGATCATGAAGGATTTCCTCTGCTTCCTGCCTCTGAATCAACAGTGCTTGCAAGTTATTGCTCTCCCTTTTTACTTCATCCTGAAGATCCTGATTTTTTAAAGTGAAAGTTGCAAATATTTATTGTAAAGCAAAGAGAAAAGTTGCTCTCTTAAGCATTTGTAAACTTGTGCGTAAGCAGAACACAACAAACAAGGGAAAAAGACCCTTTGGTAAAAATTAGTTTCAACATAGCATTTTGCACTTGGTTTAGAGAATGGGAGGTGGGGAATATCCAATACTTCCCAAATTTACAGGGAACCTTCCCTTTTGGTAGGCCGCCACTCAAAAACACTGACCAGCACAGGGTGGTGGTGGTGGATGAAATTCAATTATACATGAGAGAGTTTTTTGCCCAGGCACAGCATAATACACTTCTTTAAGAATTGGTAGAAACGAATTTTAAAAATTTCTGATGGGCCCTACCAGCATCATTAGTAGACCCCTCTTTTGATCAGAACCAGGTTTTGAAAACTTATTTTTAAAAATTGCTGAGTCACATTCTCAAAAGGCAGCTTTGAACAAATAAATCACATATTGGTTAAAAGTAATGTTTGGCAAGAAATGACCATATGATTGAACTATGAAGAACCTTCAGGTTCTCATGTTTTCGTCTCACCTCAAGTATTGCAATGCCTTCCTTCCAATACAGCTTTACAGTAAGCCACAGTTTTATATTTCACTTAACTGGCAGGCTACAGGTTGCCACAGGATCAGGAAACCATGGTGGGAGGGAACCATGATGCATGATGTGGCAGAAGGGCCTTGCAAGGCTTGGTTGTATAACACAAAACCATGTTTTGTTATCAGTCAGCCCACTGTGCTCTGCATCTATTTTGAGAATATTCTGTTCCCTTCCATTCTGTGGAGAAATCTATGTCTATCTGTCTAGGCAAGTCTCACACTTCAAAAAAAAAAAAAAAAAAAAGTGCAAATATCTGCTTCCTCGAATGTTCTCAAAGAATACTTAAATACTTTAAAAACAGATAAAACTTCCTTTCTCCGGGTTGACTTCCACTATCTGACCTTAGTGTGCAGCTACAGGGAAAAAGCCCACGTCAGTAGTGGTATACAACAACTTTATTAGGAAACAGCCTTTGCCATCAAGGCACAAGTTCATAGAGAACTTTATCACATCATGCAAGCAACAGGTGGTCAGCATTATTCTTCACAGTACTATGGATGGGGAGAAGTGAAGAGTAAAAAAACTATGATAACTAAACCAGGATTAAGTTATTTATTAATTTTAAATACTATCTATATTAGCCAAATGGCTCTCTGAACATTTTACAATAAAAGCTAAAAAGAACCCAACATAATGGACAATACCACAAAAATATATAAATACAATATGGGTCGTAACATACCAGTCCCATATCCAGTTAAATACAAATATATAAATAAGCAAGCAATTCACAGTGACCCAATGAAGGTATAAATAAAGTATAAATAAAATAGAATTTTTAACAATTAAAATACTGGGGAAATAGAAAAGTTTTAGCCTGGCACTGAAAGGTGCGAAGAATTGGCACCAGGCTCACCTCTCTGATTAGTTGATTCCACACAGAAAGAGTAGTGCAAGAAGAACAAAGTTCAATTCCAATCTTACCATAAGCTATACATTCTAAACGTATAACATTTAAACTTATACTAAATTAAATACAAGTATGAATGAACTATGCTCATGCATGAATAAAGCTGAAAACAGGTATCATAACAAAGTTGTATCAAACTCAAAGTTGCACTGGAATAATGTGTGCATGTATATGGGGGATGTTTAATATTGCATTCAAATTCATTACATGGAGTATTTTCCACATTTGCTTTGCTTATCCATGAGAGAGGAGATTGCTGGATATAGTAACATATTGTTGGAGCAATTAAACTTTCGAAAATATATTAAGCTTGGCTTTTAAAAGAAAATCAAAGCCATGTATCTGAAGTGATGATAGCTATATGACTTTGCAGTAGAAATCAGTTATTTCTTATCAACTGGAAAGAATGTGTAGCTACACACCCTAGACTGTAAAAGGAAATTAAATATTCTCACACAGGTTCTAATAAGAAACTATGTGAAGATTGAACAGCTGTTAAATACAAGAACCACCTTACAATTTGATTCGTGTTTTATTTCTAGAATCTGAGTTGATTCTTAATTTCTTTCAGATTCAGTAGTCTCAATATTCATTTTACTGTAGCACTAGCCTTACCATTTTGAAGTAATTGCATTTCAGCAAGTAATTGCCCTGATTCAATAATAGCCTCTTTTAAGATAATAAAATTTCATTCACTGAATATCTAATCTTGTGCTACCTACAAAAGACTAGTCAAAGAAATTTATTATTCAATTTGTTTCCAGTGTTGATTTTTAGTACATAAACTACTAGCAAAATATTTAACTAATGCATTTTGAATTGAGGAACGAGCCTCTTCCTGGGAAATTTCAATGCATATCAAAAGAGGAATTATGGAGCAAAAATGCTATGTCTGTTTTAATTGTGACTGCTATTGCAACACAACAGACAACATAACCCTTTTGGTAAAAAATAGAAAGCATTATTTCAAATGGAAGTAATAAAATAGATTAGCTTACACACAGAGACTGGTAGAAAAGGAAGTATGCTTCATATCTGTCTCGCCATGAGAAAAGTAAAATACATCCCTGGGGTGAGAATCCAACTTACACTGCCATCTTACACATTTGTGTTCCAACAAATTTCTTGGAAACCATGCATATTTAGTCTTTATTGTAACTGAACTGCATAGCTAAGTTTGGAGGAACAAGTACATGACAGGGGAAATACTTAAAAAGCAACTTCTAGTTTAAATCAGACTGGGTATGGTGAACTACAGAAGCACCAGAACACTTCCCCAGTCCTAGACACACCCTATAAATCATGGTTGGACGATCTGTGTCCCTCCAAATGTTTTCACACAAAATTCCATCATCCCTTGCCATTGGCTGTACTAGCTAGCGCTGATAGGAATTGTAGGCCAAAATGTCAGGAAGACCACAAGTTGCCTACCCCTTTATCTAAATCCTAAGATTCATTTTCTATTAATGAAATTTCAGTATTATAAAGATCTTTTAAAAGTTATCACAAGGAAAATTCTTCCAACTGATTTCATGTGTGGGTACTGTGCACTAATATGCCGGGATGGAGGAAAATATTTTAGAGAGTGATGATTTTATTGCCCTGGTTTGTTTGAGGGTTCACATTTAATAAAAAGAATGGAAAGGATGCACACCAGGATTCTTTTGCTATTACTGAGATGCATTTCAGACTACCTCATGAAAACCCCTGCTTTGCTATCACCTCTCTGCAACAAACGCTCACTCCTTTGTGTAAAACACTGCCTCGGTTTGTATTACCAGAAAGCAGCATTGTAACAAAGCAGAACAGAACACAACAACAAAACAGGGTTGATAATGCATGAAAATAAAAATCCAAAAAGGCACCTGAAAAAGAGAGAGTCTGACCTGGGCAGATTTTCCAAAAAAGCTGTTTTTACTTGGTATTTGCATCTTATAAAGCACTATTTACACTATAACATGAATCAGATAATTTCTTAAAAGCTTTAGGTGCTATCATGTAAACAATTACACATTGGTACTTATATCAGATCATTTGCACTTCGATTGGAGAAACTAGAGGCAGGCTTGCAGCCTTAATGAGTATGTGTCTAGGTGTAGGCCCATATTTGTATTGAATAAAACCCTTCCTGCATCCGTATGCAGTGCTTAAGTTCTAATGCCATCAACCAGACAAGCATCCAATCTGAATAAAATTGCATATTTTCCCTTGTGTAGCAAAAACAATATTCTCTAAAGTAATTTAAGATGATCTCTCCTTGAACTTTCAATTCCAAGGCAATATTTTTTCATCAATATGTGCAGAACCTCCCTTACATTATACCCAAATAGCAACATTTGAACAACAGTTACCTGAATTTCATTTCTCCTCTGTTTGATCGTGTCTTCTTTTTCCTTCAGATCCTGCTCCACAGTATTCTTTTCCCTAAAAGACCAGCAAACAATACAAGAATACTTAAGAACATCGGCTACACCAGGTACAGTTATCCAGCCCCCTAAGCCAGTTTCTCTTTTAAAATACATAGCGGAACATTAAATTTATAGGAGACTGTTTTTGCTCTTTCTGTACAAAGCATAAAACTAATGATCTACATATGACAATTATGAAAACAAAAAAGGTCTACTCTCTCAGACATGGGTAGAGGAAAATAACTGCTTAAAGAGAAAGCAGAGGAAGAGGGGGCTGGGGGTGAAATCAATGAATACTGTCTTCAGTGATCTCACTGTTGCTATGGAGCAATGCCTGGTGAAAATGGGGAGGGATTGCATCAGCTTGCATCTGTTTAACCCTTTGAGAACCAGAATTGGTCTCATAAGCTAATACATAGTCTTTGTATGTACAGACTATGTGCCAGCACACTATTTTCTTCTTACAAAAGTACTAATATTCATGCTAGCAGTAGAGAATAAGTCATAAATACAGAGAGGTGAATATTTTTCTCCTTCATGCATATATGTATCAGTAAGCAGTTAAACACAGAAGACTCCTATTCATGGGAAGAATCACTCACAAGTAGGGTTAACTAGCTGCCAGTGCAAATTTTAATACATTTGTGCAAATATGAACAGAAATGTTCACACCAGGAAAAGGTAAGTAGATTCTATTGCACTTGCCATGCTTCCATGAGCTGTTGTTCAAATGAGGCAACACAGTGGAATCTGTTTTTGCTTTCATTATAGGCCATGGTAGCATGAGGTTTAAGATAGACCTTCTATATGCAAAAGACATTTTGTGCATGTAGGTAGGGCACCTTTGGATCCAAGTGCATGGACACATGTCTAGACATTAGAGTTTTCTTACATTCATGCATGGCTGGTGCTAGTGTTACAGAGAAGCTCCAAACATGCTCGCTGTATGGCATATGTAGTCTACACCAATGCACTTAAATGTCTTTTACTTCTGTTGCAAAAGATATGGCCTGGGAACTGCTGTAGAGTGCATTACCATACTGGTCTATTTGTATCCTGCTTTTCTCTCTTAAAGCCAGTATCATACTACTAATATGTATAGCTACTACCACAAAGCTGATGGAGCCACACAATATATGATTTTGCTGCTCCTTTGCTTCACAGAAAGTAACCCCCTACCCCAAGGGAAAAAGGCAAGGGGAGAGATTTGGGAGGGGGAGGAAAGGAAAAAAGGTTTTCCTTCTCTAAGGAGAGAATGCCATTAAGGAAATGAAAGCTTTAAGAGTTAGTATATTATACTAATAATACTAGCACTAAGACTACAATAAATACTAATTTTAACCATTGGGAATAGAGGGGAGACGCATTAGATGCTGTCAAAGTGGCACCATCACTTAAATTAAGATCCCTTAAATGAAGATTTGTTAGCAAACTTTAAGACTTAGTTTGAAATTCTAGTTAAGAGCAAACCCTAGTTAATAACAACCATAATGTCAGTGCTGGTCTATATAACATAAGAATGGTTCATCTTAAAGCCTTAAAGGATGAGAGATCACTTAAGGAAGGGAATTAAGAACCCAAATGTGTGGCCAATTCCTGATTTCTCAACCATGATTAAAAGTCCAAGAACATTATGCATACAATGTTGCAAAGGTAACATATAAAGCAACACTCCACTGTAGTGGAGCTCAAATTGCAAGACTAAACAAGAAAAAATGTGCATTTGTTAAAACAAAACCTAATACAGAACTTGTCTAAGATGTGTTATTTTGATAATGTGTTATTTAATGTGTTGTGTTATTTTGATAATGTTATAATGTGTTGTGTTATTTTGATAATGTTTAAATACATTCCTTTGAAAAGTCTGATCAATCAGGTACAAGGTGGATGGATGTGAAATCCATGGCCACCACCAAAGTCAGATTCCAATCCTTAAAAGCAAACATATATCTACGTATCTCCTACAACTCCCAACAGTGTAGGAAGCTGTAGGACTTTTTAATGAATAAACTGGACTAATCTTGTATATACTGTGATCACTCAAATGTTTTGATGATTGTAAGCATTCCCTAATATTTGCATCATTGTATAAGATTTCTCCCAGCTCACAGCCAAGTATGATTAAGCAATAGTTCATCAAACTGAAATAGGGAAAATCATCCAGCAATTATTTAGAAATAAGCCAATCAACTTCCTATTTCCTTAAATCTTCCCAAACTACTAATAAAAGAGTACCTGTGGATTTTACTCAGTGGCTAACAGGGTTCATCTTGGTTTCTAAGGCTCTGTTTGAAGCCGATCCTGCAGTCATGTGACCAGCATGACATCATGGAGCACTGCCACCTTCCCACTGAGGTGATACCTACTTATCTACTCACACTGCATGCTTTTGAACTGCTAGGTTAGCAAGGAACTAGGGACAAATGACTGACTCTCTCAGTCTGGCAGAGGCTGGGCTCAAACTGCTGGAGTGCCAACCATTTCTGGCTGACAGCTGCAGCATCATTAAGCCTCTGCGCCACTGCTTAAAGGTTCTTGGAGACCTTTTGTCTCTGCCCATCTTCTTTTCCACATGACTTTCTTTTAGTTTTTACAGTTTTTCACAAGTCCTATTCTCAATTTCCACTTGCTCTCTTTTAATGCCTTTCACTTCTCTATTCCTATCTTCTACTTGCTATTCCTTTCATCACCTGCACACTGTCTCATTTCCCCTTCTCTAACACAAACATACACCCACCATCACATAACATATTTCATACTTCTCACTTTCTATATTTAATCTCTTGGATTTATGAACAAAAGATATATCTGACATTAACCTTTATCTACTGATAGCATAGAAAATGTACTCTGCAGTCTCATTCACATAAACAAGCCAGTTTGTTATTTATAAATATCAACTTCCAGTTCTGTAAGGTAAATAAAAGGCAAATTAATCATTTTCTATAGCAGTACTCAGTAACTGAATCTACTCCCTCATCTCTTTGTAGGGCACATAATATTACACTTTCATCTTCTGTTAGTCCAGCATAGCCTTGCTTCATACATATAACATTACTAACATGACCTCTAGTTTACTACAGATCTACATAGAAAATAATAATCCATCCTTGCGTCAACCTACAAGAAGAGTCATTGCTACAAGATAAGTAAGAAATAGAAATAATGCACATTGTGATCTTCAGAATGTGCTAAGAGTTGTATCAAGGTATTCCACTAAGGAACAGAAAGAACTACATATGCATTTCAGTCTTCCCTAAGTATGGACATAATGTCCATTCGAAAACTGCAACATGGAACAATTTCTACTGAATTAATAAGAGGAAAGTCACCCGTAGATTCTAACAATGTTTTTCTTCTGCACCCCCAACCCCTGTTGTATGATGCTGGGAATGTTTTTTGCTCAAGCAAACTAAATCTTCTATAATCAGGTGTCTAACTAGGATTTACTGTCTTCTTCATTGACTTATAAACTGCTCAGGGAGTCTTTTTGGCTGAGGAGTGGGATAAAAGTATTTTGCATATATAATAATAAATACACCTCTTATTTTGTATATCTTTTCCTTATGGTTCTTCTGAGAAATGTTGTACAACTGCATGCACTTCCCAGAAGCTTAGAAGAGGTCTCTTTCACTTCAAGTTTGACCATAGGAAAGCAGGTGTGAGACAGCAAAGAGAAATTATTAGACAATTTATATTTAACACTGAACTTTCTGGGTAAGTACATAGGTATGCTGGAATTTATAGCATACCAGCACATAGTCCATACTGTACCATATACTAATCTTATTGCAAATGCAAAAGAATGTGTTTGTCAACAACTAATTGCAAACAATGGAAACCAAGAGAAGACAGCCAACCAATGACGTTCAGGAACCCAAATAAAGCTTGCAGATCAATCTACCCAAACAGAATTGAAGCTAAGGTTAGAGCAGGAAATTGGGTACACAGAGGCCTGCCGCACTTGAGAATTGTTGACATTTAGCAATATATGTTCAGCAGTGAGGGAAACACCACATGGCATACACATGGCAGGGCTCTGACACCCAATAGATACTGATGAGTACAGACTCACTGCCCAGTTCTCTGAACTAAAAAGATTTTTCTTGCATCTCATTGATGCTGGAAAGAAATCAGTTGTTATGCACTAGATTCTGTGATGATGATGATTCTTCTGTTGCTGCTGCTTCTTTTTTTCATGTAGCCAGTTTTAAACTTTAATGGCATTGCAATTTGTTACTCCATGTGAATTCTATAAAGGTGTTTAGAAGATGTTTCTATTTCAACTGAGGACAGCAGAAATCCTAATTAAAACTTGGAGAAAACAGGGAACACTGGTTCCTTTGAAGTAGGTTCACAAACCATGGTTTGAAGACAGTGCTAACCACTTTGCAATTTCAGAAATCACAGCAAGTGATGGTTAGAGAAAACCAGCAACTAAGTCTGCAAAATGGTTAGGCCAGTCAAGGATATAACATCAAAAACTTGGCTTTTGCTTGATGATTTTGTTCTTTTTCTGACCTCCATACCCCAATTATGGAATGAGCTCACCTACACTGCCTCCAGTGAATCCTTTTTAATTTTCCCAGTGTTTTAATGGTTAACTATTTTACTTCAGTTTTAATATTGCATTTTATCCTGTACCACTGCTATAACTTTGTGTTGATATGGTTGCAACTGCTGTGGTTTTATTGTCTTATTTTTATCTCTTTCTTTCTTGCTGTGTGTTTTTAACTCTTGTTAACCACCTAGAGACTATTGGGTAGTATAAAAATGAAATAGATAAATAATTATTTTTACTTACCTCTGTAGGTCAACTATTTCATTGCTTAAAGTATCTAGCTCTTTGATTGCAGAAAAATCTGCCACAGCACTCGGTCCTACTGTGTTCTGCAAGATAAAGATAATTGTTTGTCCCTGATTTCTACCAGACCAAGCAAACCAATTTGCTTTGATGCCACATTCCTGGCAAGGAGGTAAAGGTAGCCTGCTGTGCCCAGAAGCTCCTGTTAGAATTTCACATGTGGTTAGAATTTTAGATATGGCTCAAATTTCTGTACTTGCACCAACAAATTCCATATTTGCACTTCTAAGCTTACAGCTTGTTGCAAAGAAAGCTCGAAGATATGAGTTAATTATCTTTCTATACAAAGCTGCAAGTAGAAAATGAAACTGTCAAAGCCCAAATTACAGTGCAGTTTTAACCAGAGAAAGACACTGACTTAGAAGGAAATACCAATTTTAGAACTAGAGTTCTACTCTACAAAGATATGCCACTACTGAATTCTTTCTGTTACATACCTTGATTCTGTTTGGATTTATAACCATTCTTCTTTCAACCACCAGCAGTACAACTGCTTGTCTATATTACAAAGTCATATCATCAGTCGGTTAAGGCTAAATAACCCTTTAATGTGCTAATATGTGCTAATACTTTGATTTTCACTGTTTGTTAATTAAGTAAATGTGTTACTATTCTGAATAGTAAACACATTTTATATCAGGGTACATTCAACCCCAAGCAACTGATGCAGGAGACAGGAAAAAGGGATAAACAAAACAATTCTAGTACTGCTTTAATATAAAGATTCATAATTAAGTGTGCTATATATTATTCTATCAATGTTGAAAGACAGCAGAGACCTTGAGATGAGAACAGCTATATGAAAACAGTACTACTTCTTTGAGAACTAAGCAGCATACTGCTGTTTCAAAGAAAATGTGACAAGAGAAAGATGCTCGTTATTAAACAGTCAATATTGGAAAAGTGAAGAATCTCTAACCTTGAGATGGCAGATTTAAGAAACTGACAGTATAATAAAGATGTAAAGCAGAATGGTGCAGAATGGAAAATATAGTCCAAACTAGGAAAGACATAGGAGGAAAGCAAACATACAAAAAAGATTAGTAAAGCAAGAAATAAAAGCAGGGTTTCTTTTCAAAATAATGCAAAAATAAATCTGATATTATCAAATCCAAACAAAATGCAAAACTTTATGTGTCATTTCTGGGCAAGAAGTTTAATTTTGATGATAATACTGTAGCATACAACCGTCAAGAAGAAACCTTCTAGAGCCAATACAAGGAGGAGACACTTGCACTAATACAGATCAGACTTTTTGTGATATTTTTACATGACATTATCATGTTTAAAAATAAGTGGCATAGCAACCGAATATAAGAACTTAAAATTAAGCCTATTTAAATTGAAACTGCAGTATAATTGTTTTAAACAAAGATGCCAGGAATCATGCACTCTTCAACATGAATACGTATGACATGATCAGAGAGGAGTAAGATCATGGCAAAACACCCACATGTCACTTTTTTCTATTTCAGTACAGTAGTCCAAATTGTAAGTAAGTGAAGAATTAACTTTTCTCCAGCATTGAAGTCCTGTTAGTTCACAATGATCAGATTTATACAACATAGGGATGGCTGATAAGCTATGGTGGCTTACTCATGTGGCCATATACTACCTAATTGCCTTACCAGACTTTTTGTGAAGTTTAAACATAATGAAGGTAGGTGGCTGGAGTGTTAACAAAGCATCAAGAACTCATGACCTGTTCTAGGGTGGCTGGGTAGTAACTCACTCTCAGTGGGTCTGGCTACAACAAATTGCACCCCGTCCAGGTAATTAGGTAAATCAGGCGGCGTGCACAGGGATAGCCATGTTGTGCAAACCAGCCCAGTACGTATATACAGTGCCTTGCATAAGGATTCACCAGCCCCTTTGACTTTGCCGCATGTTCTTCTGTTACAGCCTAGAACTAAAATTGATTTAACTGACTTTGTTACTACTTGATAAATATCTTGGAAAGAGTGGGAAAAATGAAGAAAAAAATAGGCAGCCATGGTCCTGGCCGGGGGGAGTGCACTAAGGGTGATTTCTGTTGGTTAAATTTTATTTTGTGTATCAAGTGCTTTTTCTTTATTATATGATTTTTGTATTTGCATTTTATAAAAATAAAACATTATATTAAAAACTTTTATACATATTTATACTTGATGTATAAAAGAGACTCAACCTTGTGAGGGTGCAAAAAACTGATTTAAATGACTTTGTTAGTACTTAATGCAGAAATGATATTCAACCCTGTAAAGTGCAAAATATTTTTATTTTGGCACAAAAGTTGAGTAACCAAAAGCAGACTAGCATTTCTTGCTCAAGTTTTCATGGCCTTTGCTCTGACATGTCTGAATAAGTTCTGGTGCAGCACACTGCCTCCATAAGTCAGATACTGTACTGTAAGTAGCCAAAGGGAGGCCACCTATGTGCAATTCCAGTACCACATGGATTAAATACACCTGTTTCAAGATGCTTCCAGGGTTTGTCAGTGAACAGATCTAAACAAACAGCACCACAAAGAGCAAGGACCTATCCAAACCACTAGATCCAGTATTCAAACATAGAAAAAAAATATTCAAACGCGACTCTACCCATAGAAGGTTATCCGCCAAAACTCAGTAACCAGGTAAGGAGGGTGTAAGTCAGAGAAGTAAATGAGAAGCCAATGGTAATTCTTAAGGAGCTGGAGTGACCCACAGCTGAAACGGAAAAACCATCCATGGGACAACTATCACCTGTAAGTTCTCCAAAGCAGAGCTTTATGTAACAGTAGCAAGAAGAGACCCACTATATAAACTAAACCATATTAAAGCCTATTTGGGGTTAGAAAAGGGCATGTGGAAGATGCAGCAAATATATAAAAATGGTTATCTCATCTTATGAGACCCAAAATAAAACTTTTTGGCCTCACTGCAAAATGCTATATATAGCACAAAGCCAAAGTATTCATTGCCCTGAGAATACAATCCCTCAAGTGAAACATGGTGGTGACAGAAGCATGACACTTTTCCTCAGCAAGACCTGAGAAATCGGTCAAGGTTGAAGACAAGATTGATGGCACCAAATACAGGGCAATTTTAGAGGAAATCCTATTTCAGTCTTCAGGGATGGAGAAAGGGGCAGAGGTTCACCTTCCAACAGGACCACAACCTTGAACCCACAGCAAATTACACATTATAGTGATCTAAGAATGCTAGTGTCTTAAAATGGCGTAGTCAAAGTGCAAACTTTGATCTGTCTGAGATTCTGTGTCAAGACTTGAAAGTTGCTTTTCACCAGCAGTCTCCATCTAACCTGACAGAGCAGAAGCAGTTCTGTCAACACTTCAGAATCGATGCACAAAGCTGGTAGTGACTTTCCCGAGATGTCACACAGCTGTAACTGCTGCCAAAGGTGCTTCTACAAGTATTGGCTCAGGGGTGTGAATACATATGCCTCCAGAAGTACCACTTTTTCTGATTATTGAACTTTTTTGCAACAATAAATATATTTTGCACCTTCACTATATTAAGTATCTTGGTTATATCAAGTGGTAACAATGCCTGTTAAATTCATCTCAGTACCAGGTTGTGGCACAATAAAATGCAAAAAAAGTCAAACATCAGGCAAATACTTCTGCAAGGCACTGTATGTGTATTTATGAATATATGCAAAAATATAGGAAAAGTATGGCAAGCAGAGGCAGTGCTCATCTCTCCTTGAGCTGTAGTCCCTCAATTACAGTGAGGATTCTCGAAGAACAGAGATTTTGTAAGTATATATCCAGGCAGAGTTGCCAAAATCAAAGTGCTGTGGAAGAACAAGGTGATAGTGAAGAAGTGCTTCTGAGGCTGTGCTTTAAGAGATTTTTTTCCAGGATAATTCCTTTTAGAGGTTTTCTTTTTTTTGGCTGAAAGTTCAGACTGGCTGAACTTTCGCCAACTGTTTGGAGAAGCTCCACTTATGTAATATCCCAGCTTGCCTCTTTCTACCTGGCTCCTATCCTAATGCACTGCAAGACTACTAGGTTTCTCCTCCTCCAAGAAGGCTTTTCCCTCACCTGTCACCTCAGTCTTTTACTTTTTTGTTCACCTTTGCTATCTATATTTCTTCCTTTGTTCCTGTCTTTCATTCTCCTTTCTTCTCCCTTCTTTTTTTCCTGCTGGTTTAAATGCTTCTACACCAAGTAAAAGTTGTTCCTTAGCTTCAATTCTGCCAACCAGCTGACTTCTCAAATGCACTGTTTCCAAACATGATGACAGTAGAACTCAGCAAAAGCTTGGTATTCTGTAGGGGTTCTAACTCATCCCAACCAGAGCTACCTGCAGATGATCATGTATAATTTAAAAGATATGAAAGATGACACATTATTTATGTATGGACAAAACCTCTTGACCAGTGGTTCGCTCCCTGCACAGAAACTCCAACACTCAAATTACCTTTTCCCTTGAGTGTAACCTGTATGTATGTTTCCACTGCATATATGGAACAGCACTTGACATTTTACTGAATCTCATCTACTTTCGGGTTGTACTGAATCATTACCACCTTTAGGAACTTGTGAGAACTGAATCATATTAAACTGACAATTCTGATGACAGATAAAAAATAGGTTTATTTCAATTCCTTCAATTCTTCATATCCTTTGTTTATACAAACCATCTGTACCTGCTTGGTTGGCCAGTGATAAACAAGGAATTACCAATCAAGTGAATAGAAGACACTGAACTCACTAATGTATCTGTGCTAAGCAGCACATTTTAAAATCACTGCACATGCTTCTTACAGGGTCATGGGTTAAAGATTTTTTAAAAAAATCCTGTGTTACCTTTTGCAGAGTGGTCCTCTCTGATGGCGGAATCATATCTACTGTTAGCACCTGAGGAGGATCAATCCCCTTTGTCAGCTTCTGATTGATGAAATGAAAGGCCAAGGCAAACTGTTCCTTGGAAAGCTTCCCACAGTCCTTCGTGTCACAGAGTGCCCTACAGAAGCCAATGGGAGAAAAAGACTAAGCAAATAATATTAATTTGCTAAACCTTCTGAAAGTTGGGTACTTTCCACAACAGGAGTTCTCACATGACAGTGGTAATTTTAAATACAGTAGCAGATGTGACATATATAGATGCTATCACCTTCTTGCCCTGAGAAAACCAAATCTTCTGGTTGGCCACTGCAGGAAGTATCTTGTGTTAAATGGACCTTGGTCTGGTCCAACAATTCTTACAAGGAAAAATGTGTAGCATTTCCTTACTTTTTTTTAAGATTGAATACTGCTGTGCGAGCACATTCTGGCAAACTTCAGGGGCATGCACGAGAAGCTGACCATTTTGATTGGACTGACAAGCTCAGATTCTAAGAATGAGTGGTGTGCGGGGGAGTTGGCCTATTCTGGCAGGGCTGACAGCTCATACTCTGATAACTAGATGATAGTTGAAGCGGACTCAGTTCCAGCTGCAGTCCAAGGCCCTGGATATCCACCTGTGCCTGCTATGGGAGAGATTAGTTCAAGGGCAGCTGTGGGGTCCAGTCAACATACTCATGGGAATAAAGGAGAGCAAGAACATCCTGAGGGGGTAGATTTATAGATAGGGAATCTATCAGATGGGGGACTCCAGCCTCCTGAGGAGATGGACACGCTAGTCCATCATCACAGTTGTAGGGTGGCCCAACTGGGATCTCAGAGGGAGGAGCAAAGGCGTTTCCTGTTCCACAGTGCTTCTCCTGCCAAGGACAGGTTCAGAAGAATTCAAAGGAAAGCTTTGAGTGAAGAAGGCCAGGGAGGGTTCAACATTTCATTTTGTATATGCTCAAGAGATGTACATGTAAAATAAAGACATTTGGCAAAGAAGCACTGGTGAGACTGTTACTACAGGAAGGGAGAACTCAGTTCACAACAAACATTCACATACAAACTAGTGTTTCTTTTCCTGAGAGAAATGAAACAGGCTCCTGCTTACTTAATAGGGTCTTTGAAGCCATTACAATAATGTTTGAGGAAAAAAATATATTTGCATCTCAAGTAAACAAATCTGAGCATTAGTCACTTACATGAAGGTTCCTTCTGGTTTGATGCAATGGCCTAAATCTCTTCCACCACCCAAGAAAAATAGAGATCATATGACAAGGCCTTTGTCACAGTGCTGGAGAACATGCTTCTCCTCTAGTTCTATCCCATAGCTAAAGTAAGATAGGACAGATATTGAAGAGCCCCCAAATCTAGTTAGAAATAAGGATGCAGAAAGGACTGACACCTTCTCCCAGCTTTCTTCTCTTAGCTGCTTCTGTCAGAATGCTGAAGAAGCTGTGGCCTGGTAAGAGAGCACTGTGGTGTGCAATGGTATCAAGCAGGCCTAAGAGGCCTAAGCTGGGACAACATAAATCTTGACCCACCTACCATGATACTGATGGTTTTCCTGTTCACTGAAGTGAAAGGACAGATATAGCGAATGTGTGTGTCTAATATTGTACATGCAACTTATGTACATTTTAGGGGTCCTGTGCACATTCAGGTTTGTGCCACACCATTTCAGATGGGTGTGACAGTTTAGGGGAAAAGAAAGGATGAAATCCTGGTCTCTGTGAAAAAGACACAAGGGAGAGATCAGACAAATTGCAATTAAGTTAAAAAAAAAATACACAGGTGGCTCCATTTCAAACGAACATTAATTTCAGAAATCATTCTAAAAGAATAGATGACAACTCAGAATACCATTTTTGTAAAAGGATCCTGAGCAGCAGCTTTCAGCTCAGGGATATCTAACCCACTGTGGAAAGGAAAGAAGGGCCACTGTGCACCTCCATAAAGTCTTGAGTTTGAGGCCAAATTCAAGGCCTTTTCAAGAAACAAGAAAATATTTATAACTGCCTGTCACCATGAGCTGACGTGATACCAAACATGTTCCAGTTGTTTCATATATTCTCTGCTTACTCAACTTCCTGAAAGAAGGCAGGGTATATGTCACCTCTTCAGGATAACTAAGGTTTAAGTAAGCATCACTTTCACAGGATAAGTGGCTATGCAGAACCACCTGGAAAGGGACTAGAAGACCAGCCTGTGCAAACAGATGGAAAACTTGGAGAAAGTCTGCCTGGCCCAGGCATAGGATTTGAGGAGCATGGGCAACAAAACAAGAATGGGGCTTTTGGGATAACCTGGGCCTGCCCCTTCTGATCTTTCTGAGATCCTGTGAGAGGAAAGCATCTTGGAAGGAAGCATAGAGGAGCCTTTGATGGCCAGCATGCATTTAGGACAATTTTTGGCTTCTGTCCCTTTCATAGCATCACAGAATAGTAGAATTGGAAGGGACCAAGAGGGCCATTAGGAGTGGGAGGGGAAGTAGGAATTGAACACTTCTGCCTTTTCTGTGTCATCCATTACCATTTTGCAACCCACACTGAATACCTGAACCTGACTATGGACATACCTGAAGGGTTTTTGTTTTTACTATCCTTCACTAACTGCAGTTCATTCCTAGCTTTAGCCTTCATGTCAGCATCTCTGCAATTCTGTGCTAACTGTCCATATTCTACCTTTGCGGCTTGGCCTTCCTTTTCCTATACATGCCCTTTTCTGTTTCCAGATCATCTCCAAGTTTTTTGTGAAGCCACATGGGCCTCTCCTGATTTCTTCTACTTTTTTTTCCCTGTTGAAATTGTTTCCAATTGTGCTTTTTGAATTTCCTTTTTTAATATTCCCCCTCCATCTTGGATTCTTTTTCCCTTGCTTTGGACTCTTAGCAACATGTTAGGGATTTCTTGAAGGAGTCATGTTTGGCAAAATTTGTCTCCCAACAGATATCAGGAAAATTGAAGTCCCCCATAATTAAGACATCATACATTCTTGAAACATGGCCAATTCGCTTTTCAAAAAGTTTCATCCTCATCTTCTCCTTGACTGGTCAGCAATAGTCTCCAACCACTGTGTTCCGTTTATTCCTTGCTCCATTTCATTTATATTAATCCAGATGTTCTCAATAGGGAGGCTAAACCCATCCTGTATTTCTGCATTTCCTATATTTATCCTTAAACATATAGTATTCTATTCCTTCTGTTTTTCTTGAACAAGTTCTATCTTTCTATTGTTGAATTCCAGCCATGGGAATCATCCCACCAAGTTTCGATTACACGTTTCAGGTCGTATTGTCCTCTTGTATTAAGCATTCAAGTTCATGCTGCTTGTTTCCCATACTGTGGGCATTAATATAGAGACATTGAAGACCATGTGCTTTATACCCTAGCTTTCTTCCTACATTTTTGGAAGACTATTATTGGACACTATGAGAGCTGCTCTCTCTCTGTTGTAGTGCAAAAGCTTTTCTCTATTGTTGCGCCCAGGTGTACTTCACCCCTCCCTAGTAGGATTCACTTTAAAGCCCTTCTGATAAATTTCAGGCTATGGCCAAACACATTCTTTCCAGTCCTTGTAAAGTACAGCCCATCCCTTTGCCAGCTGTCCATCTTCCAGGAAGTGATGCCCGTGGTCCCAGAATCCAATTCTCTCTCACCAGAACCATCTTTGTAGCCAGGCATTCACTTGGGAGTATTTTTGCTTTACCCTTCTATTCCAATTTCAAGAACTGGAAGAATTGAAGAGAAAACTACCTGGGCCCCAAAGTTCTTGACTTTCCTCCCTAATGCTTCAAAAAATATTATGATTTCTTCATGTTCTGCTTAGCAGTGTAATTTGTTTCTACCAGGAAGGAGGGATATGTGTCAGTGGGTTTTATGAACTTTGACAGTCCTTCAGTTACATCATTAATGTATCCTCCAGGGAGATAGCATATAAGTCCATGGGTCTTCATGACATACACGTGATTCCATTCCACTCCACACAGCAGTAAGTCTCCTACAACTCTTTTCTTCTTGTAGGCTTTGGTATAATTGCCATCATTTGATTGACTTTCAGCATCTTGCTTAGTGTTGCATGGGATGGCTTGTAGGTCTTCCACTGCAGGTTGCTCTCTAGTCTCATCCTTGAGTACCTGAAAGTGGTTCCATAATTCCACTGCTTACACTGTTGCAGAGTGTTTTCTAGCTCTTCTGCTCATAAATGTCACCTTTTGCACCCTTTCTCATTTCCCATTAGCTCAGGATTCTCCTCTTCTGCCTAAGCTTGCTGTTGCTCTTCTAGCTCCCATACTACATTTAGCTGTTGCAGTTCCACCGCTCCGTTTTAAAACTCTTCATCTTCTCTTACTGCTTGGGGGTGACACTCTAGTGCTCTCACTTCTTCAACAACAGCTACTATCTTGTACTTGTTGCACATGTAGGCCATGTTGACCTCATGGAAGAAAACAAGCATTGCACAGACTTTGCAAGACATCAACACTAGGAAGACTTCTTGGTCCCTAGTCTTCTTTTTGATTCTACTGCGTTGATTGTGTTTTAACAGCCTGTGCTTTCTTCTGTCTTCCCTGAAGTTTAATAAGAGTCCTACCAGTAAATGAGAGTGTTACAAGGAAGAAAACAAAGGGGGTGGGAGTAAAAACTAAGGGGAAAAAAAGAAAAAGTTAGTGACCTCCCTGTCAATTCCTGTTAGCTCTCCCCGTTTGCTCACATTAATCACTCACTGTCTGAGAGTTTGCTTGTACGCAATAGTCCCTAGATCAGCTGGGATAGCTTCCTCTGATCTGTTCAGCTAGGAGTCAGGAACCAAAATGAACCTGCCAACAAAGTGAGGTAGCCCAGTCATCTTATGAGACTTGCAGTTTATTACTGACGTGAAGAGAAGAAGGTCAGCAAACTGAAGCAACTGTGGAATGTAAGGACTGACTGGACTAGGCTCCACTCCAAGGGGTTGATTTGCTGGAGGCTAAGGTGGCTGTGACATTAGACATGCCTTTTAAGTGTTGGGGCAAAATCTATTAGGTGACATAGACCACCCATATCTGCAAAGTCACTGATTCTTTGCACAGAGAGAAAGCATTACTCCTCATTCCCTGATTCAGGTAAGCTTTGCAGCAATGTCAAAAGCTCTCACCATGAAATGAGCATTTCATATTGATAGAGCAAAGTATTGATTGTCCTATGTTACAGCCTGTTAAATATTGTGCAGTGCTCTGAGAAAGAACTAGGTCCATTGGATAACATGGCTCTGACATTCTGCTCAAAATCTGAAACATGTTATGTCACAAATTTGCTAAAGTACTTCAAATCTAGTACTTCAAATCTAGGATGCCCTAACACTCCCCTTTTTCTTAAGAAGAATAAAGGACTCCTAGATATTGTCTCAGTCTGTTTTAATGGAGCTACCTCAAGCAGGTCTACTGTACTATTTTCTCCTTGGTTAATGACAGAAAGCCAGGCAGGGCAGGAATTTCTCTTGGGGTTTGTGCAGGAAATCTATATAGTAAGTCTTCAGAGGTCTATGGCCAGAGACTCCCAGGCTTAGAGGAAGGACTGATACTCTACCACAACCAAAGAGCTGATGGTTGCCTCTGCTGCTGTGGGAAGTCTACTGCTTGGGGGAAATAACAGGCTAGTTTCTGAAGTAGAACCTGGACCTAGTCCAGGCTTACTTTTAGTTTCTTCAGCTGCTTAGGTGGAAGCAGCTAAAAGAACTTTGAAAGAAACTGTGACCAGTCTGAAAGAAGGGGAAACTACATCTGGCATTTATCTTCTCATTCTTCTTGTAAGATGGAGGCTTGGTATTATCATCATCTTTGATTTCCACTTTCTATCAAAAGGTCGAACAACAAAAAAAGAGACAATACTAGCAGCTGAAAAATAATTCAGAAAGATTCAGTCCTAGGGAAAAGACAGGAATGAACTGGAAAAGCCTGTGTTCTCTAGCACCGTGACAAGTGTTTATCATGTGAACACAGCCTTTCCTGGGTGGAGGGGCCATTTGTAGTTGGCCCCTCATACTACATTGTGAAAGCAATTTCCTTCCCACACTTGGCCCCAGTGGCTCATGTTTTATTTACCAAAAGGAACAGAAACAGTGGACAGTTTATTATTAAAGCTAATGTAACTTAATAGCATAAAAAAGCCTGGATTTCAGGGGTTGCATTCTGAGGCACCTGTCCTGGTCCACAGAAGATTTGGTTTAGTGTACAAAGAAAGTCTCCACATAAGCACCAACCAGGGCCACATTAAAACATTTGTTAACTGCCCAGGGAGTCTTGGTTACTGGATAGTATATAAATAAATAAATCACAGTTATAATTAAAATGCATTTTAATGAAGAAATCAAATTGTTCTGTCACCTCTTTAAAAAGTGAGTCCATTCATGTTTAGAGAAGCAGGCAGGCAGATGTACATGAAAATGTATACACATATACACTGCAATTCTACTCTGAAGATTTAATCTTGTATATATAACTAATCTTCCTTATTAATGCTAACAAACAGAAATGTTTGATTCTCTGCAGAAAGTATCATAAAAGAAGCCTCTTACCAGATATGTGCAAGTAAGGCAGAGGGCAGACCAGTCTTTAAGAATAATTCTCTAGCTTCCATACCAGAGACAAAGCCATCCATGTCTTTGTCAGTTTTCAGAAATATTTCATGATATTTTATTGCATCTGCAGCTGATACAACCCACTACAAAGAAAAACAGTATTTTAGTTATGCTACCAATAAACGTTATGAATATAGCAGAACAAAGTCTGCTCACTGCCAGGTATACCTGTGTTGACGTTGCTTTGGGTGGCAAGAGGCCTACAGGTGGTATGGACTGATGAGAATCTTTACTAGAGGATGAAGGTGGCACCAATTGTACTGCACCTGGAATATTGACACCTTTTCTTTTACAAGGTGGCACCAATCCTGGAGGCAAGGACATTGGCACAGGTTCCTTCTCAAGAGCACAGTACACCAAGTACATAGCCTAAACAAAAGGTGGAAAGAGCATTAGTTTATTATTAAACAAATCCAGTTATGCAGTCAACTGTAGCAATCTGGAAGGTTCTGGAACCTCACAAATCCAAGTTCTATTTCCATTTGCTAATTTAATCTATTCAAACCTATTTTCAGAGATACCAGAATTCCGAGTTTAGATAAATTCATAAAATACTGCAATTTAAACATCTTATTTGCTGTAGCAGAGAATAAATAGCCTTTATTGTTAAAATCAACAGTGATCATTTTATGCATCTCAGTTTTTCATATCTTGAGGAAACCTGTGGGAGCACATACCTTCAATTACAAGGAACTTTATTCTTGGAAGTTATTATTATTTATTTGTAAATATTATTATTTACAGAGGTAAAGAAAGGAGACAAGATGAGTTTCAAGTCAGGAAAAATATCTGACCCTTTGTTAAAGGAATTTGAAAAACTCCTGGTATGAGAAATCTTCTGAAATAAACTGGAAGTCATATTGTTTTAATATAGTGTTTAGAAACTAGGCCACACATCTTTTACTGGCCTCATGTTAATGTGAAAGCCTTCCAGAGAGGTTTCCTTGAAGCGGACATTGTATTCTTTTTGGTACCAAAGGAAGATCCTATTTTCCCAGGCATTTTTGGCAAAAAGTGGACTATATAGAAAAACTATTAGGTGGATCCAAAATTGGCTGCTAAATAGGACACAAAGAGTGCTTATCAATAGCACCTTCTCAAACTGGATGGAGGTAACTAGTGGGGTCCTGCAGGGCTCAGTCCTGGGCCCACTGCTCTTCAACATCTTTATTAATGATTTAGATGAGGAAGTACAAGGAAAGATAAGCAAATCTGCAGATATTACAAAACTGGGTGGAATAGCGAGCACCCTAGAAAACAGAACAAAGATTGAGGGCAATCCTGATAACCCTGAACACTGGGCTGAAAGCAACAGAATAAGATTCAATAGGGACAAGTGCCAAGTCCTCCACCTAGGAAAAAACAGCCAAATGCATCAATACAAGATGGGGAATACTTGACTCAACACAACTGAAAAAGAAAAATGTCATGGAGAAATTGCAGACAACAGGCTAAATATGAGCCAACAATGAGATGCAGCTGCAAAAAGGGCAAATGCTATTCTGGGATGCATTAATAGAAGTATTACTTCCAAATAACAAGAAGTAGCACTTCCACTCTACTCTTCACTAGTCAGACCACATCTGAACTACTGTGTCAAGTTCTAGGCACCAAGATTTAAGAAATTAGAAAGTGTCCAGCAGAGGGCAACAAAATTATCCAGGGTTTAGAAATGCTGCCATATGAGGACAGACAGAGAACTGGGCATGTTCAGCTTTGAGAAAAGAAGACTGAGGGGGGACATCATATTCCTCTATAAGTACCTGAAAGGCTGTCACAAAGGGGGCAGTCAAGATCTTCTCACTGATACCAGAGAACAATCCATCCAAGATGTGACAACCCAAATTCAAGTGAGTTATCAGCAAACATTTCCTCACTGTCAGAGCAATACAACAGTGGAACCTATTGCCTAGAGAAGTCATGAGCTATCTCACATTATAGATATTCAAAAAGAATCTGGACACCTATCTGACTAGGATGGTGTAAACTGGTATCTTGGAATAGCAGGGGGATGGACCCAATGGCCTTCATGGCCCCTTCCAACTCTACTATTCTATGATTCTACTATTTTAGCCTTTCAGTTTCTGTTGAAAGCTGCTGCTTAATTTTAAATCATTGCACTCATGCTTGTCTTAATTTGTAATGATTTAAAGTGTTATATAACTGTGTTCCTTTAAATGTTGGTACGTCTCAGAAGTCCAAGGGGAGTAAAAGAGAGTTGAATTAGAGAGGTAATTGGTTGAGAGTGTGTGGGGAGCTTGAATGTGTGTGAGAAAAGAGAAGTTAACAGAATTGTGGTCTGTCAGCAGTAAGAGTCAGTTGTGGTCTGTCAGCAGTTTTCAGAGTTGCATTGCAGTCAGTCAGCAAATCTGCAGAGGCAGTCTTCTCATTAGAATCCTGCAGAGTGCTATGCAAAGCATTTAAGATTCTAAAGAAGGAAGTAGACTACTTAGAAGAATATTAGAGACTAGGGAGAATCAGAACTAATACTGTCAAGTATTCTAACAGTGTGAGAGATAGAAGCTGACAGAAACCTAAGCACAGAAGGGAAAGATTAAATGGAGAGAAATAAAGACTGGTCAAATTTCCATTCAGGAGTGAAAGCAGGATTTGGGAGTGAGGAATGATCGAGAAGGGAAGGAGTGAGATGCCGCCATCAAAAGTTATTATACACTGTTTTATTTATGAAGAAAGTAAGTTACAGTACATCTTGAAACCAATACACTTCTTGTAAAAATAAAGTTTTCTTTTTTTATTGTTAAGTCAGTATTATAGGCTGCTTGAGCATCAGTGTCTCATCCTCAGGACCACATAGTCCAACGAAGGAGACTTACAGCTTGGGTACAATACCATGGGGCATTAATTAATAAGATTGGAATTTAAATTCCTGGTGGCAATGTTAAAGACACAGGAAAGTTTTACTAAAAGAGCTGTAATGATACGGAGATTGATAACTACTCTTCTATTAGTTCAATCCTGCCATACTAAACAATTTTAATATACAACCTGATGGTTTCAAAAACTAATTGCCAAAAAGAAGTACTTTCCTCCCAATGCTTCTTCAAGGACAGCTGGGGCAAGATCAGCTAATTACTTTGTAAATGTAACAGAGTTTAAACAACAATTTAGGGATTCATAGGATAACCTACCAAGAAAGTCATCAGGAATACTTTGATGCAGTCTAACAGCGTTCCATGCACTTCGGTGTTTAGTCATGCCGGCCACATGACCATGGAGATTGCCTGCAGACAAACGCTGGCTCCCTTGGCTAGGAAACGGAGATGAGCACCACCCCCTAGAGTCAGGCATGACTAGACTTAATGTCAAGGGGAAACCTTTACCTTTACATTTTAGGACCTAGTAAGGGGATGGACACTTTTTTGTACCATTAGTTCCAACAGTTTGTGATTAATGGTTACACCCATGGAATGAGCTGCAATGTACAGAAAAGCTTGTTTTTCGCTGCATTTTAAAAAATGATTTAGAGCACAGCTTGGAGGGAAAATGTGGTATTAATGGTGTAGGGATTCTTTTTTTTGGCTGATTTATTCCATTATTCCATTTTTAACATTGTAAAAACTTTCTAATCTCTGTAGCGGAAGAATCATTATACTTACAACTGCAAATTCATCCCGATCCAGCATTCCATCATGGTCAATGTCACTTAGCTCCCAAACCTAACCAAAAAAAGGCACACACATAGATTCAGGGTATCAAAATATTCTATCCTTTCCATCAAAGTGAGTATATTTGCATGTCACAATAATCCACGCTGACAATAAGCCACAGTCAGTTTTTATGCAAATAAGCCATTGTGAATCTTTGTATGTACCTGTACAAAACCCCTATTTCCAGCAGCATGGAAATGGGGAAGCCAGTGCCAGCTGTCCCCAAGGCCTGCCAATGCTCCATTGCAAGAGTGGCAAGTTTTTCTCCCACTCTTGCCATAAGGCTCCCCTGTGTCCACAATGGGTCAAATCATCCAGATCCATTAATGTTGGGCTTTGGAGCTACAGTCCACAGTCTCAAAACCCAGATGAACACCAAATGACCACTCAGAGATGAACAAGAAATGGGGGCAATGGCAATTCAGCTTGTAAGCAGTGGCTGGGCTGGCATGTGCAAAGGGATGATGCTATTCTCCATAGCATACTCTTTTCTATTTTAAAAAGCATTTTACAAAGTGACGTGGATGGACATGTACATAGATAAAGATACTCATTTTATTATTCTGACTTTAAAATTTATTGTCCTTTTCTACAAAAAGCTGTTACCTATTCTCAGTAAATATGTTTAGCATCAGGACAAGCAAACTCCATATTGTTCCTTTCAGCATGAACAAAACTTGATTAAAATGTGAAACTGCCTAATTTCAGAGTATGTTATGTCTGGCATACAGTTGGTGTTTTGTTCTAAGATATCAGAATACAGAAATGATTATAAAGCAAGGAATACCAAGATGAAAAGGAGAAGAGAAATCTTAAGTGTGTGCTTCACAACTGAAGTAACATACATGGCCATCTAAGGGATGATTCCAATTAAAACATCAAATTACCTAGTTACACTACTGCTCAGGGTAAATAGATGTTTTGTGTTACTGAAAAACTTGCCATTCTTACCCTTCCCAAGATGTCAACTGGTAGTTTGGAGTTGAGTAGAACAGGTTTCACTTTATCACCTGACAACAATCCATTCATGGGGTTTAGGCTGTCAAAAATAGCATCATACTTGGCCTTGTCTTCTAGCTGGTTATAGAAATATTAAGAGGCTTTACTTAAGGAAGGACATCAATAAAGGCAAGAAATGACTATTCCCAGAGAGCAGTTATGGAAAAAGTACCATGAATGAGTAATTGCTGTAAGACCCACGTGGTAGTGTGACAAGAAGCTTAAAAGATAAAGAGAGTGCAAAACAGTGAAAACTGGACACTGGAAGTGGTTGTTCAAAGGACTGTTCTTATAAATTCTGAGGGAGTTGCTAGCATGAATGCCTATGTTCTAAATAGATATGTAAGCATCAAATTCTTAAAATGCACATATGAGGAGTCCAATTACTGTTAGTTGTAATTAAAAGTGAAATGAGACTAAAAGTATAAATCTTTCACATCAGATGCATTAGCACATCTAATTTATAGTTATTTCTAATTAGTAGATCTAATTTATAGATATTTCTAATTAGTATGTCTAATTTATAGGTGTTACTAGGCTGAGAAATTTGCAGTTTCTGCTAAAACAAGCCTTAGAAGCATCACATAAAAACATTTTTCTGCCACAAACTGAGCAGGTTATTTCCTTCTCTCCATTCAGCTGCAAACCAATCTGCACACAGGAGCAGCATCACATGGTCAGTGATAAATGAGTTTAACAATATTGGCCCAGTATTTCCTAAAGGCACAGGAGCCAATAGAAGGTCAGAGAATAAAAGGTTGAAATAATAAAGGAGCTGAGCATAAAGAGCTTTTGCAGAAAAAAACATGTTTGTGTGTTTATTTTTTTAAAACATTTATATGCCGTACTTTATGACAACGTCTCAGAACAGCTTACAACATTAAAACCAACAACCAATAAAAACAATCAATAGGGTGATACAATAGAATAATATATAATCAATAAAATATAATCAAAAAGATAACTGTTAACTTCTAAAATTACTAATTTTTAAAATGACATTTGAATAAAAAAGTTTTCACCTGGCACCAAAAAAGATTATATGTTAAGCAACAACAGGTGCCAGCTATGGTTTATAGACCTCTTCTAAATGCTTATTATTCACAATCAAGAGAGGATAGAAAAATAAGAAACATCATACACGTCTATACTCTAGAGTACTCTAATAATTAACCAGAAATAAAAAAGGTACATCCATGCACTCTTCAAGAGGCTGACTAGATAACCAAGATAAAAGAAATGACATGTCCTTATACCCATCAACAATGATAAAACCAAGTCAAACCAGTACAGAAAGAGGGAAAATATTTCTCAGGGAAGTATTTGTCCAATTAGACAGTAAGTTTGTACTAAAAATGGGCTAAAAAGCAGGTTAATGAGTAAAGATTCACCAGAAGTAGTAGTCATTTCAGCCAGTGTTTCAGTTCACTTACCTTAACAGCCCATGGGATATCAGTTGGTGTTCCTCCAGATAGTAGGGGACTAGTAGAATCATTCTAACGGACAAGAGAAAAATTTAAGAAAATTTCTTTAGTATTTTTAGTTTTTTTATTTGCATTGATAATTGTCTATCTGTTCTGGTAAGATTAAATGTATCATTCATACTTCTGTACATAAAAATGAGAATAACCAAGTGATATCATCATCATTCCCCTAAACAATATATATGCACTATAAACTAAGTCATTTTAGATTATTGCAGAAATCCTGTGATAGCACATGATCAATACCTTGCCAATTGCAACCAAAACACGAACTTTTCCAACATGGAACACAGCTATATTTATAGCAAAGAATAATGTTCTGACCATGAACAAGAGTATATTAGTGTGCCTTTGAAGAAACAAAATGAAGATTAATGTAGGCTCAAAGTGTCTACTCAGAGGTAGCATTCAGATGAATCAAAGGACTTTTATGAACATTTGAAATCTGGTCAACAGTAGCTGGCATGTAATATTTATTACCACTGGGTTTCTACATACAATACTGTCTGGGAACAGCAATTTTAGTACTCTCTTTAACAATATAAAATCTAATTTTGATTCTCAGCTTTAAGGCCTGTATTGTGATATTTTGATCAATGGTCACTGGTTATTTTTTAGGGAACAGAAAAATTAACTGTGCCTGTTACCACTAACCAGGCTTTGGGGAGAATAGAATACCAATGAAGAATTTAAAGATAAAATGTAAGCAGGCAAATATGAGCCATTGCTAAATTTTGATTTTGTCAACTTCATGGACTCTGTACCTCGCTGTATATGAAGTCGTCCTATAATATTTTGGAAAAATTGTATGCTACACATTAGTTCTTAAGATTGGACAGAGTTTTTCTGAGTACTAGAAGAACTTAGATCAGATTACAAAATCATTTTAATTTGCATATCTTATCAAATAAATATGCAAAAGTAAGAAAGAAATCTTACAATATTTCTAAAACTAATGTGCATTGTTATTGATAGGACAGCAGCATGGATTACAAAATGAGGGAACACTGGTGATTCATTGACAATGACCATTTCTTCAAGATAATACAAGAGGAGGAGGCAAAGGGTTATAACACAGGTGCCTGACATATCTGTGATACAGTGGGGGCCACAGCACCTTTTAAAGGAAACCCACTATGCCTTAAGTGTGTGGGAAGAAAGAAATAATGGAATAAAGCTGAACAGTTTGTGTTATTTGGGCATTAGGAAAAAAGATAATAGTCTCTAGAAGTGAAGTATGACAAGAAAACATTAAGAGATAAATAAAATAAGCTGCACCAGAGAACCTTCTGATAGAAGAAAACCACATGCAAAAAGATACGGCTATTTGTGTCACATGCAAAGTGCCTAAGCTGCCTTTCTGAAAGGGAAAAGCTCCCTAGCTAGAACTCCAGAAGTTCTTAGGGAATAGACTGAATAGGTGCAGAATCTGAACAACTTTACAAACCATTTTTCTATAACGTCCATATGTCTTATAAGAACGAAAGGCAGCTCATGTGGAAGGCAAAGGACAGAACAATAGGCCAAAGTTTTAAAACCTGGCTGCTCCCACTGAGGTCACAGCCATTGGACATTTCATTTCCCTGCCTTCTAAGTGGCAAAAAATTAAGTCATGAGCTGCTGGAAATTAACTGTTACAGTCCCACCAAGTGGAAACCAAGCATCTTCAACCTTCCCTGCAAGTTATTCCCATCAGTCATCTCCTGGAAATTAATTTTTGGAAAATGATGGCCTGGAACTTCTTCAGGTATGTCACCTTCACAATGGCCACATTTCTACATACTTATGAGTAAATCCCACTGAACTCAGTGAGACTACTGTGAAATTGACTCATGCAGAATTCAGACAGTAAAGTGCTCAGAAGACAATTCAATTCTCCTCTTTCATACTCAAGAAGTAACTCTTTCAGGTGTAAAAATGAAGGTCACCTTCAAGTTTAATACAGAAAACAAGTATGCCTCAGATATACAGTGTGGACAACACTTGTATACAACAAATGATTACAGCTGCTATGATAATCTGAACTTTCATGAGTACCTTATATTTCTCTGTAATGAATGATGCCAAACTATGATAGTTCTTTATCAGAGATAGAATCTAGCCTTATGCAGGTGTTTGTAAAATGTGGAAGCTTCACACATGGGAAGGGGGAGCAACTTCAAGCATGCTATCACCCTCACAAATTTTCTTCTCCTCCATATGTATGGTAGAGATCATCTATGCATGGAGGTACTCTATGTGAATTGTAACCTTGATTTTCTATTAATATTTGCAATATTTTATGCTAACATCTAGATTTAGGTATATTTAAAAGATTAAAAAGGTATAAGGTTCACCCTGACACTCAGCTCTGAAGATATAGTAAATATATATAAAATTATATGGAACAATTTTACAATGATTTATCAATAGCATACACTATCTAGGCTTTTGTTGTACTTAAACAAGTTAACTTTTTTTCAAAAGTGCTTACAAATCTTGGTGGAGGGACAGGCAAGTTAAGGCTACTCAGTGAAACATCCAGTCCATTCTGTGCACAGGATACAAGTCGTAAAGCCACAAAAAATTCCTACACGGAAGGAAAAAAGTTAACACGCAGTCATTTTCATCTCACAACATGTATTTTTAGTCGAGGCATTGTATCAAATATGCAAAGAACTTTCTTAGAAAAAGAAATCATTACAGTCCTCTTACACTATGTACTGATGTGAACTCTTGAACTCTGCAATGGCTTTAAGAATTATTTTCAAAACAGTTTACCTGCCATAAAATAGCTTAACACAGTTTTCTAAAATGATTTTGAAATGCATCATTGTTCAGCAATGGGGAAGGAGCACTAATGAAACTAAAAGGAATTTATTTATAAATAAATAAATAAATTTATATGCTGTGCTTTCGCAGAGCCTCAGGATGGCTTACATAAATAAATAAGAAGAGTAGAATAAAACATAATACAAAAGAATAAAACATAATACAAATAAATTCCAGATCCACCCTGGCAGCAGATTAAAACATATATAGCTAATATTAAACAGTTATTAAAATATTGTTGAAATAAAAAAGTCTTAGCCTGGCGCCGAAAAACAAATAACGATGGCGCCAGGCGGACCTCTCCGGGGAGTGCATTCCATAGGCGGAGCGCCACCGCAGAGAAAGCCCTCCTCCGGGTACTTTGCCTCCTTATGTCTTTCATGGAGGATTCCTGGAGGAGGGCCTCTGCTGCTGATCTCAGTGGGCGGGAGGGCAAATACGAAAGAAGGCGTTCCTTTAGGTATCCAGGTCCCAAGCTGTTAAGGGCTTTATAGGTAATAACCAGCACCTTGAATTGAGCCCAGACTTCGATGGGAAGCCAGTGAAGCTGGTAGAGAACTGGGGTTATATGAGAATAATGCCCAGTCCCCGTCAGCAACCTGGCTGCTCTATTTTGCACCATCTGAAGTATCCGGACTGTCTTCAAGGGCAGCCCCACGTAGAGCACATTACAGAAATCCAACCGTGAAGTAACCAATGCATGTGTCACTGTCGCTAGGCAATCGTTCTCCAGGTAGGGACGCAACTGATGGATTAACTGAAGCTGAAGGAAAGTGCTCCTCACCACCCCAGTCACCTGAGCTTCCAGGGACAGCTCAGGTTCGAGGAGCACTCCCAAGCTGTGGACCCTGTCCTTTAGAGGGAGTGCAACCCCATTCAGGGCAAGATCCAAGTCACCTACCCAGGAGCTCAAACCACCCACCAACAGGACCTCCATCTTGTCTGGATCGAGTTTCAGTTTATTGGCCCTTATCCAGCCCATTAACTTGGCCAGGCACCGGTTCAGTACAGCCACTGCCTCACCTGGATCGGTTGAAAAAGAGGTAGAGGTGGGTATCATCAGCATACTGATGATTCCACAGCCCAAACCTCCTGATGACCTCTCCCAGCGGTTTATGTTTAAATGAACCTTTATGTTCATTTACAAATTCTTTTGCATTCTAATCCCATTAGAAATACTATACACTTCCCAAAAGGTTAAATGGGGTTATGGCATTTTTAAAATGTTTATTTAATGTGCGAGAAAATGTTATCTGGCCTGAAGCTTCTTCATTTCCTCTTAAAGACACTGTACAATACACAACAAACATCTGTTTACTCTGTAGCTTCAGTATTCTGTGCTGCACAAACCATTATTCAAAGGCTTGGGCTGGAGGCCCGTGAGGACAACTTGGATCCATACTCATCTGTTTTGCTTAATAATACAGAAGCCAATTAACAAACTCTTGTTTAAAAGAGGTAACTCTGGTTTGGTGCTAGTTATGGCTTAAGGCTATCAGGAATTGGGAGAGGATAGCATGCAGTCCTGACAGTATATCAATGGTTAAGAAAGTATTCACCCATGCATTCAAGCAGTCACTGCAATCCTGTTAGCAGTTATGAGAGCAATCCTAAGGCCCCGAATAGATTTGAGGAGCCATACGAGGATATTTTGGATTCTTAGCTCCAAGGATGGAAACAGTGCTTCAACCTCAGAGCTAGGAATCAATGGTCCAAACCTTCATCCCCTTACAGCTGTTGCAGAAAAAACTATACTGGCTGCTTCTTCAAGGCCATGAACATGAGCTCAGAGAGGGGTAAAAGAGGGCATTCAGTGGGTGTTGAATGGAGGATAACTGGGAGTCCAGGATAGGAGCTATCTTGAGGCCTCTCCAGCTGCCTTCCCTTCTCAAATTTTTGGTAGGCAAGAAAGCCTGTCTAGCAATAACACATGAGCTGGAGGATTGGGAAGTAAGTATCACATCCGCAACTCCTGCTACTCTTCATTGGATAATTGTAGCCATCTGAGTTGGGTGTCTTATGAGCACATAGATGCAAACCATAGGATGCTAGCCCAAATGTTTTTGCCCCGTTGTTGCACCAAGAGAAGAGTTCAGATTAAGAAAATATTTTCTATGTACCAGAATGTCAAGTTCATCTCAGCACTGAATCAGATGCATCTTTCAATAAGTTATGGAGCGTGCACAGAAAGTTTGTCATAATCAGAAGATTACAGAGAAGAGATTACAGAATCAGTTCCTAGAATGCAATTCATCAAAATTATGAAGTTGCTGAGTATCTTGCTTTGCAGTGCAGTGCAGATATTACTAAGGAAAGGCAAGTTACTTGGGAGACTTGTAGCTACGTGCCCCGTACTTTGCTCAGTTTCCTTCCTTAAAGAAGGAAGAATGTCCTTAAAGAACATTCTCTGCATGTTTTTGAGCTCCAGTTCTACAAACAACATCAACAACCCATCTCACGACTCTAAAAAATAGAAGGATAGAGGAAAGCACATTGTTTCCCTAAGAAACTAAGCCTTAAGCAACCCATATACCCCACTCTCCTGTCCACCTCCTTCAGACAATACTGAAGGAAGAATGGTAGACAAGGAGGCAAAGGAGCACTGAGACAAACAAGACTTTATTGATTCTCACTCCTTTTGCTAACCTCAAAATCAGGGGCTTAAATAAGTGGATTTAGTCCATTTTATTAGAAAAATCCCTTTTGTACTCTTGCTATTCCTTGATCATATTCATGTAAAGAAGAAGAAGAATTTTTACCTGTTTATTTAAGATACCTTTGCCATCGGTATCAGCAAGGTCCCAAATCTAAACACAGTTAAATGGAAAAACATGTAAGGTCAGAAATCTCTTTTTCCTGCTTTAACAGGTAACATAATAATAAATAATCCCACATACTTAGCCCCATTATTTTAACCACATGTTAGCAAAACACATTCTTTATTCTTTTTCGCTAATGCAATAGCCTGAAGTCTTAGTTTTGGCTATTAAAGAAACACTTTTGATCTACTAAAAGTGTCTCAAAAACCTAAACTTGGTATAAAATGTTCTAACTTCTCCATAAACAATGCCAATGCCATAAACAATAATTTTTCACCTATGCATTCCAGGCAAAGGCCTTTAATATTGTTCTCCCACTTGAGGACTACTTCATACGGTGCAGTGAATTAATATTTTTCACATCTAACCACTGTGTATCTACCACTTACTGCAAAACTGCCACACTACCAATGAGTTGCAACTGATGGAGTCTTACAGTCAGTTCCAAGAGAAACAAAGTGTATTGGCCAACATTCATTAAAAAAAAGCATACTTAAAATTATTTCTTTCAACCAGCTCTGGTTTAGACTGTGGTTAATGAATGCTCTGAAGTTATCCAATACTGGTTGGATTTATCACTAAAATTTAAAAAAAAATCATTGTCAAGGAAAGCTACTATAATCCCTGAAGGAATTGCATGGCTTTAAGATTGTGAATAAAATGCAATGTACGAAACCTCTGCAAGTGACAGAATTTTATTCCTGCTAAATTCAAGTTAAGATTATTACCCACACTCCATATCTGACACAAAGCAATACCTTCCCAAGAATCAAATCTGTCAGTCCTGATTTCTTCAGGAAGACAGCAGCGTCAGAAGCCAATACCCTTCCAGAATTACCAGGATCAACCTGCCAAAATAAGACATATTACTGGTGTTTCATAGCAAACTTTCAAAATTTACAAACTTACAAAACATTTAAAAATATTTTATTGTCTAAATGGCCACAGGATACACTGGAATCCCAGCACCAACTGTGAAAATATGTGACAAGGTTGGAGTTGCGTTTCTAGTTGTGGAGTGACCTCCCATTGCCCTTGTAACCATCATGGTTATTTCTAAGCCAGCTGTGGCTCCAAAGTCACAAGTGTACCTTTTGAACTGGTACTAGAGGAAAGGAGGCTTCACCAGGATATGTGGTAACCCAGCAGCACCTCAACTCCTCCTCCACACAAGCAGGGACAAAAGATATAGCCTTGCCTCTGTGCTTGACCAGATACCTGTAATCAATTGAGTTCAAGCTGCCACATGGATGGTTCCCTTACATTACTTTCTGAACTAATAGGTTTTTGGTTTACATTAGCAAATATTTAAATAGCCATGATGTGAAAGCAGTGGCATCATATATTTCCTACCTATAAGTGTGGGCTAGTTCACATGCAACTAAAATGGTGCAATGGCCAGTCCTGAACAATTTCCAATATTGTGGACACAGGATCTGTTGAAGCAGGTGAATGCTTAAGAAACCACAGTTCCACTTGAACTTCCAAGTGACAAACTTAATCTTTTCACTGTCTTGTAGTTACCAGAAGGGAGATTTCAGTCTCCATACTGGAAAACATACTGCAACACTCAATTCCCTATTTTAACTCTTAAAGTGACAGAGCCATAACAACAGAGAATAGAGGACTGGCAATCACAGGAATCATGCTTTCTTGGAGAAAGAAATTCAGTATAGCAATATGATATTTATGAGGATTCTTACTCACACCTGTTAAGGCTAAAAAGACTGAGAATGGCAAGTAACTAGCAGTATTACATTATCCAGACTAAGAGAAGCTACAGCATCAGTTGAATATCTGTTTGCTAGGCTATCTTACCAAACATTTCTGGATTTTCTAGAAGGAGGAAAGATGTAGCTCAGTATATGAGTATATGCTTTGTATGCTGAAGGTCCCAGGATCAATTCCTGCCAGCTCCAAGGTGGGCTGGAAAAACTAAAGTACTGCTGTCCCACACTATCAACAGTACTTCCCTGGATGAAATAGTGATCAGCTTCAGTGTAATACAGCTTCCTGTGTTTCAGATATGCAGCTTTATAAATAGTGGGGAAGCTATAATTTGTACAAGATGTGCCAGCCTACTTTTTCACCAGAAACATACTATGGCTGGAAATACATTAGTCCCATTTTCATTCTGCTATACTAACTCCCTACTGGCTCCCACTCTAATTCTAAATGCTAAGACTGACCTTTAAAGTCCTAAATCCGCCTTCCCGAACCTGGAATCCTACAGATATACTGAACTATAACTCCTGACTTTTCCCAACCAGTCATACTAGATGAGGGATAGCTGCAGCTGTAGTCTAACATACTGCCCTAAATGACCTGAGGCGTGCCTCTTGACGCATTATATTGCTATTGCTATATTCCACATAGGAATACATTGGTGACAGATCCTTTATATGGCCAACACACCCAGACCAAGTAACCCCAGGCCTAACAAGGTGTGCCAAGCTTCTGCCTTCCTAAGCTTCAGAAGCAAACAAAAACAGCTTTAAGGATTTTATTACACTTAGCAGAATATAATTTCAAATAAATAAAGTAGCTTTGAAGTGGTATTGACCAGAGGGTAACTGATTGTGGATGTTAAATTGATGTTAGCTTTTTATTTTTATCATCATCTGCTGGCAGCTATTGCCCTACTATTGTCAATATGGCTGTGTAATGCTTGGGTCCTATTTAATAATTTAAAATTTAACCGTACAAACACTTCAAGTAGAAAAGGCGCCTAACTGCCACCTTACATTAATGAAAGTTTGGTGTGTACATAAGCATGCAAACTATACTTCAAGCTCCTTTATTTCAATTCAGAGGGCAACTCTGCAGATCTTAGGACAACCTAATAACTGCTACTCGCTCTGAAGCACCAGTTGGTTTCTCTTTCCTCAAGAGACAAACAGCCATGTGGTATTTAATACGCTTACTTACTATATACTGCTTTTCTACCAGTACCCACCAAGTATTTTACTGTTTTTGAAAAATGACGTACAATCGAATGTAGGCCAAATTCAGAGTCACAGCTCAACAAAGCATCACATGGAAACCTAGCCAAATAAGTCTCTTAAAGGCTTGAGCAAAAGAAAATATGGATCTAAAGGCCACTCAAAGTTCACAGCATTTATTATGCCTAAAAATATAAATAGCTAGAAACATTTGCCATTTTATCACCATAACAAAGAACTTGTGCCTATCTCAGATGTGGTCTGAAGAATAGCGCTTCCTGCTAGAGCTACCCATTTTATTGTGCAACTGATTCAAAAGGTATGTTTTAATATGTGCATGAATTTATGTCACTTGAAGTTTTCAAGGTGTTACAGTTTACATAAAAACTAAACTATCTCTGGCTAGTTAGCCATTTGCCACAGAAGACTCACAATAGTAATAACTGGCCACAGTCTCCTGCATTACTGATGAAATTGAATCTTGGAAATAGTGACAGATAGGGAATCAATTCATCAGATGCCATCTCAGTTGGGCTAGCTTTACCCTCCCCATGCCTTCCTCCACTGAGAGATGCATGTGCAGAGAAAAATAGTCCCAATGAAGACAGCACTTGGAGTGCTCCTCCAGCCGCTGCCTCAATCAGGGAATGTTTGCCATACCCATGCTTACTCCAGCCAGGAAAGCATGCACACAGTGAGACCAGGTCCTTGGCTAAAGCATCAACTGGCACTTTGGGAGTGAAATGAATGACAGCAAGCCTCAGCAGGTAATGTAGCCATGCCCCTTGCCATCAACTGAGCTATAAAGAGCTGGGGGTATCATTTGGCTCATCACCCAGAAGTTCTCCAACTGCGGTTTAGGCATTTTAGCTGTTTATTTTTAAAAGAGACACATAGTGTTCAAGACTATGCAGAGTCTACATCCTTTAATGTTAGCTGGGTCAGGAAAGATGAGCTGTGCATTGCAATAGCCATTTTAAATACCAGCGAGGTTGTTTACATATGGGCAGCAACCCTGAAACCAATTGGTGGCAATCAGATCCAGTGTAGCAAGTATTTTCATGATTGTAAGTACTTCAAATAACTAGTGTACTACTTCAGGTTTCCCAAAAGTACCCTGAGCTACAGTGACTGAATGGTTATTTTGAGTAATACTTTACAATGTTTGATGCTTTATTTTACCACATGAACCCCTAAAATGAATGCAAAGTACAGAAATCTAGTTTCTACAGAAAAATAGTAGCATTCAATCATCCAGACTTGCTAAGATAAACCATTCAATTACCATAATATTGTTCCGTGGAGAATTACCATTTGAAGTAAATTTCTCAAGCTTCTGAATCAATATAATTAATATTTGATAAGTGAAAGTACTTGACTATGTCAGGTCAAATATCTCTCCATTTAAAAGAATGGGAATCCAAAACCTTCTGGAAGGCAGCAGAATCCCTCCTAGCTATACAGCTACATGAAACAGCAGCTCCATTTAACTAAAGAAGCAACGGCTAGGACTGCCAAAAATAAAGAGTGACCTAGATTCAGTGCTAGCCCTGTGGTGATACATGCCATAAACATTTCTGTGCACTATGTTGAAATTAACTCAGAATGAACTTACTTCAATTATGATACTGGTGATACAATAGTACCAGAGGCAAAAGACCTTTCATTTCAACTATTTACATAGATTACGATTATGTTAAATTCCAAGAACTGTCCAAACTAGTAGGTGTAAAGCGACATTATTACAGCTAAATTATGCTTTCAAATACATGTCCTAAGCAACTGACAGCGTATTACTGAAGTCATTCAAGATATGTAATTTACTTTAACAAGGAGTCATTTTATGGAAACACAGTGTATTCCTCTTAGAATAGAATAAATCCATTATTGTCTGGTGTGAGAAGTGGATGGCATAGAGTAGTTGCTTTTGCAATTGCATTCTGTGGCCAATAGCTACTGGTTTGTATTGGTATAAGCGATTATTTATATTAAAAATGAATGCCATACACATGGAACATACTTCAGCTTTAAAACTGCTAAAATGATATCCCAAACTTCACATTTTCACTATTTATTGCCTAAAGACCACAATAAACTATTTCATTCTCCATTTAATATTATTCATAACAACCAAAAGAGGTGCCAATATATGTAGATCTAAAACTACAGAAAGCAACCCATACTTACCTGACGATAATACTTCTCATACACGGGATTTGCACTTGACAACTATGAGGAAGAGAATTGAAACAGTTTTAAAACGTGGCTCAGTTTTAAATTATGGAAAAACAAGTTAGCTTTTTTTGTCATTGTTAATCATTAAAAGTTTAAAAGTAAGATTAAACATGTGTTAACTGGTTTTGCATGATATTCTTTGTGGGTGGTTGTTTCAGAGAGCTTCGGCTGTGGGGTGGTACAGAAATAAATAATAGAAATAACAATGATAATATAGACTTCCCACAAGGTGGCTTATTTGTGGACAAGACGCCACCTTTACAACCATGGGTTATTCTAGAGGTTCTTCTTTCAGTGTATTTTCTTTTTGCCCCTTTAGCAGCAATTTTTGACTAACAGCTCAGCAACTGTGCAAAAATGAGCCTTATCAATTGCATTTCACTCCTTCTCACAGCTGCAACTTACAAGACAAGACTACATAGATAGCCTTAAGCACACACTTGTTCACCTCTGAAAGACTGACAAAAAAAGAGGAAGAACCCACAGTGAACCTGATTATAGGGCACACTATGGATTGTTCAATGGACCACTAACTCGCCATGGCTTATTCACAGAGTGGCTTATTATGCTGTGTGAACCCACCCATTCAAAAACTGAGAATGTGCATAACAGCATAAAATAAAAAGGAATTCATTACAATGTCAAACTGGCAAAGTATTCTATTCAAACAAAACCACCAAAGCTAGAATGAGGGGTTATGAATAGATTTACACACATATTGTGACATGACCTTTTGGATATACTTAAGTGTTTGTTAATATTCATACCACAGTGTATTTGTGAATCTTTGGCATATCATCAGACTGTTTCTGCTTGACCAGATGCTTTCTAGAATTTACATTTAAGGCATGGAATTTAAGAGTTTTGATAGCTGCGAACTGTACACAAAAGCAGTAAATAATTAAGTAAATAAAGCATCTACTTATTATGACATACTGCTTATTATGAACATACCCCTTAATGTTTGGTCTGGCATGGAATTAGAGTACAATAAGTGTGAGCAGTACAGAGAGCCCAGATACAGGCTACAGTAGCAACATACAAATAAAATAAATAAATCATTAAGTCACATGTTGCTATTTGACCTTGTTTACACAAGTTTTTTTTCTTCCTCATTTCAATAGATGTTACATACAAAAATTCCATGGCCATTATATTTAGTTCCCTTCATTGAGATTTCATGATGTACAGTATTTGGGTTAAACTTGCAAAAGGTTGCTAGTTTCAAACTCCACAAGGATCCAGTTTATAGGGTTCATATTGGGAAAACAAGTACATGCAATCCCAGATCATGCCAACATCTAACAAATATTGAAGAACTCTGCACACAATGTTTAAGACAAGTTCATCCAGTGGTGCTAAGGCAGGCAACACCATACTAAAAGATTTGCCTATTTGGTAAAAATATGAACTGCTGCTACATACATTTACTTAGAATTTAAGTTCCTCACTCTTTAGTGTCACTTATTCTGAAATAAGGATAAGGTAAGGAATGTTGTAAGGTATCTTGAGTTTGTGATCATGGAGAAATAACTGTATAAAAAGTTAGATGATGCAACTGTATTTTCAGATGTACACCTTAATGGTATACTAAGCAAGGAGAAAACCACTGCTCTCTCGAAATGTACTGAATATATATACTTCCCTGCAGCATTCATCTAGAAAGGTACTTTGTTAGTAAACTTGTTAATAAACATATTAAAATTCTAGTTTTGACATCCTTGTAATAAGATGGCAATTATTTCCTTATCCCACAGTGTCACCTATACAATTACTTGGAATCTCAGCATGAGAGTCTGCATACAAAATAAAATTAATGTTTTCTAATGATTGTAAGAATCTGTGGCTAACATCCACTCAAATGTATTAAATGTTACCAAGATTTTTGCATCAGCAATTTAAATAATAGCATATAATCAGGAGAAGAAACAGTTTTGTAAAACCACTGCTACAGTTCTGAGCCATTGGTACTCCCCCTTTTCCTATTACATCAATTAATAATCTCACAAGTTGAGTCAACTTTAGCAATGTCATCATTTTGTTAGCAAAACTTTACTAAGTATACTGTTACTCCTAAATAGGAAACATATGCTGGTTCACTTCCTGTACCTACATTATTTTAAAATTCCAGGACAGTCTCTCCATTGAGCATGCAAGATAAAAAAAATGAGCTATTATTTCCAGTTCGGGAATCTAACATCTGCTTTCACTGGCAAGCAACCCATTTTATAATAAAAGTCAAACTGGACCACAAGATAATCAGTACATTTCTCCTGTGTGTCACAACAAGAGAGCACAGGTGGAATCTTCATGCGTCAGATTTACTACATAAACTGGCTGAAAGGTATAGGTAACAAATTCTCTCTCATATGAAATCAGAGAAATCAGAATTATAACTGACACAAGCACAAATGAAAACTGTGATTACTGCTAAAAGGACCCAATATGTGGACATGGAAATATGCAGCTATAAAATCTGTGTATACCGCTGTCAAAGATCCTTGTTAGGTCCTGTCAAGAAAACCATTTTAAAAGAAAAGTAATTGCTTCTGTAAATGGGGTGCTCTGTAATTCCCTAAGCATGTATAGCCTTGGGAAAGAGTGGAAGACACTGAAAACTGTCAGGTCCAAAATTAACACCTACAGGATCTTGCTTAAAAGTAGGTAAGGCAGACTCTACCTCCTTTCACAAGCAAAGATCTGTTCAGACAGCTGCCAAGTGAAAGAAAATGTATTTGAATCCTGATTATGTAAATGTTTATGAATAATGCCTGCTTTTATAGCAGACACCAGGATATTGAAAAGGCAAGGCTTCAAATTTTGGGTAGTTAGAGTTGTGCACTTGCTCATCTCCAACTACCCACATTTTTAAAATTACCATCAATATTTGTATGCATCTCTGGTATAAGAAATAATAAAATAAGTGGTGAACCAGTGACTGCTGAGAACTTTAGAGGCACTGCCAATTTTTTAAAGGGATGTTTTTAGTCCAAACACTTAACTCCAAATTATATTATTAGTTCTTGATGCTGCAGGAATCCAAGAACAGTTTATGAAAAGATACTCTAAGAAGTGTGTCATGAAGCTAGGGCAAGTAAGGGGTAGATCACTCTATAGTAATGCTAAGTTAGAAAAAAACAGCAATCCAATTTTAAGAGTCAACAAGTGCAATTTCAGGCCATATTAATACCATTTAGAAAGAAAAAAATGGTTGATTGAGCAACACACAGCTGGTCTTTGTTCAAAACACCAAGAAACAAATCTAGTTCTCTTAGTCCTGATTTTGTTAACATGTTTCTAAAATTACAAGACTGCATGCTTAAAGAGCTGAGATTTGCTTACAAGGGCAAAGTGTTCAGTGTTTTTACAGAAAAGTCTCTTTGTACCCTGCACCTTTAAACAAATGGACCTATACTAAGGAAGCATTAATTCCACACCCCACTTTAGTAACCTGTTGCTTGCTTTTAGTAATTAATTTTAACAATGTAACCTGATATGAGTTCAGTGGAATTTACTCCCAGATGCTATAGGATCCCTGCCTAATTCTATTACTAATACAGGGCAAATAGGGAACTGAAGCACCACCCCATCCCAGAAAAGCTGCTTTGTCCTTCCACTTTCCTTGTAAGTTCACAGGAACTGACCCATATTTTCAAGACTTTCATCAGAAGCTTGAGAACTCAGAAAAAAGCTACAATTCTCAAAATGCTGGAATATGCACAAATATTACATTTAGTGCAATTGCTTTATACCCAACAAGCCCTCCCTACAGATGAGGATCAATATACATTAAAATAAATATATTTAAAGCAAGCACTATGTTATATCTGAAATTTTAAAAGGCTCTAGAGGAGGAGTTTGTTTTTTGAAGAAGCTGATATTACAATTTCAGCCATGTATCAGATGAGCAAAATTTCAAGCTGTTTTTTCTGGTGTTTGTCATATGTCATGTGTACAAGATGATACCCAATTTTTGCTTCGCTATTTTCACTTACATGGGCCAGTATGTATGGGTATATCTCTAGCACAAAACTGCAAATATTTCTAGAAAAAAATGCAAGTATCTCTAGAGTCTTTGTGTTCACTGAGAGACAAACCATGTGAGTGAGGTTCGCTAGGACCAAGACAAAGGGCATGGTGTCCCCAAACAGAGACCCTAGAAATATTTGCAGGTTTTTGTTAGAGATATTCATGGCTTTTCCACTTTTGTGGGGGTGCTGCAGTTTTAGGCATCTGCTGGGGGTTTAGAACCTAACCCCCACAGATATGGGGGACCTACTGTATCATGAAAAATTTCACCTGGAATGTAAGAAAACCCATTTTTGCCTTGCTACTTCTGGTTTCAAGGGTTTGTCATATACACCAGTATATATAGTACTGTTAGCATATTCACTGACATTAATGTCAATGTTAACTGACTTTATCAGATATAGTAGTTAATCCTGGAAAATTTCCAAACTGATAGTTAAGAAAGGATGTGATGCAATCTAACAAAAGGCTAGTATGTTTATATCTTTAAAACAATTATGTTTTCTTTGACTGTATAGGTAACAGTCTCATGCATTATCCCTAGTATACATTTATGCTTCACAGGCAGTACATCTATGAATATAACTGGACACTTGCAAGCCCTTTAGCTGCAAACAAGGCAGAAACTAACAGAAAACTAATACCAAGTTTCAGAGATATCTTCATATAGATCATAAATATCTGCCATAATCCTAGAATCCTTCATATTTCAATATAGTTTTAAATCCTGTCATAAAATTAAAAACAAGTCAATATATTCAATGAGTTCAGAAACCATAAGTCACATTCTGAAGGCTCATTAAAAAGGGTCCAGTTTGAGCAATAAACATTAAAAGTCACTTACTGTAACATTAAGCTGCTTAATGTCACAACACTGGGTGCCCATGATGTGTCATTCACAAGTACAGACTGAAATTCTATTTTTAAGGGGAAAATATCTCAGTTCAGATATCAAGAAGCGAAGCTATTAACTTTTATCTTTTCTTGCCAAGACCTAACAACTACTCCAGTTTGATAAGTGCCAGCATTAACATTCAGAGCTTCCAAAAAGCTCTTCAGCATCACAGTATTGGGTGGTAGGTAGAGTGATAGCCATCTTCAATGAGTTTGATGAAAACTGTTAGAACACATGCTCTCTGATCTGAAAAGCAAGTGCCTTGGAATGCAGTAAACATATGCTTCATCCAAATGTAGCAGAAATGTTTTGAATGCATTTTAAGTACACTAGTTCTCAGCACTTTTTTCTGGGCAAAAAACACAATCCAAACTATCTTTACCACACTCTGATATCTGTCTGTTTTCACCTTAATTAACTTTAAAAGCTGAGCAGAGCAGTGATCCTAAGCAAGGATCTCCACAACTACACTCAGCATTCCACACACTGTGCTATACTGGCTCCTGTTTGGCAAACAATCAAATTAATTTGGCTGAATGTTGGTGCTCTTTGAACAGTGCTCTTAGTTCAGCTCATGGCCACAGTACAGTTTGATTGTGTAGAACATGTTTCAAACTCTCATGGTCTCTCATTCACTCATGCTCTTCCAAGTTTGCAGAATGATTCAGGAAAGTCAATCTTTGCTTAGATCAAACATTTCTTGCATCTGAACAGGAAACTATGGTTTGAAGTAGGCTTACTTTGATAATGGCCAAGCCATCAGATGTAAACTAAGTTAAGAAAGCAAACTTATTACTTTGCACTCATATGTATGTTTGGAATTCAGTGCTGCTTAATTAGTAAGCATGTATGAGTCTGTAGCCTCAAGCTTCACTTTGTTCCTGTATTTATTTACAAACACTCTGCTATTGGTAATTGTGTAGCACTATTTCAACTCACCTACTATTAAGCTTCTCTGCAAAAAAACAAAAACAAAAAAACCAAAAACAAAAACACTGTGGAGAAACATCTTTCAACACATCTTGAGAACTGCAAAAAATGCAATTGGTACACGAGGTAACAAGCACAGCATGAATACACAACAGATACATAAGCTTCCTGTTTATATGAGAAACATCAGTTATACTGAAAGGGAGTAATCAAGACTTTGTTTCTTCTCTCCCAAAAACTAAGGATGGCTTGTCTGCATTCCAAGTTGTTATGCAGCACTATTCTCTCTCTCTCTCCCTCTCCCTCTCTCTCTCTGTCTCTCTCTCTCTGCACTTTAAAGCGAGGAGCACTGGATGGGCACCTCCCCTTCTATATTATCACTCAATTTTAACCTATGCTAAAGCTTATAATTGTTCCTAGCATACTCTGCAGGATAAGAAAGACACTAGTTACAAACGCAAAGGAAGAGTGCAGCTTTGTTCATTGTGCCTATTCCTTACTTAACACACCTAGTCTGTTCTGGGCCCTAGAAAATGAAAGGAATTGACCCAAAAAAGTATAAAACTAAACAAATCACCTAAATTAGAAAAAGTGAAGTAAACACGATGACTTTGGGTGAATATGTGGCTTTAAGGAAGCAGAAGCGTATCACAATTAAGAAAGGCCTATAGAGAAGGTTGAGGGGAAACACAACCACTTGAATTGCGCTTCTGGCAAGAAACAGTCCACTGCGACTGATAGATGAAACGGCCTGGAAGGCAGGCACGTTATATGCACTACGCGCGGGTCTGTGGGCAGGGCAGCAAAGGGAAGGAGAATAACTTTCAGGCTACAACAGAACATGGAAGAGATTATGAAGAAACAACCGCAAGACTGTGGAAGATGTGTGGGTGGGACATGAGGGGAGAGAATAGTGTAGTATAAGAAAGAAGCAGGATACTTGGGGCTGTAACTGAGTAGGAGCTACAGAGTCTGGGGAACCAAGCGAGGAGCCGAGCGGAAGCACTGGGGGCTGAGGAAGCTTGCAAGGGTTGTGGAATTAAAGGGAGATGTGAGGAGAGAAAAGGCGGTGAGAGAAAGTACAGCAAGCTCTGGGATACCGGGCGAGCGGTGGAAGCAGGACCCCGCCACACCTCGCGAGAGGAGGCCAGCGCGACTTCTTGGTTACGTCCCACCTCTACCTAGCAAGCAGTTACCTGTGTCAAGGAGAAATGAGTGGCCATGCTGCTTCCATTATGTACTGACCAAACAGAAGGGAGCGGAAGAAGTGGGGTTGGAAAGCACCCAGAAAGGCCCGGTCGGCAGGCAAGCGCTTGAAGGATCAGTCCCTCGCACTCAGCCCAACTTCAGCAACTTCCCGAGCCGCCCTAACTAGGCCCCGCCCTCCCGCTACGCGGCAATCCCGGCGCCGGATTTCTCCCGGCAGCCCCTTTGGATCGGAGGCGCCTTACAACTGCTAAACTCGGCCTCAGAATACTATAAACTGTACTCGCAGGCGGCCAGGCCTCAGTTCTCTCGGCAGCTATGAAAATGTGGACTGGTTGCTGAAAGATGGGTGGATTGAGTAATCTCCCCCTTTTTCGGAGAGGTCGGCACGCGCGCCGGCCGTGCTGGATGGGTCAGTGCATGTTGACTGAAGAGGAAAGCCCAAAGTGCTTCGATGGGATTTTCTCCGGAGCAAACATGCGTAAAATGTTAGCAGTTGCTTATCCACAGCTATGCTAATAGAGCTTGCCGGCATCACCTGAGTAAGCCTGATTTAAGGTTTCCCCCAAGCTATTTTCTTTTCTCAGTGACATACCCTCTTTACGTTCATAGTAAATGATGGTAAATTATTCCTGTACTTGCTCTCGCCAGCAGAAACTGTTGTTGTTTACAGAAGGTGTATCGCAGTCTCCTTTAAGCATTTAACAGCACAAGCCTTAGGTTCGGTGGAGCTTACTCCCAAGTAAATGGCTATGGGATCTTAGCCTTATTCTCTTTCCTTCCTGACTGGATAGTTTTTGCTGAAGTCTTACTAGACATGAATGGCATGTAGTGCATGATCTTGCCTAATCTTGGATGCTAAGCAGGGTTGGGCCTGGCTGAAATCCGGATGGTGAGTTAAATGTAAGCCGCCCAGAGGGTTTCCCCTACAGGCGGTATTGAAAGGTAATGTAATAATATTTAGGTTTGCATTGCTTTGGGCTGTATGGGCACAGGTATGTGGTGGGTTTCATCATACATTCCTCTGGCTAAGAAGTATTAATAATATTTTTGCATGAAATACTAATCAAAACCATTATCTTTTTCTTGAAATTGTCAAAATATGTAAACTAGTGGTCTGCAACCTTCTGGGATGTGGGAGCTGTGTTATAGCACCCAATGCCTAAAAAGGGCCACTTCTTAAAATGAAGCAAAATTATTAACCTACTGATTTTGATTGAAAGTAAATATTCAGAGGTGAATGAAGAATTGTTAACTTGAGTGCAATCCATTTTGGAACAATATTTTACTGTGGAATCCTTTTATCTAGCTACACATGCTTACCTAGTCTGTGATTTTTGTGGCTGTTTTCTGTTAGCTGAGACATTAAAGTCCAAGTCAAGGTACATCTGTAAGTCCTGACCTATACTTGAATTTCACAATTTTCATCTTGGAAAAACTTTGTTCACAGAAGCATGTGGTGCCAAAGACTGTGAACATGCCTGCAGGAACTTTCTTTAGGATGATAAATACCTGATAAATATATCAGGTAGACCACAGCAGAAATCTAACAGACTGTTTTCTTTGTAAATGTGCCTAAGATGATCACTGGTTTGCAAATCAATTAGTTCCAATTGAAAAAGTTACTTGCCTCTTCTGGCGCTATTTCAAATGGATTCTGAAACATTTTTATTTCATTTCCATGCTTATGGCAATCAGGTGAGATAACCATGATACCTGTATTCTTTGGCAAGCAGCTCCAACCTGATGAGTCTCAAGTCTCCTTTCCGTTACCAGATCTAATTCAGGTATTTCAAGATTATATTATATTATAAATAGGCCTGTTATGGCTTCTCCTTCTTGGGAGTAGGGATAAAAAACTTTGGATCTGAACTTAGGTTATTTTAGCCATTGTATTTTTGAAAAAAAAAAATCCAGGTCACTGTGCTTAATGTTCAGAGCCAATAGTGCTGCTGTTGTAAAATCATAATATCACAATTTGACTGCCCATAAAAGTGACACAAGGACACTGTATATTTTATCTTTTCCCAAGTAGAAAATAAATCCTGAAAAAAAATCCTGTTGTTGGGAGGTTGCTAGTGCATGGTCTGTGGGGTGCATTTCAGCTGGGGCAGGCCTGTTATCTTTTTTGCTTCCTCTTGCTTTCTCCTGGAACATTTTATTAAAGTGTTGCTGAATTTGAGATGTAATTATTCTTTTAAAAACAATATAACCAATGACAGATCTTCCCTGCACATGCCTGCTCCAAAGAGTTTGAGGACCCTCTGAGACACCTTTGGAGTCATTGTATATGTGGGGTTCAGTGGGAAGGAGAGGAAACTGAAGTACCATTCTGTAAGCAGAAGCATTCTTATGGCATCCAATGAAAAGAAATGTAAAAAGCAACAGATCAAACACAAGTTTTGTAGACTGATAGATTAGGGTATAAGGATGCCACTGCAGTGGCAGGGGTGAATACATCTGTCCAAAAGGCCCAAGTGCTGGTATTCCTACAGAGTGATCCAAGGTCAGGGAGATGAGCAAGCAACTTTGGATCTGCTGGATCCAAAGCCCTTCCATTCTACTGAGAGGCCTCCAGACTTCAATTCCTCTGTTAGACCATTTTGGAACTGATGTGTCTAATCTGCCCCCCTGCCAATTTCAATGAAATTCTAAATAATGAAGTTCAGCTACTGGTCCAAGAAGTCCAGTAAATCTGCACACAGACATCTCCTGCCTGCATAACAGAACAGATCATGCCACTTGGTCCCCCACCTGCTCCAATTCTGGTTGTTCTGTAAGGGTAAAATCCTCTGTACATTTACACAGAAGAAGTCTAACTCCCAGCATGCTGATTAATGCTAGGAGTTACAGGGCATCTTTCCTGTTTAAACATGCATAAGAGTACATCTTAAGTTTATTAAGGCCACAATCTTATGCATGTTTAGACTGGGAAATGCTGGAAATAGTCATAGGCGTGCTGGCTGGGCAACTCTGGAAATTGCAGGAATTTTTTTCTGTCTGGAAATGCACCGGTTTGTGCCCCAATAGGATATACTAGCAAAGGTCAGCCTATTGCAAATAAATGCAACATTCATCATGTGGAAAGAGGTAATAGTGGAGGTGGGGTGGGGTACCTAGGCAGAGATCCTGAGTAAGAGTAGTAACATGTCTTTGTATGTGTCTTTTTTTATCTGTGAAATGCTAGAGTTCCTGTGTATAGGCCAGGAACTCATCTATTTATCCTTGGTTTCTTTTAACAAACCTCATGTAAACAAATGGAAGTTGCCCAGTAACAGAAGTTAAAACATTTGTACCAAGATTATCATCTGAAGTTTCTATAAAGTTACAAATTTGAATGAATTCCACATGACCTTCAACCAATGTATAACTGCAAGAGGTTTAACCAGCACTAATACACAGTAACGTACTCTGACAGAAGTAGAGTATGAAATGACACCGCTGCAGAATCTAGAGTCAATATGCCAACATAATACATGTTACCTTCTGATAAGCAAAAGGAGGTGGAGTCAATGGCTTTTATACACTTTGCTGAAAACTACCTTTCCCCACTATATATCTGACTGCTTTCTTTTAAAAGTTGGAAGTGCAGCACCCAACTTATTAAAAAAAAAACAATATAGATAATTGAAAAGGAAAATGATCTATTAGTTGTATATACTCTAAAATTCAAAGTAGAAAGACAAGTCTCACCAGTACACATCACAATCAGCTCCTGAAGGCCGGAGTTGATGTTCCACTGGTAACCTGTGGCTGAATTTTCCCTTGGTTTTGTTGAGACACAACTTAGGAGCTATTCTGAATTTTATCAGAGCAGTGGTTCTTTGCATATTCTTCTTCCCCCAGGTCTTGGCACCAAAGAACTGCATTTAGGAGGCAATGATTTTCCCCTTAAAGGCTGCCTATAAATAATTTTGGATAGATTTGGTGTGGCTTAATAAGGGCTAATGAACAATTAAGGGAGGCCATTATTTAAAAAGCTGCCTTGAAATACCATATCCACTTGCACAGAAGGGGTCTAAAAAGGCTGTTTGGCTTTGTTTGTGGGGAGACTGCATATACAAAAGATAAGTATTTTGGACCTGGTCAGAAAAATAATCCAGGTGCAAGATTGCCAGCTGACTGGCAGAGCTAGTTTTGGGACATTAGGCATGATCTCATTGTTTTATGCTACAAGATTAAGACTACCTTCTTTCATATACACTATTTTGCTAAACTTGTGTATTTATAAATATGTTATTAATTAGAGCATCTTTTAAGTTGTATGCATAGAAGCAAACACTAAAGCAGTTCACATCATTCCTGAGTAAATGAGGTTGAAATAAGTGATCTTGGTGAACAGATATAGCACATCAGTATGTAGTATGGCATTTTTTCCTGCAGTGGAGGAGTAACAAGTCTTGGGATCAAGGTCAAGGTAATTTCCAATGGGAGAGAGAGAGAGAGAGAGAGAGAGGTATTGTCTTCTTCCACTGGTTGATCTTACCTTGATCAAAGTTTTCTTTCACTGATTGTAGGTTCTAGTTGTGGGTCCTGGGAAAACTTCTCAAAAATCCAAGGGGTCCTCCAAGAGTGTCCTCTGTGGTAATCACTGGCACATCTGATCTCTTAATCAGCATGGTGGAGTTACACATGCATAGTTTTATTAACCTCTATTTTTGCTTGCTTGCTTTTTTAGTAATAACTCCAAATGTTGTAACTTTTCCTCACAGGGGATGTGATCCATTTCTTTTATCCACCCCTCCCTTCTGTACCTTCTTCAGCTATACAATATCCTTTTTGAGTTTCAGTGAGCAGAATTCTACACCGTATAGTCAAATCATAGGTTTTTATAGACGCATTATAATATTGGCAATTTCCTCCCAATTCCTTTCCTAATGATACCCGACATGGAATTTGCTTTTTTCACAGCAGCTATATATTAGGAAATCATTTTCATTGACCTATATCCAACACAACTTGGACCTCTCTGTGTTGTCTAATAAAACCAAAAACTGTTGTGACAGTGTGCTTTTGTGTCTTTACTGTCCCTTTCTGGTTCTTCCTGGGCTGTTTCCTCTGACATTGTATTCTAAGTGTTCAACATGATGGTTATGCCTCCTGCTTCCCTAACCAGCTGCAAAGAGAGGCCATGACACTGACTTGGACTATAGCTTCCATCAACAATGTCATCGAGCATGCTGGTGCAGGCTGACAGGGTATTTATTGATAAGACAAGGCTGGATCTTGGGCTGAAATCTAAGGCTCCACAGCTCAGCCACCCCACATGACCACCCCGAGAGCAACAGTTGATAAACATATAATGGCAGAAGCAGCAAACTCCATTTTATTTCTGTCATCATGATGATGCTTTAACTTAAGCATAAAGACCCCCCCCCCCCGACTATAAAGTGCAGGATCTAAAATTACCTAGCCTTATCACTGGATGGAAGTTGTAATCAAAAATACCTGCCAGGCTCCACAAGGGGACAAGGCTGGTGTAAGATGACTGTAGCACCCCTGGCAAGCTACAAGGGGCTTGTTACTTATTAACCATAAAACAAAAATGGTCATATTCAATAGATCTAAATGACAAATTTGGATAATCAATGAGCATGATATCAAGTAGTAGAATTCCTACTATTATTTCATTTTTCCAAAACTAGTGACTGGCATAAAAGCTTTGAAGTATCTAGAACAGGAATGAGCTACTTGTAACCGTCAGATGTTTCGACCTATTTCCATGATACCTTAGCATTCACTATGCTGCCCAGGGCTGATGGAAGTTATATTTTGAAGCATTTAAGAGGCTACAAATGGCCTTCTGATCTAGAGTTAAGGGCTGATCAAGCAACAAATGACATTTTAAAATGTTGAACATATAATAGGGGTAAATTCTTTATGAATGGTTCTTCAGAATTTTATTCTGGATTACAGAGTAAGTGTCCTTTCAAGACAAGAGGAGTTTGGATGGAGCAGATTTTATGCCATGAAAACTTATGAGAGCTCCAGAAAAAATTGAACAATTATCTTCAATATATACAAAGCCAGTGTGAAAACAAATTTAAAGCATCCATCCCAAAGATACTAAAAACTAATGAAAATATAATGAAAATCAGCCAGTTGTTAAAACCAATCAGCAGAAGTCCAAAAAACTTTCCCTTAGAAAAAGGCCATGAATGACCATTAAGGTACTTCTAAATGCCTGTAACAACAAGGCCTACTGGATCCCAGCTGGAAATGTATTTCAAAACTGTGAGGCCAGCACTGAAAATCTTTTTCCTATCTGCCACCCTCATTATTCTTACTGAGAAGCATGTGAGAAGTGCAGGTATGGGTGGGGGCTTCTTCCTCTACTTTTAAAAGCTACCACCTGTCTTGAGGAGTAGGACAGGTGGGGGGGGAGTGAAAAGAATGTTTAAAAAAAACCTGTCCATTGTAATGGTTAACAAACTATCCCAGAAGCTGAAATGTCCCCCAGATGTCCCCCAGAACATCCACCCACAATTTACCCTTTAGAAATATCATGGTGAACGTTGTTTTAATCCACACACAGTTTCAGTAGTACTGAGTACGAGTACTGAATTGAGCAGGTGCTTCTATGTTATTTTCTACATCCTTGGGTTGCACAAGTCGTTACCATTTATGTGGTATCTGGGTTTGCAGCAGGTACTGGTGTCCCTCCTAGAAAAATAGGGCTGCAATCCCGTATCCACTTATCAAATGGACGTTTCTGAGTAGACAGGTACAACAGGAAGTGTACAACATCTAAGCTTTACCTCTTCCATTGCTACCCACCTATGAGCATTAAAAAAAATTTTCAGGAGGTTTTATTGTCACTGTATTTCAGAGTTTCAGTAACATATATTTAGAAAATAAGTACAGTATTTAGACATTGAAAAAAATCCATCCCAAAGTAAAGGATAGCGCATAAACATACTGAGTGACAGTAATTATGCAATAGATTTTGGCTGATTACAGCTCATCTTTTACGCTGACTTTTCTTTTCTTTTCTTTCTTGTCTTCCTTTCCCTTTGGTTCTTCCTTTTCATTAATTTTATTATACACTACATCTCGTCTCTCTCTTCTGTTCCATTCTCTTTCCTGTTTATCAGAACAAATTTATATATGATTAATAGACTCAAACACACAACACTGCTTGACAACCAAACTCCCAGTGCATGAGAAGCGTATGTTAGTCTTTAACAGAGTAAATTTGAGTGAATTATTTAATTAAAAACTAAAATATAATACTCATCTGACAATTGTTTGCTTCATACTGAGAACTGTATGAAAATTACAGAATTGTCATATATCCATGGCATACAATTTATGTGAACTGTTCATAAGTAAAACTATGCAAACTTTCTGTGTAGCTTTCATTAAGGAAGACAGTAATCTGATTTGCACAACATGATAGTCCATTGCAGGGTAACTTACCTCAAGGAGCACTGGAAAATGCCACCATCACAAAGTTGCAACCGCCAACGAGGGGTTGTTGAAGGTTGTGTTGGGCCTAGCCTGTGTCACTTTTAGGCCTATGAGTTCAAAGCCAGATTTATATTCAGACTTAGAACAGGATAATTGGGCACTAAGTCCAATGATATGAAACTCAAAGGCTAAGAGCCCAACTTTGCCTTTGAGCAAAGTCGCCTATGAGGTTTCCTATCTGATTACAGGCTGAAGGAAAAGAAGTCTTCATTTCAGCTACAGCTACAAGATGAGACCTTAAATCATACTTCTTACATGCAACCCGAGAAATCTTGTATAAGAGCAAAGAATCACTTTTAACTAGAACAAGGAAAACAGAATGTAATAGATTATAATAATCTTGTTAGTATTTTTATTCAGAAACATGCACCACTGGACATCTAAGCAAGGAAGTATATCTCTATTAGATTAAAAAATAAGGAGTAGATTTTAATTTTGTGAAAAGCTATACAGTTACTTACGTATGTAGCACCCCACATTTCATTTCCAGCATCTTCAGCATATTTTTCATCATTTGTAATAAGGAAATTATTGAAAATTGTACCAGACCTTCCCTGTTGGAATTAAAAGGTAAGTCTGCAACTGTTTAATTGTATGCAATCCAATCTAATTTGCAAGGGTATAAGTGAATCTGCCCAACAAGAATGGTCCACCCTGACCCTTACCCAAAAACACTCATAATGTAGGACACCATTACAAAGATACAATAAACCAGAATGATGTACATCTGGTGTGGTTGATACATTCTTTCCAAAAGTGCACTTTTAATTGGGTCTCTGTTTTGCTCTCAAAGGCTACATTAACAGTTGTTAATTAGAATTGCATGGTATATGCACAGCATTACATTTTCCTGATTTGCAGAAAATGCACTACAACAGTGGTCTCCAAACTTTTTCAGGCTTCTGCCCCCTTTCATATTGAGTGACAACACAAGTGCTCCCATCTCTCTTTCTTTGTGTTAGAGGAGCTAGTGTTGTCATACCTTAGCTGAATTAATACTCCTTGCTTGCCCGACTTCTCTCCCCCGCCCCTTGTACCCACTCTCACCAGGGCATGGGGGAGGCACCATGGTGAACAGTGGCTTCTGGGGCTGCAAGAAAGTGAGGCAGTCTCCTTGGCAACAACAGTGGTGATGCCAGTGAAGCAGGTGTGGAGGGCTTTGGGTGCTTCCTGGCTTAAGAGGCCCGTAGGGAAGAGGCATGCAGCTATGTCACAACTTGCTCGGCCCCTCTCCCCCACCCCCCACCTTATCCCTGCTCTCACCAGGGCATCGGGGGGGGGGGGCACTGTTGTGGATAGCAGCTGGCAGAGTGTATGTATGTCAGATCACATGCTCAAGCTAAATGTTTGTCTTAGCATATGATTTTATTTTATTTTATTTATTGCATTTGTATGCTGCCCCATAGCCCAAGGGCTCTCTCGGTGGCTCACAAGAAACAACAACAATTTCACTTAAATATTACAATATTTATAACATATTAGCAAATATTTTACCTTTCTATGCTTAAGAAACACTTCAATATTCACTTAATATTCACATCTCAATATTCACATCTTAAACACAATGCAGTGTTGTAATAATCATAATACAATAATGTAGATACTGAAGAGCATCTGTGCATGTATGTAGAAATACAATATTGTAAAACAAACCTAATAGAAGAAACAGTTCTTAAAACAGTTGAGAACGTTTTTGAGGTAACATTAACTGATGAGGATGATGGAGATGAACCTGGTTCTAGAAAGTCAGGGTTTGATTATGCTGCTGGGGTGTGGGCGTTACCACTAGAGTCGCTTTCTTGAAGTAGGCCTCAAGGGTTGTTTGTATAGCCATTTTCTTCTTATCAAAAATGACCTTGTAGCAGCTGACAGCCTGGTTACAAGGGCAAATGCAAAAAAAGGACCAAAGGAGACCTAATGCCCTACATGTGTCCTGACACACATTGGCTTGGGTATGCTCAAGCTGACACTGTAGAATGAAAAGCCATGAAATACTCTATGAAAATGAAAATACTCTATGAAAAAAAAATACTCCATGAAAAGCCATGAATACATGTGCTGGTGACTTCCCGCCTTGACTTCTGTAATGCGCTCTACGTGGGGCTACCCTTGAAGACGGTCCGGATACTTCAATTGGTTCAAAATAGAGCTGCCAGGCTGCTGACGGGGACTGGGTGTTATGTTCACATGACTCCAGTTCTCCGTCAGCTTCACTGGCTTCCCACTGAAGTCCGGGCCCAATTCAAGGTGTTGGTGTTGACCTATAAACCCCTAAACGGCTTGGGTCCTGGTTACCTGAAGGAGCGCTTACATCCATATATGCCCGACCGCCCCTTGAGATCTGCGGGAGAGGCCCTTCTCCGGGAACCCTCCATGAAAGAAATTAGGAGGGTGGGTACTCGGAGGAGGGCTTTCTCTGCGGTGGTGCCTAAGTTATGGAATGCGCTCCCCAGAGAGGCCCGCCTGGCGCCGTTGTTATTTGTTTTTTGGCACCAGGCGAAGACCTTTTTATTTAAGCGGCATTTTAATTGTTAATATTATTGGATTTTATTTGGCCAGGGCGGCTTATTTTATATTGGTATTTTTGCATTTTTAACTTATTGTTTGTATTTTTTTAATGTTATATTTTTTTTAACTTAATGTTGTAAGCTGCCCCGAGGCTTCAGCGAATGGGATGGCATAAAAATGCTTTAATAAATAAATAAATAAATATTTCTAGGTAACTAGGCTGCTACTGATGACGTGTTGCATAATTCCCTTGAGATACATTGCATAGTTCTTTAGAGATAGCCTTGACAATCTCTAGCGATTCATATAGGGTTTATTGTAGTCCTTGCATTCATAAGCATGGGTTACTCTACCCATACTTACCTGAGAACTACCAGTAATTGCTGACCCCCCCCCCCCCCCCTTTCCCCTTTTTCCTCATTGCCTCCTTGGATCTTTCCACCTCCCCCAAAGGGACAGGACCACCCATTTGAGGAATCACTGTACTAGAAGATCACTCATACTTAAAGTATTTTCTAATTTCTGCAACCAGAAATTCTAATGTTATGATTGAATCAAAATGCACATATTATAAAGTTTTCAGACATATGAACTTGTTTTCTTAGTTGACTACTTCTTGTATGCTGAAGAATGGGATATTTATATTTCATTATCTGATGGTTAGAATGTACATTTAAAATGCTAATATTTTCCTGTATTAGGAAAGCTTATGCATTTATTAGGATTTCCCTGTAGGTATGATGCCTAGACTCTTTAAGGAAAATGCACTGTCAGGTTGCAGAGATACTCACACGTTTCATATCAGAAGCCTTATAGTGTAATTCTATACAATTCTATTTAAAAGAATTTTGAAATGTCGAAGAACAATCTAAATTAACTTAAATTCTAACTTATTTTTATTTGCTGATTTTATAGTTTTTATGCCTCTGTTTAATGCTTATATACACTGTCTGGGAATTGCCTCTGGCAATGAGATTTTATTCCCAGATAAAGTGGTATAGGATTATAGCCTTAATATATAAATTTAAGGGAAGCTTATATGGCCCAACTGACTTACACTTCACAATAAAAAATAACAGATGTATGTTGTTCTGAATGTGTCACAGTGATGCATTATAAACAAAGACCAGTTTTTATAAAGTTATTGACCTGCATTCTTCTTCCCCATAACATCTTCTAAATGGGAAATTGAGGTTACAGTCCAGTACATAGTTAACCTGAGAATATGTTCCATTGAATTAAATGGGATTCCTTCTGAGTATACATGTAGAAGACTATACTATCAAGCATACTGATAAGATACCAGACTTTTAAATGCTATTCTGTTAAACATAGTTTCTATACTGTGCAGTCATTTTTGCATTTGTAAATAAAATAAAAACCTCTGCATCACAATTATCTAAAATTCTGGATGCTGTAGGATGCCTAGTATTCTGTTATCTAGATGTTCTAGGTAACAGAGAAGTACATACTGAGAGTTGACAACTCAATAGTGGCTATCGGCTTCCCAACTTGCAGTGGTACAGAAACTGCAAGAATGATCTATTCCAGCTTCAAATTATTGTGAAGAACAGGAAAAACAGGTAAGGCAAATAGAAGTGGTCTCCATACAGATTGGTCTTGTAGTGTTTCAAAAGGACACAGTACTAAAACAGAGATGATTTTGCCTATATTGTAGTGAAAAAGGAATTTACAATGTATCCAAATATATTTCTCTGATAATGTATCAGAGTAATATAAATGTTAAATAAACTATATCCACCTATTAAGCATCACCCTACTTTATCTGCAATTAGTACTGCCTTCTTAATCAAAGCAAATACATAGCAATTTTTGCACGCCATCAATTCTTTGTTCTCATTATCTCAGAAGCCCCTATTCCCAAATTATTTACTCTACAATAATCCTACACCAGAAATCCTGGCTAAGCAGAAGTTTTAAAGGCTGCCCATTATATTGTATACTTAGTTACAGAAGAGGGAAAATATACTAGATCATCTTTCTAAAATGAATGTACTGCTTCATATTTTTATTCTTTTAGATGAGGGAATGAGTCCAATTAGGAAGTGGGCCAACTTTTCCAGCTTTGTGGTATGGAATACAACCAGGCATTGTTGTAATTTATAAGTAATATCCAATGGTGGCACTGCACTAGTGCAAATCACAACTTTTTCTTTGTGTTAGCAAGCAATAACATCATGCTGGTGTTGGTTGCACCACTTAGATTCTCCCAATCTTTCTAATTAAAGAATGTAGTTTTCAAATGGTATAATATACATACCTGTAAAATTTCTAGGCCAATGACACTAATGTTAAAATATTTGTAAAGATGAGGATCTGGTACATAGTCTGGATTGTCAACTTCTGGCTGGAACCATTTGCCATTATAGTTGGGGTTTTTAATTATACGAGGTTTCCAAACACCCTAAAAAAAGTATTTGAGACAATATTGAATACTAATTTTAAAAAATTCAATCACAATATCTAGTGGTCAACATAACCCTTGAATAAAACTCTAGGAAAATTTAAAAACCAATACTTCGAATGTACTGATTTCATTGTTCTGTTCTGCCTCTGTCGTGCTGTATCCCCCAGAGTGTGTTTTGGTTATTGGGTGGTATACAAATGAAATGAAAAAATAAATGTTGAAGACTTAGTGTCACTGGGTGCTAATGAGGCTTGGGTTATAGGATGTCCGCTATACATCAGGTTTTCCTCAAAATCTGGGGAGGTCAGGCTTCCCAGGGAAGCAGAAAGGGGAACTGAAAAGCACCATGGGGAGCTCAAAATGATACTGGGGCTGAAATCCAGACAAGCTAGTCAGTGAGATAGTTTATGCATGTGATGGTGGGTTGTGATGTGTACCAGCCTCCACTGTGAATATTCACGCTATGGATCACAACATAGCATACTGTAATGTGCAAACCTGGGCTGGTTAGCTTGTTCTGCAGATAACGAGTTACCCAGAACCCATGGGCTTCAGTCGGGTACTCGGGTGGCTTGTTAACCACAACAGACCAGTCTGAGTTTCTGTGTCATACTAAGCCATGGCAACTACCTGCCATAGTTGAATATTCAATATATTACCTTGGACATACTGCAATACATGAGGACTTAAGTCACAGTTGGCACCAGCTAATCAGTCTGTATGTTGCTGATTGTGACAATTAATTAAGCAGGAGGTTGAATTACTTCAGGCTGGTTGGCCCCACCTCCATACTTCTCTCTTAAAGGGACTTGGATTTTTTTAGCACTGTCAGGTTGCCATGATGTGCAGTTGCTGTGAGATGCTAGTGTCTTCATGGAAGACATACTCAGACTTCAAGAATGACAATACAACCTCCTCTGGATGCAGGAGACAGATTTCCTGCAGCCTTCCTGGAAAACTAGGTCCTTCCAAGGAAAAGCCTTTTCATGCTTTCTTTAACCAAGTTCCTTCCCCTAACTCAGAAGCCTCTTTTGATGAAGTAGGATCAGAATCCTCCAAGGACAAGGGTTACCATTGGCTATGATGATCATTTGAAGATGTAACGACTCACATTACCATTCTGAGTGTAGGACCTTCCTGAGAAATGTTATGGTGCAATAAAAACAACCCTCAACTGTTGACTTCCACTTACATGATCTCAAATATTTTATATGTGTTGTAAATCATGCTAAATGCTTTTCATTCTATGATGATAATGGAAGTAACAGGAATGTGAACAATCAGAATAAGAACAAGAGAAAAAAGGAGCTGACAGCTGATGCATGAATAGAATGAAGGAAGAAAGGTCTGGAAAAAGTCAAATGTACTAGAAAAATGAAAAATATTAGTATATACCCTATTAGTACGTCCTAAATATCCTAGATTGATAGAGACATGTTTGGAAATCTGAGAAGTGAAATGCTTGAAAACTAAAAGTTTGAAAGCAATAAAAATGTGGCAAGAAGCTAACACAGTAAATTAGGATGATAGGTGACAAATCATAATAATTGAAGGAAACCATAGACATTGGTTTTATCAGAGAATGTGTGGAAATTCTCAAAGGGCGGCCACTAGCTACTATTTGAAGATGGGCAGGAAAGAATAAAGAGAAGGATAAAGGGGAATACAAGCTAGAGTGGCTCAAGATGAGAAGCAGTGTTTTAATGTATCAAGATTGAATGTCTACCAAGCTGTAGTTATTCATATGTAAACTGATACCAGTCTTACTTTATACGCAGGGTTTGAAATCAAAGGTGGTGCCCACTCCCCATCCATATCTTCATCCCAGTCTTCTGGCTTTGTCACATTTGGATCAGGAATTCTTTCTGGCTGGTCCCAATCCTAAAACAGTAATGGTCAAGATACCCAATTAAGAGCATACTTCTTCCGGCCTTAATATAAGTTGGGTTGTGTGTCTATCCAGGCAGTTTAAACTCACATGCAATCCACCTCTGTGTGATTCAAAACTTAATCTTTATGGAAACCTAACATAAATATAAGCAAATAATGAATACAAGATCAATATTTTATCATTGAGGTTGATAAACAGATGACTTGGATGTATGAGAATTAAGCTCTTGGTTGAGGTGAAGAAGCAATTAAAGACTAGTCTTTGAGCTTGCAATCCCCAGCAGCAACAGAAATTTAATCCCAAGGGATGTTTCTTCCAAACAGAAGAACAGGTGGCACAAATCAGATAAACCCTTTCCCCAGAAACAACTAATCAGTGTATGCCATCAAGGCCTGATCAGTTGCTAACAAATACATGGAGAATAAACTAGAACAATTATAAATGCAAGCTCTAGGGAGCAACATAACATAACAACACTACGTCCGGTTAGAGTAGAACAATAATTCTGTGTGTGTTTATACAGGAAAAAGTGCTACAATTCCCAGCATGCCCCAGCTGGAGTTGTAGCACTTTCTTCTATATAAGCATGCATAGGATTGTACCCTTAGATTGATTTTATCAGGAAGAGATTAAATCTCAATCCTACCTTTAAAATACTTGTCCATTTAATAGCACTGTCGGTTGATTAGTAGCTTTAGAATTCAGTTATTTTGATTTCCCTTGTAAAATTTCAACTATTCAAGAAATTAATGATTGGTTTGCATTATTTTTGGTTTCATGGCATTCATCAAAACCACTGCAACTGCTATCAGATGCGAGGTCTGTTTGTATTAACAGTTTAAAATGCCCCAAACAGATGAATGTCTGCTTCTGGTTACAATGGCATTCTTGGGACAAAGATCTGGTAAAGTTCCAGATCCTTGGATCTTCAGGCTCTAATATTTGACACTGCAGTAATAGCAAATAAAATAGATCCAGATTTAGATATATACACCTGTCTACCTCGCTTCCTTTAATAGCAGCCCCATCAGTCTCCTGAAAATGCTACACAGGGAGTTGAGGGACTTTGCTGAATGTTGGCTGAGGTGAGGGGGAAATCCTCAAATGTTATGGATAAACACCTTCCATGAGTGGATGGAATTCTGTGGATTCCATCCACAATGCAGATCTTGGATCCAACCCTTTGTGCTACCATACTTCTATAATCATTGCATATTTTATCATATTTTACAGTCCGCCCACATCCTACCAAAAAGTTAAGATGCTGTGTTTCCTCATCAAATGCCTATGGTTCTAAAACTGGGTTTCAGGAACACTGTGCCCTATGGGCCTCAAAGGGAGGGATACAGAAATCTCAAAACACTGCAAGGGAAACTTATAAGCAAATTATTGTGGCTTATTGTGTTGTGTGTACTCAGGAAAATGATTTTTATTCAAGCATCCTTCTATTATTCAGTTTTAAACTACAAGGCATGGAATCCACTGAGATCCAGTACTGATTTAGTATTTTGGATCTTAATTACAACTAAGTGGTGGCCTACAGAATGACAGTAAGCAGCCTCTTTTTTTTCAACTGTAAAACAGGAGCTATGATAGTCATTATATCTGAATAAGCACTATTTAATAATGTAAACAATTAAAGTAAAAAGGGAACTTTGCATACTAGATAGTTCTAGAATTAGCTGCAACAGCTATGTAGCTGTAACTCATGTTTGTCATCAATGCAGGCAACAAGAGACCACCAAAGGACAATACAACTAGTAGGGCAGCCAGTTTTGACATACAGAATGCAAAGCCATAATAGTCAAAGTAAGATTTTACATCTGGCTTCTTGTCTTCAGGATCTTCAATAATTTCCCTTTCATCCCAGTCATCAGGTTTTGGCATATCAGGATCTAGTATCTTCCTTGGAAGCAGGAAATCCCAGTCATCTTCTAGGTGGCCAGCCTCAGTCACGTAATTATCAATCTTCACTTCATATGTTAAATCTGGGCGTACTATTAGAGTGTAGAGATGGGTAAAATCGTCGGTCTCAAAAAAGAAGAACAAAAATTATTACATAGCAACAAAAATTACTTTCTAGTTTCCAAAATGACCATCACCCTTGCCTGTTAAATTTCATATAAACTAAATGAAAAACAGGACTACTGATGTTCTGCTTGTACTCCATCAGTGGGTGAATAGTATGGAGACCCAAAAGGTCAATGATATGCTTCTTACTGGAAAGGAACAGCTGCATCTCTTGCTCTATGGATGGTATGTGTTAATAGGTCACAAAAGTGGCAACCCGCACATCAGTGCCCCCGAGAATGGGCACAGTACTTATCACTCTGCTTAACATTCATGCAGGCACTGGGTTTCTCACATTTCTACTAGCAGTTTCTTTTTGAGTCTGCTGTCCACTCCATCTTTCTTACACCAATATTTTCTTATTTCATGCAAAGATATTGTTACTTCTAATTTTTAGGATCCTGCATAACTTAATCTGCTCCTTGCTACCTTGAAAAGGTTTTTCCATTCCTAAAATATTTTTGGTTTACAAGAGCTGAGCAGGGCTATCAAAAACAGGATATTTTGGAGGGCATTCATTTATAGTGACTCTGCAAGTCAGAAATGACTTGACAGCACATAACAAAAGTATTCTTGCTTAACTGGTCTCATTTATGTCACACCCATTTCATTTTCACGTGCATTTTTACCATATCTACTAGTTTTATTTAAGGAAGAGGGCTGAATTCAAGTTTTCGTGACATTCTTGAGGACTGCATTCCAGTGCTGGGTGGGACTGAAAGCAAAAGGAGCAGGGCCAACATTCAAAAGTTAACAGCGTATCTTAGGATTGTGCTCTTACGGCTTCTTTAGCCCTTAGAGAGGCATTTCAACATTTTAGAATGGGGAAAAAACTGCAAAAAGGGACCAAATAATTTAGAGATGGGGGAAAAGGGTGTCACCTTCTGGGGAACCTGCGGAATAGATGTTGGCCTGCAGGTCTGATGTTCAACACTATTAACAGAAAACATATTATTATAAGCTGGAATCTAGAGCATTTTTAGTTGAGAATCTAATCACTAAGCTAAATGGGTATTCTCCTATGGCAAGGTGTGGAACAGGGTCATTGCTAAAGCCATAAAAGATTCAGGGTCCAGGCCCACAGGATACAAATCTGCACAAAATTTACATATGCTAATTTTATCTCTATATAGGAAAATTTAGAAATAATCACTAGCTTTTATTTAAATATTCCAGAAGGCAAAATCAGCCAGTTAATTTGTCATCCACACAATTCTTTAGATTGGACCCTGTCCAAGATCATCTTAAATCAGCAATTCCTCTTCAAATACCATTAACATTCAAACTCTCACTGTCCTTTCTCCCTTCTCTTTGCAGTCTCTTTTCCTCTTGAAGGAAACTCACTTTAACCCCATCTTCCATTGGCATCAATGGAAGATTTTTAGCTATGCAGTAGTGGGATGGGGGGTACAGCATGAGAAACAGAAGGGCTAACCCTTCTCAGCTGGGATGCCCCTAGAAATCCTAGATTTGTGAATAGTTCTAAAGCTCACAGACATAGACTTCCTCCATGGGCCCTAGCAATGCCCCTGATATACAGGACTATAGCTTAAGCGAATCATGCAGTACAGATTTCTTGTTCTCCAAATTACTTCTTGTACAGGTTAATAGCACTTAAAATGAGGATTACTGAGAGTAAGCATTCTATATTACTTGCAGTCAGTTTCTAGCATTTTAAATAATCTGTAAGCAATAAACACTGAGCTAGAATTTTGAAGACACTGCTTCACTCAGATTTTCTTCAACAGAGTTTTACTTTTGTGTTGAGAACGAATTACAAGAAAACAGAACGAAGCAAAAAACACCATTAGTAGGGGAAAAAAGCCAGCAATGAAAAAAATTAGACATTGATATTTCTGATACCAAAAAACATCCTGATTATACCTCACATGTGATGTTTTTTTTAGTCATGTAGTACTCATCTTTATAGTTGAAGATAACTTGCACTATTTTTTTGTATTTTCCGCATATATCGGGACCTAGGGGGAAAAAAACAACACTTTAAAGATCCAAATGATTTTGGCCATATTTGTACCTAAACTATAAGGTATGTGTCCCAGGACAGGATTGCTCAGACTCCTCCTTCCCAAGGTCACAGACAATGCTGACCTTGGAAGGGGGAGCCAGATCTGACCCTCAACCCCTGTGTCCACAGCCAGAACCAGGCTAGCTGTTCTGAGGTCAGAAAAGCAAACTCAGAGGAAGAAAAAGGGGTACTAAAAAGCCCATCTAGCAAAATCTGCAGGGCAGGAAGATGGGGAGGCAAAGATTGCCTCCTTTGCACCTCCTCTCCTGCACAGGATTGTGCACTTTTGGGTTTAGGGTTTCCAAATTACATAGGGCACAATTGATAGCACCATACTGCTTTTTCCATCGAGTGGGTCATAAATATTATCTGTGCCATATAAAATAAACTAACAACAGCATATACATAAAACCACATAAATGAACAGCACTGAACACACATCAAACTAAAAACATTCAGCATTTGTGTTTACTCCGGTGTGGAAGCATGATTAATCCCACTTGAAGGGGTGTTCCACGTGGGTACCTCTTTGGTAGAGTTCCTATCACTGACAGCAGAAGAATCTGAAGCAGAATCTCAGATATTGGCTAGAACATGTAGAGTGAAAAGGTGGTCCTTAAGGTATCCAGATTTCATTTAGAGCTAGTTGAAACTTAGAACATTAGAGTGCCTTACATTAATCTACTCTGGAGGTCACTAGGACATGAATGAGTGTCGTGGTGAGCACTTTCATCAAGAGACAATTTAGTCAGCACACCAGCAGAGACTGGAAAATGCATCCCTAGTCACTGACATTAACTGTGCATCCAGTGGAATACAAGTGGGTTGGTACTATTGCACTCATGAAACAATAATGTTGATCAGATAAAAACAATACTGAATACCAAGGATGTGCATCAGATTTAGCCAAGACACAAGATTGTGGACCTTGTCCAATGGCCTTTGGACCATTTCTGATATTTCACAGGCTTTCCTCTGAAGTGACCATACTCAGTACTGGACCCTACATGAACTCTCGGTAAGGCAACTGTGTGTCTCCACAATTAATGCATTTTGGTTTTGTTTCTCAGAGCTCTGATACGGGGGATGAGGAAGGAATGTGGTTGAACGACTAACATGCTAATCTCCTAATTAGAAAGCATATTTTACCATGGTTTTTCCACTCGCTGGGCCTTCAGGGAAAAGCAAAATTCACTGTGAAAAAGTCTTAAACTGGCTTGTAATCACCATAACTCCTTAGCCTTTGCACATGTCCTTCTGAAATTCTACAAATTTCTTATCTGGAGACATCTGAATGATGTACGTCATTTCATACAAATTGTGCCCCAAAAATGATGGAGAGGGAAGGGGCAACTGCCCCCTAAATCAAGCCACCTAAATTTTAGGACTCTTCTTTCATGTAACCCCCTGCACCTGTCCTTCTGAACTGTCTGTCATTTTCTTGCTTAGGACCACCTCTATGCTCTGTTATTTTTAAGAAGACTAGTTAATAAGAAATGTAGGGGATACAATCCAAATATAAAGGCAGAATTGATTCACTCAGAAGAGACACCAATCCCTGCAAATTTCATTCAACTCTGCCAAGAAATGAAAATGTTATTTGCAGTTCACTTTGCAAAAGTAAAATAAATAAAGTGAATAGCAGAAAAACAACTGTAGCTATTTTTTTCTGAAATTTGGCAGGCATAGTCCCTTCTTGGTATGCCTGCAAATTGTCTCCATTTCTGATGAACAGACAAAAAAGTTCCATCCATTTTAAAACATTTTTAAAAAGTTAACGGGGAGTCATAAAACCTCAGATTTCCAAATTCTGACTCATCTTTGGTACTTGAGTCGAAACAGATGGCATCTGAATCAATTTCAGAAGAATTAGGCCAATTTCTGAAATTCCAAATCAGGGACCAAGTCAAATCTGTACCTGAAAAAGATCCTGAACAAATCTTGCACATGAGCAAGAAGCTCACCTCCACAAGATACTAAGCTTGATTAATATTAAAATAGCTTGTTGGGATTTATATAATGCTGTTTTAGAAGAGTAAAATATTATTTTATTAGTTGTGTGTTGGTTTTATCACCTTTGAGTAAGAATTCATAGTGTCCACATTTGGAATATTAAACCGTTCATTGCTAACAATTACTTAGATTATATAGTTCTAGTCATCCCATCTTAAGAATTCATAGCACTAGAAACGATGCAGAAAAAGTAACCAAACTAGTTAGGGGTTTGAAGCATTTTTTCATAGTAATTTAAGGGGCTTTTAGTTTAGGAATTAAAAGATGGCTAAGAGGGAGTTGCAATACTGGTTTGGTTTTTTAAAAAAATCTATGAATAGTGCAAAAAGGAAAGAGCTATTTTTAATTTGATCGCATATAATACAACCACCTGGGGTCATCCACTGATTGACATTAAGTTCAGAATTAAAAAAAGAGTGCTTAGCTAATTTATTGTATTCAGTGTGCAAATAATATTTTCAGTGAAATTAAAAGTTTTATACCTAACCTTGCAATCTATTGATAATTATTAACCGTGATTACTACTTCAAATCTCCATGTGTATTTATTTGAAATATTTTTATTCTGCTGCTCAGGCAAAAAGGCATCCATAGCAACTTACATATATTTAATTTGAAAAGGCAGTTTCTTTATTTAAAATTTGTGTCCCACCCTTTATAGTGGTTCAGGATGGTGATAAAATAGATAAATAAGACATAGCATCACAATAATATATAAAAACAACATTAAATGATTTGGGGTTTGTTTTATTCTACTTCTTTATTGTAAGTCATCTGGAGACCTTCTGTAGGGGATGGGATAGAAAAGCTTTTAATAAACAAACAAACAATAGTAACTTTTAAAATGCTGGGAAAATTAAAAAGTTCCCTCTCTGTAGGCTTATAATCTAAAAATGACAAGAAATGGAAAAAGGGAAGAATTATTATTTTAGCAGGCTTAAGAATTCTCAATTCTTTTAATCCTTCATCTCTCTCAGTTCAGCCTGGAATGGCTGCTGCTCATAACTGTGCATGGAGGAGAAGCCTTCCTAAAGGAAGCCTTTAACAGGGCATGTGAAATGGCCCTGCTCTGGCTCCAAACAACCTGCTGGAATGGCTGCTGGTTTATCATCATCAAATACAGTGGACATCCAACAGATGAGGACTGCTGGCTTCATATCTTGCTTGCCGTATTCCAGGAGGCATTGACATAGCTTGTAACATGAAATTGATATTATCTGTCTACCAGACACTGAAGAGAACTTACCAAACATAATATAGTACTTTGAATCTTCATTCATAGTCTCTTGATTAATGTCTTCAGGAAAAAGTTTAATGTAGGCACCACCACAATCAACGTGTTGGTCGTATTTTACTGTGTACTGCACCACTAAGGTCTGGCCTTCATTGTTGAAGGGCCGAAACCTTGCTGACACAGCATAATATTTAGTATCTTCTGTTGTCTGCAGACCTATAAAGAGAAACTGTGGTGAAGTATTTAAAGAAAGCCCCCGTTTGAATCAGGTGTCCCCGGTGGTGCCTATGAAGGGATGCCATTGTGATGTCCACAAATACCCACACTCAAAAAAACCCAAAAACATTTACTTGGATTTGTTTATATTAATACCAATTAGTATATAAGCAATGTATATAACTTTCTTGCAATTGCACATAGACATTGCAAGTCAACATGGTTAAAGAGCTATAGTGGGCTGCCATGCTGTCTGAACTGAGACCATTTCCTGCAGGATAGCTTGTTTTGGAACAACAAGCCATCTTGACAAAGCTTGTTTTGCTCTAGGGGTTGTTCAAACCATCATGGGCTGTTGCAACATCTGAACCCAGGAGACTGATCATTGGATTCTCAGTGAGTCTTTTCAATGTCCTTATATTTGTCTTTTTCAAAATTGTAGGTGCTTAGGAAGGTGGAAAACTGTGAGCCACCGCCCTTTTAAAATGCATTCTTTACAGTACTACCCAGGAACTTGTATGTATGCATACATATTTTCTTTGACAGGGATATATACATATTTGTACACTTATGTATCTAAACTAGATTAGTCCTGTCAAAATCTTTTCAACATGTAATCTGAATTTTGATAGTTGTCTAGCCTCTGTGCTTCCATAAAAGGGGTGGCTCACACTTTTCCAACTGCTTAAGCACTGGGAAGCTTGGGAAAGGGTGCAAAAGAGCAAAGACACAGAGGATAGTCAGCGCCAACCAAACCAAACAATTGGAGGATCTCATGATAAAGAGGGTGATGCACTAGCCACCTCCTTTTCTGAGCAAAGATCATTTGTGGCATTGCTTTCCCTTGACACTGTCTGCTTAAGCTGCCAAGAGAACATGAAGTAAAAAATAAATGTATTTGAGGCCTCGCTGAGTCAATGGCCATGTTTGGTGCTGCCGCACTTTGACAGCAGATAGCTCCTCTTCGCACACTGCTCAGGTGAAGCTTCCTGTTTCAGACCTCTATGAGTGCATAGCTCTGTACCTGTGCAAGTTTGCCTTAAAATAATAATTTAAAATTGTCTATACTTCCTGCACTTAAAATGTTTAAAAGAGATAATAAATCAGTGAGAGCCCTGTCACTCAATGTTAACCTGGAGATAAATGTGATCTCTGATGATAAAAAGGGAAAACAGCTACAGTGAGTAAAAAAGGGATTGCAATTGTGGTGGGGCCCATCAAGCCAGTACCAGTTGCTCCACCGTGCCACTTGGGCTTCAGTCATAAGCGGTGACCCAGATGGCCTCAGTAAGAGTTTTGCTATATTCTTGATAAGATGATGACTTGATAAGATTACTTCCCTGTATCTATGGAGGAGTCAGTCATCTAGCTCTGAATGACTCTACAACCCATTGTGGGGACAACTCCTACCATAAGCCATGGTTGTTGTAGTGACTTGTTGCCCTGAAACAAGCTTCCCTGCAGAAAGTAAGCTGGATCCAGAGGTCACAATAAGCGGAGCTGGCTGGAGCCGGGGGTCAGACTAGATGGCTCAGGAGGCCTCTTCTGACTCGCTGAGTTTTTATGGGCTGTCATGTCATGGGAACCCACTCTCAGTTATAATGACTCCTGTTCTTTTTGGCAAGATGGCCCAAGAAAACCAGTTCATGGTCATATGAGGCTGGAAAACCACTTCATGATCACTAGAACTGTTCATCAATTGATTCCACTGAGCTCTGCCTTTTGTAGGCAGGAGACCTGCTTACTTGTGACCTAGGTACAGGCTTGATATTTGAAACAATAACTTAAATAAACTAAGCCAGACTGAAGCATTCAGCAGTACTTTATTTAAAATATTTTCATCCCATCTAATATCCAAAGCAGATCTCTAGATGGCTTACAAAAGACAAAAATCATAACAGTACTTTAAAGGAAACATAATCTTTGATATATATATAAAACATTTTCAGTACAATCCATTCAGCCATTAAAATACTGGGTAAATAAAAAGGTTTTGGTCTGGTGCTAAAATGAATCAAGCATTGATGCCTGGCACACCTCTCTGGGATTCAGGTTACTTAGCTAGGGCACTATAACAGAAAAGGCCTTTCACTGGGTAGCCTCTAATGTAGCCTTCTAGCCATTTTCAAAGAGGGTTCCTGGAAAAGGACCTCAGTGGAAGATCTCAAAGTTTGGGCAGGTATATGTGGAAGGAGATGTTCCTTCAGATATTCATATCAGAATATATGAATATCTGCAGAAGTTACATCCTGCTTACTTCTGGCAATGTTGAAAATGGTAATCAGCCTCTGGGCACACCCCTACAGTAAGTCTTTAAAGAACATTCCTCACATTTCACAATTGCCTCAGAAAAGAAATGCATTCCTTTACCTTTATCTTTTTCTCTATCTCCATAAAATCTTCCTGATCCTATCCGAAATTTACCATAATCAGTTCTGTGTCTAGACTGAACCCACCGTTTCTGCCATTCATCTGAAAAAGAAGAAGTACCATTAAAGTTTACTAAAAGAAAATAAACAGCTATTCTACATTATGGACTCATGAGTATAAACTTATTGTTGGAAAGTTCACTAAAAGAGAATAAACAGCTATTCTACATTATGGACTCATGAGCATAAACTTATTGTTGGAAAGTCAGTGTTCTATAACAACATGACAAGCTGGGATTTGATTCATTCAGAAACGCAGAATTATATTGGAACATTCACACAACAGAACCTACACCTTTCTTATTTACAAAATTATTCAAAGTTCTTTCAAGAACTCTAACACAAAGACAGTAAACCTTTATAACTACTCCTACTGAAGCCTGAATTACATTCAGTTATAAACAACCTCCTGCCCAAGTATTTTACTTAGGAATGCTTAGCTATCACAAAAGCCTACATGTAATTCCATCTGGCACTTGATACAACTGCTCACAGATCCCAAGGGAGCATCAGTACATGTTGAATCATGTCTGGTGAATTGCCTGGTTTATTTCATATTTAAATCATTGAACATAGGGCTAAACCTTCTGTGAAATGTAATAAATTGACTGATTCTCTCATTTTATGAAGTAATCTTAAAGTGTGGCAAAGGTAATTCTAGATGATTATTTAGTTAAGGTAAGTTTCCTGGAAGAAGTCTTTAACAGAAAGGGTGGGAACAGATGCAACAATTTGTACTGCTTTTCCCATGGGACATAAAGAGACCGGGAGAAAGGAAGAAACAGTTGTAACAATCTCTATTGATCTGCCCATGGGGTATAAAGAAAAAACTGAAGGACGAGAGGAAACATGGTAGGAGATAAATGACAGACAGGTAGTACGTCCTCGCCCATACTTTGGCCTCTGTTTCTAGGAAAAATCTTCAAGAACAATTAAGCAAAGCCAAATCAAACTAAAACCCAAAACCTAGCGTCATTTTATTAACATATTTGACTTTCCTTCTGTGTGCAACAGAACTAAAACTAAAATTATAAGCTATACAGAACTAACATAAGGGCGAGTCTTAAATTAGGAAAGTGAATACATATGCCTTTTTTCACAGAAAGGACACTGTTTTTATAAAGAGAATATATCTTTGTTAACACACACTAGAGGTTACAGGAGAGACAATATTAATTCTTCATATTACTATTTTTGGTTACCTAGTCTTACTTAAACAGATGAGAATATTAACTCCAGATACACCATGCCCTGATGGCATCAGTTACCAATTCATGTCCACTTGGCTATGCCTTTCTTCCATGCATCACTCAATAAAATTGAAGTACAACTTCCTCTGAATATTAGTCCGCCTACCCTCAGAAAAATGTTGCTAAAATCTGGCCTTCTCTCATGGTTCTGCTGTATATGATTTTCTATAGCGGTAAGTAGTAAACACACACATGCCAACAGAAAAGATATTATAGGAAAGACATTTTACAATTATTTATCAATTCATTTAATTTTTACAATGTAAAACTCATAAAATCAAACTGGAATACACCTCTTAGAATTAGGAGATTGAAGAAAATTTAGAATTTAACATTTTCTTTTTAGGATACAAAAAAGGCAAAATATCACTTACCTTCATCATTAAACTCTTCCCTAAAATACTCTTTTGTTACAACATTATCCTGCTTCTCCTCTGTAGGGGAAGGGCTATCAGCATCGTCAACTAGGTCTCCAAATACCAGCCCTATTAAAAAGGTGCCTAAGCAAATCAGCTTCATTACAGATAGTATAGTATCTTAAAGTTGCAGGCTACTTCTTTCTTCTTTAAATGGCACTAGGAAGATTCCAGCAACTTCTCTGAAATCTCTTACCTCTTCTCCAAAGCCACAATGTTTGCCAGACTAACAGTCATGGTAAGCAAATTGATCCCTTCCATTGGCTGGCATGTATGAATAATTACACTATAGGGACCAATCAGAGGGGACCACGCAATTGAACTAGCACCGAAACTACCTGGAATGTCTCAAAGGAAATTAATTTTGAAGATATAGGTGCCATGACCTAAGTCAGATAAATTCACACTTGGCAAATGAATTGATTTCTTTGAAAGTTGTTATTGTTCTATAATCATAAAAATATTCGAGAAGGCTACAATTAACAGTGTCAAAACCTAGATGTAAATAATGTAAAATGGCTAAATAACCAATAATCACACCATTTCTCAATCTACAACTATCCCTTGATTCAGAGTATAGTACATCTTCCACCTCCTTAACCTTGTGGGTCTGTAATTTTTCTATGGGCAAGGTCCTTTAATTTTTAATTACTGTGGTACACTGTATAATAATTTTGGTGTTTCCTAAATAATATAAAGATGATCATATAGATGAAGTTAATTTTAACACTTATGTATGCTGGACAATTAACTACTGAATGAATTGTATGGAATTTATATGAGAATCACATTGATAAAATACAGTTGAGGTAACTGGGAGAGAGAGTACATGGTTGGGATATGAAAATATAACATGGCATGTAAGAAACATATAGAAGGAACCAAGACAGTAATTACCACCTTTTAAATATTTACATAAGGTAAAAAGTTTAAAGGATTAATGAGATTAAAATTATTGTATAAAGAAAGTAAACTGATTCCAACAGTAGGCTCAATCCTATGTATGTTTAGACAGAAAAAGTCTCACAACTCCCACTATTCCCCAGCTAGCTTTCTCTGTCTAAACATCTGTAGGATGTAAACAAAGAGTATTCTAACATAGGAAAGTGATATTCGACACAGAGGGTAAGTTCATATGACTTAACAGCCCAAACTGTGAAACAACCCACAGTACACGATAGTTGTTCATACCATAGGTTGTTCTCCCACTCTTTCCCCTGGTCCTCCAGCCAGTATCCCCGGGTCCTATGTGGCAGACTCCATTTTCTCTCTCCTCCTTGCTCTGATCGCAACCCTTTTTTTCCTTTTTTAGAGTCTGCTGCTGCTGCTGGCAACAGTTGCTCCAAAATAAGAAAACAATAAACAATATATTTTAAAAAAAGTTGCTCCAAGTGGCACTTTGGAGAGACTGTCACTCACTCCTTTCCTATTTTTGGAGTTTTGTGAGTGGCAGAAATATCACAATTAAAATTGTATTTTCCCTTCAGTCCTTTGCAGGTGTACACCTACAGTGTGGAGTCTTGTCTGGCTAATATCCTGGTAACTGTCAAAATGTAGTAGGCAACATCCACGAACACTGACCAAGTGAATTTGTATACAGCTGCTTTGTGCAGTAGCTGTCATTTGGTGAACTATCACCAAAAAGAGCAAGCAGTGATGGGTGTTATTCCTGAATGAAAATATATCTCATTCTTTCAGGTGTGACATGGAATTTTCAAGTATTGCCCAGACAGTTCTCAGTGCCCTTTATCTTTTCCACATGCCTCCAACCCTTCTTGAGGTACTTGTAGTCATTCTAATTGTAGCCTTCTCAAGGGAGAGCTGCATCCTAACCCCTTTTCGTGACCACTTTGACAGCTGTCAAAAAGCAAGTGTTCTATTTTAAAAAAAAACTATTTGACAAATTTGAATAATTCTTTTGCACAGAAAATAGGCAAATGTGAAAGCTTCATATATTTCTCTGTCCCCCAAATTATGATCAAATTCACGTAAGTTTTTTTTTAAAGAACATCTTATTTTAACAGATTCTAGGAAAGCACAGACATTTAGGGAAGTGTGCAAAATGGTGAGGGCCAAGAACTATCAGAGCAATACTTAAAAAAACTAAAGGGTTATATCCAAAATGGTGGAATATACTTGCCACCCCCACTGGGACAACACCGCCCCCAAAAAACCCCCAGTGTAACTTCCTGTTATCCTAACTATAGAAGTAGGAACATCTGCTCCTGGGTTGAGTTATTGACATTTAGCTTCTCTATTGAGTAAGAAAGTATACCAGTGATTGAGAATAGCAAGACCATGAAGAACCGCCTCATCCAGGTAATATTTCTTGCTGACTCATTGCTATTTTCTTGGAGATGAGGCCAACATAGCATATTGCTATTTCCAGGGTAAAGTCTAAGGTTTACATTTTCTTTTTTGTGAGGGACTGGAGAAGTATCTTGGAATTCTCCACAAAGGGGCATTTTGGTTAGGAGACCTGAATGATAATCATGAGTAGGCATGTTTTTATTTAAACCCTTTGTTTTTCATTAGTTTGAACACTCTGTTTTATATGAAGTCTCCTTATACTGTTGTTTGTGAATAGTTAAGTGCTGCTTTTTAGCCTTTTCTTTAAACAACTAGCTTTTTCATTGAGGTTTGAACTATGGGCCCAAGAAATTTATGATATGGGAAGGTAATTTCAGCCTGTAATACTAGTTACACCTAGAACCAAAGTTTCTAATGTTAGGTAAGTAGAACAGACTTTTTCTACCTAGTGCCTTCCAGATGTTATGGAATTCCATCTTCCAGCATTCTTGACCATTGACCATGCTGGCTAGGATGGGTGGGAGTGATCAGACATCTTAAGCCTATTTGCTTTTTTGGTCACTTCTTCAGCCAAAAGGTTGTCTTACCTGCTAGTCCTTAGGAATTGCTGCTGTTGTTTTGACTGTCAGTATGGTTCATAACACTGGTCTACAAATTATTAACCTCCAAGATAAAATGTGCTAATTCTTACAGATTTTGATTACCTGAATTAGAAAAAATGTGATAAAGGTGCCAATTGGCTAAAATTTTCATGATATTGCACAATAAAGATTTACACACAGGAGGGTATATTTGCCTACAAGGGAGGGAGGTCTGATGATCATGATGCCTTGTAACTTCTCAACAAAGTACAGAAGAACAATGAAAATGATACCACATGGAAGTGTATAAATTTATCTTCACTTTGAGACTAAAGATTATTACCTGACTGTAATTTATTCTTTTATTGTAAGGTACATTTGTCTTGGTCAGATTTATGCATACAGTTACATCTGGTGGCTTGTGAAAGTGTCATTGCATAACATTTCCAAGGAACATTTGCGTGATATTTTCCCTCAGAAGCGAAGATGCCTCAAAACTGTGTAAACAGCGCAGATGACTTCTGCTTTCATTTGTGGCAAGGTTACATTTGTATCTCAAAAGTGCAGAATGATGGAAGTGGTAAAAAAGGCATACCACCTATATTTTGGATGCAAAATAGGAGATCAGGACAAGAGTTGAGCCCCTCATTATTGTTGTATTACACATGCAACTTATCTGCATCATTGGCTAAACAAGAAAAAGTCCATGCCTTTCACAGTCCCAATGGTATGGAGGGAACCCACCAATCATAGTAGCAACTGCTATTTTTGGATGGTTCCCCAATTGCAAAAGGGGTCTCAAGAAAGAAGAATGGACTGTGGAATATCCAAACATTCCACCCTCACTGCGTCCTGTACCCCACGGTGAGGACTTGCAATTCCAGATCCACCAGAAACCTACTCTCTACACTCAGATGATGATAAAGATGATAATTTTGAATTATTTTGATGCAATTTTTGACCTGAAGCTGTATCGTGGAAACTAGAGCCAATTAATACTGAGGACTTAATTTTCCTTTATTAGTGACCCAATTCTGGTAAAATTTAGCTACTTTAATTTCTGAGGCTTTCTCCTTTTAGGCCACTGAATACAATCTCTTTCCTCTGACTTGATTGTGGATGTGAAGGCCAATCTTAACCTGTATTATTGAGACTTCCATAGGATAGCTGGGGCAGGGAAGAGGTTTATTTGTGAACTGTACCTTATGTGGAGGCCTTCATATCTTGGGAGATTCAGGACTTCATGGCTACCATGTGAACCACAGGGATGTTGCAACATAGTATGTTAGCATTTTAAAATTTGTTGAAGTTCTTTTTAGATATTTACACAGCTGCCAAGCTTGCTTTGATTTCATAAAGCTTTACACTTTTTAAAAAGTTTTATATTTTATTTAGCACATTGTTTTATCCATTATGAACTGCCCTGAGAATTTCAGCTATCAGGTTGTACAGAAATGTCATGTCATACATTAAATTGGCTCAACAAACATAGCAGGATACATACGTGATGTAGTTTTTTTCTACCAGGCAGAAGAATAGTTATCTGAAAGTGAGGGATGGTCAGATAACTTTTTATTTATATTTCAATTGGTGCAAAATAGAGCTGCCAGGCTGCTGATGGGAGCTGGACGTTGTTCTCATATAACCCCAGTCCTCCGTCAGCTCCACTGGCTCCCCACTGAAGTCCGGGCCCAATTCAAGGTGCTGGTTATCACCTACAAAGCCCTGAACGGCTTAGGACCTGGTTACCTAAAGGAGCGCCTGCATCCATATATGCTCTCCCGCCCCTTGAGATCGGTGGCTGAGGCCCTTCTCTGGGAACCCTCCATGAAGGATATTAGGAGGGTGAGTACTCGGAGGAGGGCTTTCTCTGCGGTGGAGCCCAACCTATGGAATGCGCTCCCCAGAGAGGTCCGCCTGGCGCCGTCCTTATTTGCTTTTCGGCGCCAGGCCAAGACCTTTTTATTTAAATGCTATTTTAATTGTTAAAGTTTATTTATTGATTTTAAACTGACCAGGCTGTCTCCACTATTTTATGTTTTTTATGTATTCTATGTATTTTTTGTATTTATATGCAGGATTTTAATGATTGTAAGCCACCCAGAGGCTTATGCGAAGGGGGCGGCATATAAGCTGTCTAAATAAATAAATATTTAGAGATGTTGTTAGACTGCAAATTCCATCAGCCCTAGCCAGCATAATGCAAAAATAAGTGTTTGTGTTTAATCTATTCACCATTATCTTTCTTCACCCCAAACTCCATCCTTTCCAGTACCTATCCCACCACAGTGCTCCAAATGCTGCCTAACTCATTGTAATTCAATATATCAGAATTCTCACCTTCTTTTCAGAAATAAATAAACTGTATTCCTCTCAGTCAAATAGCTTCTGTCCAAAGTGAAAATTTTATCATTTCCAAGCTGGATACCACTTGAATTCAAAATAAGTTTTTGGCAGCATTCTGGAAAAGGGAAAACATTTATTGGATAAGGCAAAGTTATGTCTACATCCTTATATGCCATTTTCTTTCTGTAAATTCCTAATATTTCAATAACTTAAAATCTTAGCTTTTAAATATACTGCTTGGGGGCAATTCTATGGTCCCGTGACAGAATTTCAGTGGCCGCAGAATAAGGTGGATTCTCAGATCTGTTGTCAGAGGCAGTGCAGCTGGCACAGAAAACACCACGCCAGCTGCGCTCCAAATTCAAGAAAGCAACCCTAGCGAGAAGGGAGGGGAGCAGCCTGAAGCATCCAGCGTATCAGCGATCCCGCAGTCACTCCAGTCGCCTTCCCTTCACCTAGGCAGGCAGGTGGAAGCCTGTGCGGTGAAAAAGACGGCGAGAGGACGCAACCCTGAACCGGACCGCGCGCACGCCCGCTACCGACTCCTCCAGGAGCCCCCCCTGCGTATGAAAGTCACGCCCCTCCTTCCTTATGCCCTCCCCCCCCCGTCTTTCCCTGTCGCGGCGGCCTTATCGCTCCTCCTCGTCTCGCGCTGCTTCATTCAGGCGTCGCCCATTGACGGTGCTCGCTCACGCGCGCTCCCTCTCTCGTCCCCTCCCTCAGCCCCTCGCTCGCTCGCCTGGCGTTCGCTCCAGTGGGCTTGTCTGGCATCATACCGGTTCCCAAGATGGCGTCCATCATGGAGGGCCCGCTAAGTAAATGGACCAACGTGATGAAAGGCTGGCAGTACCGCTGGTTCGTGCTCGACTACAATGCGGGGCTGCTCTCCTACTACACGGTGCGTATAGAGGGAGGGACCGCACTAGGACAAACGGAGAGCGGGGTGGGGGCGGGGAAAGAGTGGTCAGCCAGAAGGCTTCCTGCTTGCTGGGGTAGGAGGTGGGGGTTTTTGAGAGGGAGTGTCACGGTCGCAGGAAAGCCAATAGCGATGGGGGAAATTCTTGTGGTAGCCAATAAGGAGGTAGCTTTGCGAGATTTATGTGAAAAAAGGGGCGGGGGAGAGCCTTAACTTACTGAGACGGATCGTGGGGGGAGGGGAGAGTGTAAACAGGGGCCTGGTCCTTAGGGTGGTGTAACGCCTTGATTACTTCATGAAAAGGAGTTGGAGAAAGAGTTGGTTTAACTTTGGAGGAGGGGGTGGAGTGTAACAACTGGTTTGTCTAGCATATATTTGCATTATAGAAAAGATAGGCAGAATAGCTTAATGTTACATTTGAGGGGTGACTCTGATTATGAACATCGTTTTTAGATGTAGAATGTTCTTCCTTTTGGGGTTGGGATAGATGATAAAAAGGTACGGTAGGAGTTCATAACTTTTCCCCTTTGTAAGCCCTGTTAACCTGTGTGGAGCTGCCATGTGAATAAACAGGAATGGGCGGTTGAATTTATTTTTGTGCTTCCCTACAGTTGTGACACTGAAAGCTGCACAACACACGGTGGTGGTAAAACTAAGATTTGTTTGAAGGAACGAGGTGCACAATCCAACTAAAACAATAGACTCTTGTGTCAGCTTAAAGAAAAAACCCCAAATATTGTGGTAAATCTACAAGATTCTTTGTTGCCTTTGTTACAACAGAATAATATAGATAAAGATCCAACTAATAGAACATTCTGCCTGTGGAATGTTGCTTACAAGCAGGGCATGATGGGGATAGCTATCTTCTGTTGTTTACCTGCAAAATTTAATACAGCACTCTGTATTAATTAAGTTACCATCTCTTTCCAATATCTTGTTTAGAGGGGTATCAAATACTAGCTTATATATCCCAAGTTTCCCATAGAATATGTGTGGATTTAAAGTGAAGTTTAACTCTGTTATTGGTTAAGATTCAGTTAAATTGACTGTTGGTATTGTTTATAATGGGGACTTGCCAATTAGTAGCGCTTTGTACAAGAAAAATACCTCATTAGCATTCAGTTGGTTTAATGCAAACTTAGTGCATTTTAAAAATCTGAATACTATAGAAAAGTGGGCGATAGTTCTCTTTTATTCAGGCCCAAACTTAAGCTGCAATACTTTACATATTTCCCTTGGGCTTACTGCTGACTGGAATTGCATAACACTGCACTCTTAGTCTTTTGCTGTCCTGTAGTACTATATAGTTGTTTCATATCACAAATATGTTGGTCACTTGTGTATCTCCCCCAATTGTCCTATATCCTTTTGGAGATGGGGTATCACTATTACATGCACTATGCAAAGTGCAAATGCTCCATGCATTTACAAATGGCTGTAACGATACTAGTAATTTCTGTCACTTCTTAATAATTATTATTAACCTGCTTGCTATTTGTGGTAGATGTGGTATGTTGAACTGTTATTATGAGAGAATAAACCATGGCAACTGTAAAGTCACTATTTTATTTCTTGTTTTCCTGCCATACACCCACATATTATTTCTTATATTTATATCCTGCTTTTTTTCTTAAAACAAACTCAGAATGGCTTACATCATTCTTCTTTCCTGCTCTCAATCTTCCACAACAACTCTGTGAGTTAGGTTGGGCTGAGAGTTTGTGACTGGCTCAAACTCACCCAGTGGCTCAGTGGCCAAGCAGGGACTACAATCCAGATTGCCTGAGTCCCAATCCCATGCTTTTAACCACTACACCACACTAGCTCTCTACATTACCTTTCAGTCATCACAACTCCTAAGGTGGTTAGTGATACAAAAATTCTGTTCCTAATTAAAACCAGTTCAGGTCTAAAAACAACTCTTAATAGTCAAGTGGTGTGAAGTCTAATCAAACAGCATGGCAACTTATCCTGCAGATAAGTTATGCAGTGTTCCTGACAGGCTCATCATGGGTTGACCCTCTGCTCTTTTCCTCTTGGTCTTTCTGTACGAGTAGCGCAGGTGATATGACAGTTGAAGCTACCATGTCTCTTCTCCCTGCTCCAAACATGAGACTTTTTTGGTTGCAGCTATGGCTTTTTCTTCTACTTTTTTTTTTTTTTTGGAGGTTACTTTTTGTGACTTATGAAATGACAGTCCCTCTAAAGTGCCCCAGTAGCACTTTGAAGGAACTGTCAGGAGATGTCACTTCAGAGATCATGAAAGGCAATGTCCCTCCACCCACATAGAAGAAAAAAGGGAGAGATAAAGACATGGTGAACAAAAAGAGTTGTCACAACAACAGGGGAAAGCGAGCCAGTAACAGTTGGTCCAAGGTGTTGCCTAGACACTTGATGGAGAAGCAGTCTGGTGATGGGTTGGCCAAGCTTGGCAAGAGTGACAAGTGATTTTTCGCCACTTTTTCTGGATGATTCACGCATTGTTTTCTGGGACCCATGATGGGATTGGTTGACCAGATTTGAATAATGTGACAAACCACTGTGGGTCCAGCAACCTCTACAGCAAGCCATGAGTTGTCCAAGTGGCTTATTGTCAACAGACAAATCAGCCACAGGAAGCTGTTCAGGTTCATATGATATCCCACTGTGGCTAGTTGCCCATGATGGGTTGGTACGTCATACAATCTCAATCAGTATTAGAAGAAGCAAAAAAGAAATGTCTATAACCAGACTAATGTAATTACTGAAGGCACAGTGGATTAAAAATATTGCTGACATTGTTTCCCTGAGAGAGTTTTAAGATTGTGCATACCAACTGCCCATGGAAAAGAGTTCGTCACTAGACGAAAGCCACCCTCAAAGAACAATTCAGCTTTGTGAAGACTGCATAATATCTAGAATGAGTGGAGAATGGAATTGGTTAGTGTTTAAGAATAGGACATATGCTAGAGTATTATGCTAGAGCTGTCCATGTGAAAGTATATTATATGGAGAAATGATTGCTGCTGGGTGTTGAT